AGCCGAAGACTGGGCATTCCACTCGCCGTAAGGCAGCTCGGGGTTGCGCAGAACCTCGACCAGCTCCTTCAGGGTGGTGTTCAGGATGACCTGGTTGTCGAAACCACGAAGAATGTTCTCCAGAATGGTGTAGAGGAGGTTGAAGCGCTGAGGAGGCTTGGTACCGACGACAACGGGAGGACCCATCTCGGGGAGCTGGCCAGTGAAGGGGTGAGCATGCTTGACGCGCGAGGGGTCATCCAGAGCTAGGATTCCGAGGATGTCACCGGCCTCGAGAGTGGCACCGGGCTGCTTGATCAGCTGCACGATACCGTCCTCTTGAGCAATGAGGGGCATGTACATCTTCATGACCTCAACCTCGGCGTAGGGCTGGCCGGCACGGACGTGCTCACCGTTCTCGACGGTGAACTTGACCAGCTTACCGGGAGAGGGAGAGCGCAGCTGAGTGGGGTCGTTCTCCTGCTCCAGAAGGCAGGTCTTGCCATCCACGCTCAGGCGGGTGGCAGCGGCCTCCTCCTTCCAGTAGACGTTGTGACTGCGACCATCGAGCAGAACGAGCAGACCACCGTCAGCCAGGGCACGGACACCGACAGAGCACTTGGAGCCGTTGATGAACAGGTGGTAGCTGTCCAGACCGGCACGGGTGGCAGTGAACTTGTAGCGGGAGCCCTCGTAGATGAAGTCCACGGGGAAGACGGTCTTCAGGATATCCTTGGAGGGAACCTGACCCTTCTCGAGACCCTTGCGGTACTCCTCGAGACCAGCCTCGCTGGCAAGGTGAGCCTTGGTGACGGCACCGCAGATAACAGCGACAATGGGGTCCGGACGTTCGGCGGTCAGCTTGTTGGAGATCAGCTGGTCCAACCATCCGGTGGTGATGGTGTTGTCCTCGAAAGCGGGGGTCTCGAGCAGCTTGATCAGGTACTCAACAGTGGTACGGAAATCACCACGAATGCTCAGCTCCTTCAACGCAACGACCATGTGCTTCCGCGAGGCCGAGCGGTTCTCACCGTAGGCGAAGATGTGACCGAACTGACTATCGGAGAAACTGTGAATACCACCGGCAGTACCGACGGAGAAGTAACCCCAGACATTGGACGAAGAACGGAAGTTCAACTCGTGCATGGTACCGCTGGACGGCTTGAAGCCCTCACCGGGGTCCTCAGAGGTGATACGGCAAGCGGTGGTGTGGCCCTTGGGCTGGGGGCGGCGCTGGGTCTTGAAGCTCTCCTCGCTCGAGAAGTCAAAGTCGATCTCGGAGGAAGTGTTGGGGTCGACACCGTACAGCAGACGAATGTCACGGATCTGGTGCAGGGGAATACCCATGGCAATCTGGAGCTGAGCGGCGGGCAAGTTGACGCCGGAGACCATCTCGGTGGTGGGATGCTCGACCTGGAGACGCGGGTTCAACTCGAGGAAGTAGAACTTGTCATCAGCGTGCGAGTAGAGATACTCGACGGTACCGGCAGACACGTAACCGACCAGACGACCCAGGCTGACGGCAGCCTTCTCCATGGCCTGGAAAGTGATGGGCTTGGCAATGGTGACGGGAGCCTCCTCGATAATCTTCTGGTGACGACGCTGGACGGAACAATCACGGCCAAAGAGGGAGATGTTGTTACCGTACTGATCAGCCAACAGCTGGACCTCCAAGTGACGGGCGTTTCCCGCGAGCTTCATGATGAAAATGGGCGAACCGGGGATCTCGTTGGCGGCCGCGTTGTACAAGGATTCGAAGTCCGCCTCGTTATCGACCTTACGGATACCCTTACCACCACCACCTTCGGAAGCCTTGATCATGACGGGGAAGCCAATCTCCCGAGCCTTCTCGAGACCTTCTTGGGGCGAGTGCGTGCAACCACGGCTGTAGACATCATCCTCGACCGTGACAATGCCCTTGTCGTCGATCGTCACCTCCTCGACACCGGTACCGGACCAGGGGATACAGGGCACACCGGCGTGCTGTGCGACAATGGTAGAAGAGATCTTGTCGCCCAGAGAGCGCATGGCCGAGGCGGGGGGTCCAATGAAAATGATCTTCTTGGGCGAGGCCGCGAGAGACTCGGGTAACCGAGGGTTCTCGGAGGCGTGACCCCAACCAGCCCACACGGCATGGACGTCCATGCGCTCGGCCACATCGACGATCAGCTCGACGTTGGCGTAATTATTATTATTGGTACCACCGGGGACCTCGACATATTGATCAGCCATACGGATGTAGTCGGCATTGGCGCGCAGATCCTCCGGGGTGGCCATGACGGTGAACTGGATGGCACGCTCATTGCCAAAGGTCTCGTAGGCCCATTTCCGCACTGATCGGATCTCCTTCACGGCGGCAATACCGTTGTTGGCGATGAGGACCTAAAGTCGCGAAAAATCGGATTGTCAGTCATCTTCCATCCTTTGAGCCTCTCCCTTCCGTCTCCTGCTTCTTTCTGAGAGTCCATCTCCAACTCCTCGTCTCAACTCACCGAAGTAATGACGGAGTGACCGCCATGGTTGGCAACGAAATCCTTAACGGAGCTGGGAGGTGCTAGGTCGAGGCGGTTGCCACCGATGAAATGTGAGGGGAGGTCGTATTTGGCGGCATTGGAACTGCCGTGGCCGTTGACGGGCGCACTACCGTTGGTGGCAGTCATGATGGTGTATGTGTTAAGAAAAAAAAATGTGCGAGTGGCGGGAGTTCAGAAAGATGCCGCTCGATTCGGGGGGAAGGGATACAAGCCGCTCAGAGAGCACTCGTGGTGGAATTGAAAGGGGAAACGGGCCCGAAGCTCCGAAGGATTAACAGCGCTGCTGGGAGGAGAAGGGAAGTCGAGCGTAAAGAAGTCGGTAATGGCGGTAATGTACAGGGAAGTGGCGAAGAGGAAGTGCCAAAGAAGATGCCCGACGGCTCGTTACGGGCGGGTGAGGAGAAGAGAGAGGAAGAGGGGAGGAAAAAGAAGGAAAAAGAAGACGGAAGTCCGTTTTTTTTTCCTTGAATTTTCCAAATCTGCAATTAATACACGAGAAATTGGGTCAGCCGCAACTCTTCAAAGGAAATCCTCCTTGTCTAGTGCCCACGTCGTTCATTCCCGAGGGCGTCGGGGATGGCAGATTCGCCGCTTATGTGCAGATTGGCAGCTCTCGTGAGCCCCGATGCGGGCAGCTCCCGATCCCGTTGAGCGGGATTGGTCGTTTGCGGACAACAACAACTTAACGCGGACAAGGTTGCAGTTGGGGAGGAGAATTCAGGTGCAGATTCAGGAACCAGGAGAACAAGAAAGACCTACCGGGACCACCAGCACAAAGACCCGAATTGTTTCCAAGGGGAGTTGAAGAAATTAGAAATTAAGGGACGAGGTTCGATTGCGGGAGCAAGCCAACTACAAAAAGGCCCTTAAGAGAAAAAAAAAAAATGCTGAGGATGATTTGCGCAGTCCCACCGGCTCTGGAATCGGTGGCTGCAAGTACCGGCACATAGTAATTAGTATGGGCGGGTACTTGGACCGCGCCCGAGATTCCGCTCGAACTATGAGAAAGTGACTTCCCCAACTCCCGCGATTGTTGGGCCGGTTCCACCGCAAGCAACACCACCACGACGTCCCACCCTTTTCACGCCATTTTCCTTCGTTGTACCCAATCAAACCGGAGGGGATTTGCTGGACGGTTCTCCTTTTTCTCTGTTGGAAGAGCCCCGTCGGTTTTCCTGGCATTCTTGTCCCTGTCCACCCTCAATGCATCTATACGCTTTCCAGGTCTCTCTACGGAGTACTTCTGACAGGACAGTACACACTCCCCCTACTAAAGCCCAACTTGGGCTAGCCAGCCTCCGATCCCGCCCCACCAGCCTTCGGACACCGAGTCGGCGCGACTTTCTTCTGGCTTCTAGCCCCCTCGGAGTGCGATCGGGCTCAGTCCAATCTGTCAATCTATCTCCCGGACACTGACAATAATGGTATGGAGAAACTCGCCGGGCGATATGATCCCTATCTATTTTGTCCGTCCTTTTATTATGAGTATTCTAGTCATATTTTGTTTTCATCTATTCCCCGACTCTCTCTCTCTCTTTATACACTCCCTCCAAACAGGCTTTGACGATCTAGACCATATCTTAAAGTCACTGACTCCGTACGGTTACATAGTTACATACAGTTGTAGTAAAATGTAGTAAAATCGCCGATGACGTCGTCCCCCTCCCCTCCCGGCGAAACGTTGAGGGCTTGGCGCACGGACCAGCTGGAGGGGAACGAGAACCGTGGGAACTGCAACCGGCAGATTCGAGGTTCTCCCACTGCGAGGTACGAGATAGTAGGAACGCCAACGACCAGAGCTGGCCGGCTCTGAACCAGCCATGTGGTCCTCCGTTGACGCTAGCTTTTTAAGGTCATTGAATTTAAGCTCCCTTCAACAATCTATAACCCCCGTCCTCCACAAAACCTCCAACTTGGAAGAGCCCCTGCGATCTATTAAATGGGTTCGGCGGGTGGTTAGGTACTCCTCCCGCCCCAACGCTGATATATATCCCGCAATACTCGCCGGGCAGATTCGCGACTAGTGCAATATAGCAGCTAGCAGCCCACGGCCCGAACAATATTCTTTAGCCTCTCTTTCCAGTAACTGTCAATGATTTTGGCAGTAATTATTTCTGAGAGTCTAGTAGGATTTGACTAATTAGGCTCCCGAGACTGGTCTGCCATGGTGTGTATTGACAGAAGTCAGCGGGAGTCTCGCCGCAACCCTGTTGGATACCTAGGTCAAAAGCGGAAATCCTCCGAAAATCCGATATCCAACTTCAGTAAGTTTACGTATTCGATAGGTCTCTACATTACATCTCCCAGATCCACACGAAACTTCTTTCCAAACGTTCTTTAAAAAGAGATAGATAGAATCCACTACGGCACAATTCAAAGACATAGCATCGTGGGTATTATCAAACGTCTCGCGACGTACACAAAAACGGGTAGAATCAAAGATGAGAGAGAAAACACAAGATGCTGAGACACAGCTTAGGACGCCCCGGAGTCGATCCGGGGCCGTATCAAAAAAAGGGGGAGTGAAAACCAGACTTTTCCAGCACAAAAAGGCCAGGAAGGCAAGGACCTCCCCCCGATATGTGTAGGTAGAGAGATGAGAGACCCAATAAACCACCACATGAGCGCCAAAGAAGAAACAAAAAAGGCCTATACAGAACGACGCAAATCACGGGGTAGGTTGGAGAAGAGGTCCCGTCAGACCACCATCCAGGTGGTGGCAAGGATGCACGAGTAAAACCGACTAAACGAGGTAGATGCAAATTCACATGCTCTCGGGTGAATAAAAGGTATTTGTCTCAAGAAAAACAGTAGCCAAAAGAATTGAAGTTCAATGGAGAGACGGCGGTCTCTAATCTGTGTGTCCCCCACAAGTATTTCACTAGTGCGTGCGTTACAAGGAGGACCCGCTGTCAAAGAACCCTTTAATAGGTCTCTCCAAGGTCACTTTGCTTCCGTTCGATCGGTGGAGGCATGGCTCCCGGCCCGATGCTCGTCTTAAAGCTGCGGGGCGTGGGAATAGCCGACATGCCGCTGGTGGTACGTTTCTTAATCCCAGAAGGCGTAGCCGAGACGGAGGGTCGCCGGATATCCTTGGGAATCCGCGATACGGTCGGGGTGGAAATGTCATGGTCCTCACTAATATTGGACATGCTTCCCACGGATGGTGTCTGTCCGTTGTGGTTGCTCAGAGAGGACCGGGGCCGGCGGCTTTCCGTCATGGGGTTCGTTGAGTAGTGGCCGAGGGGCGTCTTGGCGCCGGGGCGGCTCTGCCGACTTTCGGGGCGACCAACTGGCACTCCGGAATGTACACTCTGGCTGAACGAGCTCCGACTGGAGTAGCTCGTTCGGCTGCTCGGCCGACTATCACCGGTACGAGCGCCGACTGACTGGCGGCCCTGAGGGATATATGAAGGGGCGCTTTCGCTATCGCGAACGGACGAGCCAAAGCTACTGCCACTCATTCGCTTGCGAGAGTTTCTCCGCACGGTGATGGTCGATGGCACGGGACTATCTCCCATCACTGAACCCTGACGAGAGCGGGGAGATCCTCGAGAAGAGGTCTCCGAGGGAGCTGGGAGACGTGACCGGGCAGACTGAACGCGTTCCTCTAATTTCTGCATCTTGCCAATCAGGCCTCGGATTTGGTACAGTGAGCCAGATTTGGGAAGACCGGGAGGCCGAGAGGTGGTCGACCGGGACAGGCTGTTGCGGGAAGAGTAAGACATGGAGGGGGTAGAGCGACCTCCATTACTGTAGCCGCTATTACTGAAAGCAAGAGACGAAGCGCGCGAGTGAGGAGTAGGCCGAGCTGGCTGGGTTCGCGCATTGTGCAGAGTCCGCGAGTTGATTGGTTCTGCACCAGTTGCTCGGGTTCGAGGGAATGTGGGGGTAGCGCTGATGGACTTGCGGAAATTGGTAGAGGCCTCGGAGATGGGCGGCGAGGGAGGAGTTGCGGTCGAAGAGGCCAAGGTCGACTTGGCTGGAGGGGTCGCAAACACGGGAGATGAAGTAATCGTACCAGGAGACCGATCAAAAATCTCCAGGGTCTGTGGAGTCGATGGGCTGCGGTACAAGGGAGTTGGCTTGCGACGACGGAACCCATGACCCTCGGTGTGTCGCAGCTTCTCCTGGACGATCTCGGCTTCGACCTTAAGGTCAGACAGTTCGTCTCTTAGACGCTGGTTGTCAATCCGCAAGCTTTCACGCTCTTGCTCCCCAGTCCTGATCTCCTCTTCCAGCAAGACTCCACGCTCGATAGCGACATTGTATTTGGACTCCAGGTCCTCCAGGGACGAGGTAGTGTTCCGGGCTTGTCGCTCGTAATCGTCGTTGGCAACTTCAATATCACGCAGCTTCAATTGTAAAGTACGATTAGCATCACGCAGGGAGGTGATTTCCTTCTGCAGAGTGTTTTGCGCATTGTTCGCCTCGGTCTTTGACTGCTTGTATTTGGTCTACAAGCCACCCACGATCAGTCACTGTGCATCGCCAGGTTTGAATCAAGAATGCAATAGTGAGTCACTCACCTTCCACTCCTCTACCTCGTAACGCAGGTTGTCAACCTTCTCCCTCAACTGTCGCTCACGCTTCTCCTTGTCCTCCATCTCCTTCTCCATTTCAGCCTCCAGCTCGGTGCTGGAGAGCTGAAAGTCGTGCAGCTCCTCCTGAATGGACTCATATTGGGCTTTGTAGTACTCGATAGTGTACTGCTCAGACCGGTTTCCATCCTTTCCCTTAGAGGGTGAATCGTCGGCGGCCGGCATCTTCCTCCCGTGTTGGGCACCGGGCGGGCCGCAAAGCAAATGCGTGCGGGACCACCGGCGAGAACAATGAGTCTATCACCAGAAAAAAATCTGGCGTTGGAGGCACCGCACTTCCAATCACCCGCTTCGATCAACTTACGGGTTCATGGGGTGGTGGTGGCTGGCGCAAATCAAGAACCGTGCGTGGTTGATAAGAACCCCTCGGCGAGGCGGTGACGCAGGCAATCGGGGGTTGTTGACGGGCGATATTTGGTGATGCACCCTCCACCGAGAGAGCAATAAGGACGGGTCGCAACAAAGAACCAGAACGACACTGACCGGACTTACCTTTCCTTTCTTTGGAGGGAGGCGAAAGGGCGGGTGCAAGACTCTCCGGTGGAAGGTGGTTGTTGTCGCAAAGCGGGATTGATTAGATCGGCTGAGGGAGTGTTGATGTTGCGGTCGTCAGGGGGGCCAGCATGAGATCTATGCCCAATTAGGATTAGTCCAGTTTCTTTCACCGCTGTGATTTTTCACCCGGCAGACTTTGGTTTGTTCTTCCTCACCGCCTATGGCTCCTCTCTTGTTGCCTTGTCGCCTTGTCGCCTTACAGCCTGAGATGATGGATCCGCTAGACCCCGAACAGCAAGAGACCTCTTATCAGCCGCCAGAGCTGGATTCTCGGGATCGGAGCCGTCCCTGGGGTTCTGGGGTAACTCTCGTCGTGTCCAGAGCTGGCCATCTGGTCTTCCTGTAAGTTGTTCCTCTCTCTCGGTCTGTTCCAGCTCCTCCCCACGCCCGAGCACAAGATTCGAGTACTCTCGAGATGTCTCTCTTTCGCCACCATTGGGGGCTCGCTATGCCCACGCACAGCAGCCCTTGGATCGATGGCTGATCGTCGAGATTGCTTCCACGCACTTTGTTTACACTCCTCCGGGTCCCACCCAAATCTCCACGCAGTACCAAGCTCATGAAGTGTGCGCGATGATGAGGTGACCTTTCTGCTCACACCGGTTTTGACAGATTGATAACCCTCAGGGGATCGTGGCCCAACAACTCTCCTCCAGCCAGCATGGCGGACCCCTCTGATCTGAACCTGGACGCGCCCAGCGACCTCCAGGACATTCCTGACCTGGCCATGCAATTGCTTCCCCCACCCGAGGCAACATACCCTGATAAGTAAGTACTAGCAATTTTGACCCATGCTTCCTGCTTTCCGGTGCTAATCATCTTCTATCTAGGGCGTCCCTGCTCACTGCCGTCCAGAGTCATGGCAAAGCCCATGGCTACAACGTGGTAGTCAAATCATCGAGTACTCCGACGGAGAAGAAGCCAGGCCGAACTGCAAAGGTGTGGCTGCGCTGCGATCGTGGTGGTCACTATCGGCCTCGCAATGGACTCACTGAGGAGACTCGGAAGCGCCGCCGAACTTCGCGACTGATGGACTGCCCATTCATGCTCGTCGCAGCTGGATCTCCCGGAATCTGGAGCTTGACTGTCTTGAATCCGACCCACAATCATGGACCTATTGTGGACAAACCCCGACAGCCGCCTCACCACAAGGTGCGCAAAGGTCAAGTGGCTGCCACTCCTTACGATTGGCCTCATGATTGCACCTTTACTCCCTACACAACAGCTCTGGTCATCATTGACATGCAAAAGGATTGTAAGTGCTTGGTATCTCGGGAGATTCCCGTTCAACAACTATAGGTCCTGCATCTAACCAGATCTCCAGTCTGCGCTCCAGGTGGATACATGCATTATCAGGGTTATGATATCTCTCCAGCCCAAGCTCTGATTCCCAAGCTGCAGCACCTGCTGCAAGCTTTTCGCTCTGCCGGATTTCCAGTGTATCACACTCGTGAGGGTAAGTCTGCTTATCGGCCTCATGGGGCAGGTTCATCTTGTCTTCCAAACCCTTCTAACTCAAATCCCCTGTAGGCCACCGACCAGACTTATCTACTCTCTCCAGTCGTGAGGCTTATCGTTCGCGCAACAACGCTACTGGCCTCGGGATTGGCTCTCCCGGCCCTATGGGCCGTCTGCTGATCCGCGGCGAGATGGGTCACGATATTGTTGATGAACTGTACCCAATTCAGGGTGAGCCCATCATCGACAAGCCTGGCCGCGGCGCTTTCACATACACCGACTTTGAGCTCCTTCTTCGCATCAAGAATATCAAGAACATCGTCATTGCTGGCGTCACAACTGATGTCTGCGTCTCAACAACCATGCGTGAGGCTAACGACCGTGGATTCGACTGTGTGGTCCTGGATGATGGCACTGCGGCCGCTGAGCCGGGTCTTCACACTGCAACCATGGAGTCCGTCAAGATGGAAGGTGGCATTTTCGGCGCCGTCGCCAAGCTTGAGGATGTGATTCAGGGCGTTGAGAATTTCAAGGCTGCTACCATGAAGAAGCAAACCCCTCAGATGGCAGGTTAAGTCTTCACGTGGAATCATTCACCGTCCCCTTTCTTTAGCGGGATTTGACTAAGAATTGCTGGGAAAAGGGAGAAAAATGCTGGCGTTCACTTCTCAAGGCGAGGGCGTTTCAATTCTTCGTTCTCATGATTCTTTGCCCGGACGGTACAGCGTGCGACTGAACAGCGCGTCGAGCCTGACCTCCATATCGGGTCTTTGCTTTCTAGGTAACCATTTTTTCTCTATCAATTGTCGGATTTTAGCGAGGCTCGGATTTTCGGTCGCAATGAAGTTTCTCTTTCGTGTTTTCGACGGTCCAAAAAAGATCTTAACACAGCTTTGCAAAACATAGTTGCTGTTCCATTTTGGTTTTAATTTCTGGGTATCATACATAACTGCAAGCTGGATGGTTCGAAATCAAGTCCTTTGTAGATATGATATGTATGGGATTCTTTTAGATAGCAGTCGCAGCTCCCCCATCTTATAGTAGAATCATGCACACGCCGTAAACACCACGCTGATAAAGTCCCGTGTACAACAATAGAAATTCAATGCACTCAAAGCCACTTTTTCCCCGCGGCATTAACTCTCGTCCTGAAAACGGGACTCCGGATCTCCATTCCTTGCTTGTAGAAAGGACTCATCGCCGTCTTGACATAGCTTTCGTAGACCTCCATCATGAATTGGCGCACGGCCTCTTCGGTTTGTGGAGATGTCGGATTCGCCGCAATGGAGCTTGCCGAGCCGCGCGCTAGGTTACTGGACGAGCCCAGCAATGACGATGATCCGAGTCCGCTGCTGCTACTGGAGTTGGGAAGTTGTGGAGGTTGGTGGAGGAGCAGGAAGCGAGCGCCGCTCGGTGTTAGGAAGGCGGAGATGTAGGCTGCGGCGGGGGGATAGGTGTCAATGTGCTTGAGGTACCTAGTTTGGAGGGTTAGCTGAAGGTTTTGACATGAAGTGCAGTTATGAAGACTGTATCGAGCCAGGATTGGCGCCTTGAAGATGTTGCTCTGAGAATAATCAAGAGAAACGTACATTGCGCCATTCGTCCATTGAGCTTCCTCCACAATATCCAAGCTGGAGTGGATGATGAACTGGTTCATGTACTGGGCTGTATCCGGAAAGCGAAACCGCGCAATGCCATCGCCGCCACCTTTTGATGTGCCAAATGCGATATTGAAGATGGGTGTGTCCGTTGGCGAGAGGATTGTGAAATAGTATGACATTTTGGCGGGTTTGAAGTGTGGAGGTATGGAGCGGGAGTTCGAGGGGGAATGTTGCCCGAGGGCGTGGCCGCTGTTTAGATGCGTCACGTGCTAGATAAGGGACCAGGCATTTAGCGTGGAAGTAAACCGGAGCGTTAGCACCAGCTTATCACAATAAGTTTCGTTATGTAGCTTTAGGCTTACAATCTAATGGAATCATTAGAAGAGCTGAAACGTTACATGACTAGGTGCCAGTCAAATGCTAGATACGTTTGTCCCATTTTGAAAAATGTTTTTGAGAAGTTAGATATATATACAAGATGTAAAGCAAGCGCATGGTGCAACAGCAAATGCTGTACCCGTCGATATTTCAAGGGACAGTCTGATCACAACAAGCCAAAGCTTACAAAATATGCCAAATATTTATTGATCAGCGATTATAGTCTGCTTCAAATATCTTCTGCTATTGCCAAGGATTCATTGGCTCTCTGTCGTCGATGGACGAAGTATTCACTTCACCCCGCAAAACGGGATCACATGACTTACTGATAACCAGCCCTTGCTTTATCGCGCTATCGCGGCTTTTTGACGTAGAACGTCACCTACTTCCGACCTGCGGTCCGCACGACCTCGCTCGAATTCATATATCTCTCCTGCCTCGCGAGTGCAGTCTGCTGTATCCAACTGAATTGAAAGACCCGGCAAGAATGGCCCCTCAATTTTCATCCGGGCTCAACATGCCAAACAGGAACTCTTCGGGACTAAAGCCGGGCAATACTTTCGGACAGAAGCGCAAGAAGAATATCTTCGATGATGACTCCGGAGACGAAGGCCAGCAAATCGATGGCGCGATCGAGGTCTCTACGATCGGTGGACTAGATGCGCCTGCGCCGAAGCTCTCAACGAATGGAGGACCACCTCCCAAGCGGAAGATGCATTTGGGGGTTGGCGGCAAGCCTGGCGCAAAACCGTTGAACAAAAGCTCGATTTTCGCCAATGATGAAGACGAAGATGAAGAGAAGGAGAAGGAGCGACAGGGAGAAGTGCGCTTCGGCTTAAACCAGACACAATCGAAGAAGCCAGCGGGCCCTGGACAGGACTTCAAGAACTTGTCTGCGCTACACAGCAGCAGAAAGCACGCAAAAGAAGCCGAGGAGGTCGATCCATCTATCTACTCCTACGATGCGGTATACGACAGCCTACACGCCAAGTCCGAAAAATCTGCGACTGTCAACAAGAGCGAAGGGCCCAAGTACATGACAAACCTGCTGCGCAGTGCCGAGATCCGGAAGCGTGATCAAACGCGAGCGCGCGATCGCCAGCTGGCGAAAGAACGCGAAGCAGAGGGTGATGAGTTTGCAGACAAGGAGAGTTTCGTTACAGGTGCGTACAAGGCACAACAGGAGGAGTTGCGGAGGATGCAAGAAGAGGAGGAACGTCGCGAGAAGGAAGAGGAAGAACGACGCAAGAAAAATGGTGGGGCTGGTATGGTCGGTTTCTACCGGGACGTGCTTTCACGCGGCGAAGCCAAACACGAAGAAGCTGTCAAGGCTGCCGAGGAAGCCGCACGCCGTGTCAAGGCTGGCGAGATCGATGAGGACACGACGAAAGATTCCAAAGAAAAGACCGAGGCTCAGAAGGCAGAAGAGCTTAATGCTCGCGGTGCTCATATTGCCATCAACGACGAGGGTCAGGTAGTCGACAAGCGCCAACTATTGACTGCCGGATTGAACGTGGCACCGAAGCCGAAAACCGCCCCATCTGCCGCTCCAGCGACGGCACCTCGACCTGGTTCTGGACGATCCGGTGCTGGTGCTGGTTACCAGACTGGCCGTGCCGCCCAGCGAGCGCGCCAGACCGAGATGATTGCCCAACAGCTGGAAGACCAAGTCCGGCAAGAAGAGGAGGCTGAGGCCGCAAGACAGAAGGAAATTGCGGAGAAGACTCGCAGCCGCAAAACAGAGACCGACGTTTCCAGTGCGAAGGAGCGGTACCTGGCAAGAAAGCGGGAGCGGGAGGAGGCTGCCGCGAAGGGGAAATCTGGGAAGTAGACGCGGGCAGTCTGTGTTTGGACATAGCGCAGGTTATTTGCATTTGACGGCGCGGAAAAAGACTTATTGGGATGTATATTTAAGAGCGGCGTTACGCTACTTGATCTTATTGTCTGTATACTATCAATCGAGAAACGAGTGGAATACGAGTATTTAATTTGAAAAATGATGCTAAGAAAAGCATGTAGATAAGTAGCGACCCGTCTATAGTATCAGTCAGTAGAATCAATGGTATGAAAAAAGTCAAGAGCCTATAGAAATCTCTCGTTAGAACTTCCATCTGCTTTCCCTGACTTCTTGATATGACCAGCCCTGGGAAGGGCTTTATGAATGACATAATCACCCAACCGGGACGCCGACTAAGAGGATGATTCATCCAACCGGATAAAATACTTAACCCGGGACCGCTGGGGGGCTCGCTAAGGCCGCCCCACTCAAGACACACTCCCAATTTTGCAACCCTACGTGCATCAAGAGTCTCGCTTCCTCCCCCTTCAACACCTCGCAACTCCCACTTCATCGCCAACAATCATCCAACATGGGTAAGGTTCACGGCTCTCTCGCCCGTGCCGGTAAGGTCAAGGCTGCCACTCCTAAGGCAAGTACTCCCTTTTGAACCTCCAAGCGCCACCCGACGAAGCCCACAGATGATCCGCCCATCTGCTTGGTCGCCAGGACGACGTTTCTCATCCATCAGAACCCATCCTAACTGGAATTTGAAATACAGGTTGAGCCCCAGGAGAAGAAGAAGAACCCCAAGGGTCGCGCCTACAAGCGCATCCTGTACACCCGCCGTTTCGTGAACGTTACCATGACCGGTGGCAAGCGCAAGGTACATACCGACTAAAAATTCCTTCCATCACCCACCACATCCACACTGCACAATATTTGCACTATCGCAATTCGACCAACTTTCCGCCAAATATCCAATCCACAAATTCTCGTTGAACACAAATCACCAAGGAAGGAACACGAGGCTGACATAGGAACCCACACAGATGAACCCCAACCCCGGCTCATAAATTATCACTTGTCGATAAAGAAAAACCCCGAGTCGTGACGGAGCGTCGAGTTCTCATCGATGTTTGAAACAACAATTATTCGCGAAGCCCGGCACCCCGGTTTTACGGCTCACCATCGAACGAAAGTGCTTACCAGATAACGGCTGGCTACTTGTACGGATGATATCATGCTTCGCGTTCACTTCAATTTTTTCGGCAACTGGGACAGTTTTAAAGAGGTGGACGTTTTGGGAAATGGATGGTGGAAATCAATGGCCTGAGGATGAAAGGGTGTTTTCGTTTTGCTTTGGACTGGGGGCCGGCCAGTCTACGGGCTGAGTCGAGCCTTGGACGGTCGCTTTCAACTCGTACATAGGCTATTCCATGCATTGCATTTTCAATCCAGAAATGGAGTCTTGCTCGGTTGCCACTCTTGTCTGTCTGGGACTTCGATCTGTCGATGCAGTCTCTGGGATATGGAACGGTTGGGAGAGATTCATTCTCTTCCTACCGAGTCTATGCGCAGGCCTGACTCGCGACTAGTTCTGATCATTCATTTCGTCCCACGTAGATGTGTGCGCGGTGTAATCACTCCTTTCATTGTGGTCGAGTACCCGTACTCTCGACCTATGGTAGGACTTTTCCCAAGTCCTGGGTACGCACGTCCAACACTCTGTTCGAATTCTATACGGAGCAGACATGGAGAACGGGTGGATCCCAAGCAGGATCTGGCCAAAGCCTTAGAGATTCTTGCCCAGCCACACAATAGCAGATTATAGTCTATACTGTACATTGCACCCCGCGATCTGTTCAAGTTCCTGACGGCCTCAGAAACCAGGCAACTAGGGCCCCCGAGGTCTGCGAACTCCCCCTGCACTCGGTGAAGTCCTACATGAGCGAGGCAACACTATTCAATGGCTAGAGTGCGCAGATGAGTAGTAAAGACGCAAGCAAAGCACAACGCGGAATCTACCGTGGTCTTACCTACTAGGACGATGGGCCATGGGTGCGGATTTAGCAAAGCCCCTCTTAGAGGAAAGTCATTCCTCTACATCCATCTTGGGATATTTGTTACCCAGCAAGATAAAGATGTAATGGCTATTTAGCAATTCCTGGACGACCTCCCACTAATGCTATATCGACTATGAGATCTCCTTTTGACGTGATACAGCACTGGCTTGAGCGTGCCCTCGGAGTATCGGGGGAAGATCCTATCTCTGATTCTCTACCCTACTCATCAACTTCGCCGTCTTGAATCATTTGCTACACTTGAAGCGGTGTATGGATCTGAAGTAAAAAACCAAAATATGATTCAGTCAACTTTCGGCCCACTGCTAGAGATCTTTGGTAAGGGCACCATGACCCTCCATTGGGAGTCTGTCATCTCGTTCAGACGCGATGAGGCCCGAAACTCTGGAAAGCCAGGCCTTGATCCCCGTTATTTCACCAGATGATGCGCACCAGGAACTAGTGGGTATCTCTATGAAGCTGCTGATGGGTAAGGTCCATAAGGATATTGACGAATTCGACGAATGGAGCGTTGCCATTGAATCCCAGTCTTTCCTAGATTATGCAGGATCGAACTGGTTCCTCCACACCCGAGATACTCAAAGAATCACAGGTGACACACGAAAATACTACTCTAGTGGTTCCAAAAGCGAACAGAGTGCGCACATCGCTGGAACGAGGAAATATACGCTTCTGATTCGCAAGCCCTCGACTCTACCACACCTATCCACATTGCAGCCTGGACAGGAGCTGTGAGCATGATCAAATTCGCCGTAGAGACGGGCTGCGGGTACAACAATACAATGGAGGATGGGACTTCGCCACTGTCTATACCAAGTATGGGCACGAAGACGTAGTCACATACCTCTTTTCTCGAGGAGCGGACCCGAATTCGGTCGACCGAGACGGTGCTAACGCAATTAATCTAGCTGCTCGTCGGAATCACCTCAGAAGCGTACGAATCCTGGTTTCAAACCGGCGCAAATGTCTACGTGACCGAGAAAGGAAAGAAAGAGTCTATAACAAGCGGAAAGACTGCCCATTAGGAGGATGCGATCAGATATACTCACGACGGACGTCTGCTCTGTTAAAGGCTCTGGCGTCTCGAAACATGGTGACCATCCGTTATTTGATCCCTGTGGCAAAGAACCCACACGAATTCGCAGGTGGGATGGATACTCCTGCCAATCAAGGGAATATTCCCATGCTAAAACTCCTCCTGACACCGCCGTTGGCAAATGTGAACGGCAAATGGTCCGGGGACACCCCTTTATTTGGAGACAGGCTTCCTCACCAATATGAAAAGCTGGATTTCTTCTTAAAAACGGTACTGATCCCAAAAATAGCTTTAAGGGGCGCTCTTATGGCTGCGTGATGGTCAGTCAGAGTGCACATGATCCAGAATCTATTCCTCTGCACGCTGTGGCTTGATTCAACGTTGGCGGCTCGCACCACCGGCGTTGTATCTTGACGAAGTGCGACTTGATAAAGCGTGTAAGTGCTGTCAATTGTTGGTGGATGCAGGCAGTAATGTGAATGACCAAGGACATCTCCACCTGACTCCTCTCCATATCAGTGCATTCGGGTATCTTCGACGAGCAACGTGTTCGTGATGCCTTACATATCGTTTAGACTCTTGCTTGAATATGGTGCTGAGCCTTTCAAGCAAAGCAAACGCAAATCAAAGCAAACGAACAAACAACAATCCTCCCCCAACTCCTTCAAAAGTCGGAAAGCTCAGAGATAGGAGAGGTTTTTCTCAACCGACCCGACTTAGACCTCGAGACTCGCGATCCATGTGGCAACATTGTATCTTGCAGCTTTCAAGAGATGTGAACAGAAATGAAGACGTCCTGATGATAAGCTGAGGCTTATGCAAAATGTGGTTCTTGAGCGAAGTGGCGATGATATGGGTGCCAAGAATAACAATGGTGAAAATGCGATACGTGTCCTTGCTTCCCTTCTGAGCAGATATAACGATGAAGAGGAGAGAAAAGCGGTCAGGTCGAGGTTGATTGGTCAATGCCCTGAATGGTCTATCAGGGAAACGAAGATAGCCCCACGCCGTTCCTAAGGAAATATAATACTTAAGATGGGGCTTGGCAGATTCTTCTTGATGCAGGTGCTGATTTCACGACACCGGTTCTAGATGGAACTATCGTGCGTAATGCCGCCGTAAAGCTGTCTCAGAACAGGTAGAACTGGTTCAAGCACTTCTTAGACTCAGATCGGAATTTCAATGCTTAGAATAAAGATGGCGAGACACCACATTTTGCTTGGGCAAGACCCCCACAGTTTCTGGCGGAAGAGACGGATCAGTTAGATTATAAAGGTCAGGAGGAAGTGAAGGACTGTTTCCCAGAATAATATGTTCCTTGCAAGAGGCGGGCTTTGTCTTCTATATAGTCAACGCCAATAGGCAATCTACTGCATAGCATTGCCCAGTCTGCTACTGTCCGGAGTGGTGAATTTTAGAATAGATAATCTGCATTAGTAGGTTAATTTGAAGAGCTCAATCGTCGTTAGGGGTACTAACCTCTTCACAGGACGTGCTTTCTCGAATGGCAACGACGCTTTCTCTGATTGGTATGGAAATCACGAGAAATGAGCGGCAAGCGGAATTTTTGAGGAACGGATGATTTATTCTTATCTGAGGACTTACGATTTACATATCGAACCCTTGTCTGAAGTTATAACGGATGATGCCGGGACACCGAGAAAATGATATGCATATGTTTACCCGCTTTTACACCTTGAATGCCTGGTAGCATATATGCGTCTTTCTAAACGTCTCTCTAAACATCATTCTGCTCGCCTCCCTGGTAGGATTCGTGCGCGGTGTAATTGTGACCTGCGAGTGTATAGGATGGGCTCCGAATCTCCTATCTCGAATGCTCTGCTTCGCACCCGCTTCACGAAATTATCAAGTCCCTAGAGCTCCGAATCCAGAGGCTAGAGTATATATGACCGTTTTGGGGGCAGTTTTCGGTATCTCCAGCGGCATGGCTATGTTTGCTTGCAATTACTACTCTCTTATCCTGTGGATCGTAACTGCCATCAGTTTGGGTATGGTTGGAGCTGGCAGTGTACTGGTCGTATATGGTATGACCGATTACGAGTGTGCTTTTACTAAAAAAGCACAGAATTGTTGCAGTTGAGAGTGAGATTTGACTTTCGAGTCGGGTAGGGTATAGTTATTTGTCTAATTCCTTTCTTGGTTTCTCGTTTGTTAAATTTTGGCATTATTTTGTATGTGATCTGAACGTTAACTTAGTTAACTTATCGGTGGGTGTATCCAAACAGCTCATTCGACTAGCTAGCCTAATTTGGATACGCTAATTGAATATTTTATTACCCCCCTGAGTAAGATACTTAATTCAGAAAGACTACAATGTGAAGGCAGATCTAAGAAGCTTGAGAAATTATGTTCGCACACTGAGGATTCCACCTACCTGCCCAAGTACGGCCGATGTCACGAGATGCGATCAATGAAAGCGAGCGTACGATGTCTTCGTTGTCCGACTTCGAACAAAGGTCATGACATAGATGGCCGCCGAATCGTAGCGTTTAAACCCAAGATTACAGGATCTGACTCGTGGTCGGGAGCTCCGGAAATCACTCGACCGGTAGTTCGCGGGGCCATGACCTCACTTTTGGTGGTACCCACGGGTCGGTGCAGTTCACTTAAGCAAAATAAGGTTAACGGGGGATAAACACGCCCGGATTACTAAAGAGTGGATCGCCAGTCACGATCGACAAGGCTGAGGATTGTTCTTTTGTCCTTGCACCAATTATTGCTGATGATTTTGGGTGTAAACCAAGTCTTTACGTCACTTAAAAAGTTGCTGCGGGTTGATCGTTTTCTCACGCGACGAACATCGGTTGCTTCCTGACTTGATATCTTCTACCCCACACTGTCTCTAGAGCTCTGGCCAGGCTTTTATACCGTCGTCATAGGTATTTTCTGCTTCTTTCGTTTCGTTAGACCTATGTTGATAGTGTCCAGAATGACTGATGGCGTTTACAGAGGCCATTGAGACCTATTGACAAGGCCAATTGAAGCCTAGACAACATTGTCAAGCCAGGTGCAGATTACTGCTTGCAAATGAATACATTATAGGGGCTTGAAAGACAATATAGAGAGATCGCTGGGTCGTAGTCCCCACCCCATCTCCCCACATGCAATCCCTACCAGCATCATTGACTTGACTCCCAAGACTCTCGGTCTTGGAAGCGATGCCATCATGTTTCCCCATTTGTTATACAATCCGCTTGCAGCCTTGGAACCAAATCAAGAAGCAAGACTTAGCTCGATCTGTGATTGGTAGTGTTGATGCCTCCAAGAACACACAGCCTATTGATGACCTTCCCCTCGCGGCATTGCCGATACCAACCCATGATGCAATGACAGAGCAGGGACGATTTGCTCTTTTAATTGTCGTGAAGTCTGTTCCATCCCCGCAATGATTCCATATTTTACAACAACTGAACTCAAGACTGTATGATAATTTCAATTTTGACCTTTACGAACACACACGACTGATTTTACTACGACTCTCAACTACTAAAATAACTACAACTCTATTGTCTATTACTTATTCTTTTGATTTATCACGTCAAACCTCCATTATGTCTGCCAACGAAATGAGAACCGAAGCTGAGCAGCACGGCCAGAGTTTGGGCTCCCGGCTCACTAAGAAACTCAGCAAGAGACTCTCGATTAGTGGTTCCAAAGAAGGAGCGAAAGAAGGCGCCACCGCAAGCTCAAGCAAAGAGCCTGCAGGTGAAAGTGGTATTGGCCAGCAGGGCCTCAACAAGGGTCAAGAAATCAAGGACCAAGCAACGAAAGGAGAAGTGAGCGGTGACAAGGATGTCACATTCAAAGGAGAAAACACCAAGAATCCCATCACCCAAGGAGATAAAGGTGCCGCGACCGGCATTGGCCTCACAGGAAGTAATGTCAACAAGAAAGCCGCAGAGAATGTCAGCTCAAGACTTGCAGGATACAGAGCGAGTATCAGCCATGGACCTCCTGAGTACAACGACGACATTAAAAAGGGTCCCATCACAACTGGCATTCTAAGAGATACTGGTCAGACAGGTCGCGGAGGAGTTGGAAGCGGCAGCAAAGATGGGGGGTTGAATACCGGCAGGAAAGAACTCAGCCCAACTCAGACGGCCGATTCCCAGATTCGGCAAGGAACCAGTCAAACCCAACAACCACTCAATTCAGCTCCGTCCGCCATTGGGGCCAGTCAGAGCCAGCCGGGTCCGAGCAAAGATCAGCCGTCACTCAGCCAGAGCGAGCAAACTCTCAGTCCAACTCAAAAGGATCTTAGTCAAGGCCAGAAAGGAATAGGACAAGGTCTCTCCAGTACCGGCGGCGCAACCATTGGTGGTGATGAAATGATGCAGCAAGAGCTTCGTGATCAGCTGGCTATCGGTGACGATGTCTTCGGCGGCGTAGATACCAGCAAAGCAGCCTCAAAGTCAGCCAAAAAATCATCTTCTAAGCAAACGGGAAAATCTGGCTTCGGGGCCTTCGGAGGCGGTGCTCTTGGTAACATATTCCGCCGCGCATCTGGACAAGGCAAATCAGCCAAGAGTAACGTCGGCAAAGAGAAAACTGTGTCGACTTCGCAAACATCCAAGACTTCCGAGTCCACTGAGAATCACAGCATTAGCCGAAAGGCTGTTGCTGGAGCTGGTGCCGGTGCCGGTGCCGGTGCAGCCCTTGGAGGATTGGGAATGAAGCGAGGCCTAGATCAGACGAATATGGGTCAAACCGGTATGGGTCAGACTGGCATAACCAACGCTGGCATAGCCAACACTGGTATGGACAAGTCTGGCATGGGCCAGAGCAGTATGGGACAGGGTGGCATGAGGGATGGCGTGTCCCCAACTTCCATGGGTGCCATGGACTCCAACAGAAAAGCCAGTGAGGATTTGTCTCTTCACGGTGGTATTGTGCGAGGAGGGAATGCTATCATGAGTGGCCCCATCGAGTCTCCCAAGACTACCAGCTCATCCGGCAAAGCAGGTGCAGCTGCAGCTACTGGACTTGGTGGTGCCGCTGGCGCCGCTGGCATGGCCGGCATGGCCGGCATGTCTGGCAAACCTGGAATGGCTGGGACTCGAGGAATCGGGCTCAGTGACGATCTCAGTCAACAAGGCCTTAGCAAGGACCCTTCCAGCCGGGGAATCTCAGGCGCTGCCAGCTCGACTACGACTAACACCAGTGGAGTATCCACTCGAGCGGTTCGAGGTCTGAGCGCGACCACCCATAAGGCCACTGTTCTCCAGGACAAGGTTCAAGCCGTCTCTCAGAAGTGCAAGACTCAGTTAGGCGTGTCGTCCGACGAAATCAGCCAACGGAGTTCGACAGTTGACACCTTCTTCGACGCCGTAGCAGCCGAACGCCTGCGCTGGATGCCTCGCGATGGTAGTAGGCTCGACTGCAGTCTTCGATGGGCGTCTCGACTGGCATATGCAGTCGATGCTCTTCGTGAGTCGACAGGGCACTTTACTCCTGGCGCCGATGCAGCAGCCCAGCTGATCTGGGGACTCATGATCCTCTTATTGGAGTCTGATATGGACAATACCGACCTCTTCGAAAGCGTCTTTGGTCGATACGGCCGCGTTGCTGTGGGCATATATCTCTTGCTTCAGTACGAGTCTGCATACAAGAGCTCGACTAATCTCCAACCCGAAGCTGCTGCCGTATTTTCGGACCTGCTGGAAATGGTCTGTACTACCACAACCAGCTGTATTGAAGGGTCCAAGGCCAAAGAGTCGACCCAGCTCATCGAACACAACGTGGATGCAGCTTTCGTCACTTACGCGAAGCGATACTCGACCCATTGGAATGCCATTGTCGAGTGCGCCACGTCCAAGCTGGTCAAGGAAAGCCCCTTGATATATAAGAGCCCAGAGCTAGGTAGTCTCCGCCAGTTCCTTAGCGTGCAGGACCGCCCTCTTCAGTTTATCCTCGAGTCTCGCATGCACTCTCTTGCCGAAGGCTCCTTCGAGTGGTTCAACAGTACTCTGTACGAGTTCTCGGTTGGCAAGTCTCCAGTCATGCTGGTGACTGGTGGTGCAGGATCAGGAAAGAGTGCCCTCGCCCAGTGGACCGTTGAGCGTCTGCAGGAATCAGCCGAACACGATAGCTGGAATGTTATTCCATACACTATCCGTGAGTATTGACCTAATCTCGTCTTTGATAGATTCATTCTAATTGAAATAGGCGCCGACATCCCCGTTGCAACCTTGAACCTCCGCATTCTGAAGGGCATACTGCATCAGATGTTAGACCATTGTGTCAGCGACAAGAAAACCCAGGAAGCGATTCTGGTTCATGTTGCCAAGGCAGCCCAAGGTGCCTTGGATGGGGCCGGTGACGCTGAAGTCGAGGAGAGCCTGTGGCGAGGCATTCGAACCGGCTTGGCCTCCGACATTCAGTACATGTTCGTTGTCGACGGCCTCGATCAGATCAAGGGTGGAGATGCCGATGCAATTAGCTTCCAGGACAAATTTACCGAGACTTTGTGGGAGCAGAATGCGGGATCCAAAATGATTGCGTTCACCAGACCGCTCAGTTCGAAGCCACGCTCGACAAACATTGAGCATTTTATGATGCAAACCACTCAGACACGAACTGATTTGGTCGCATTCGCAACCAAGATGCTCTCAAACTCGCACTTTGATACCGCCAAGAGTGACCAGCTGCAATCTGCCGTGGCTACTATCGTAAACCGCTCTCAGGGATCGTTCAGCTGGGCCGAAATGGCTATTGAGTATGCTAAGCAGCAGAGAACCTTGGCACAAGTTGTTTCAGCTGTCCAAAGTTTGCCGCAGCCTATGACAGAATTGCTTGATTTCCACATGCAGAATCTTGATCTAAGCCAACACGAGGCAGTGGCCGTTATGTCGTGGCTAGCCGCATCTGAGAGACCTCTACTCGTGGAAGAGGTCGAGCAGCTTCTTCGTGTTGATTCTCAGGGACCCAGTTTCATGTCGCGTAAGAGCAGTACTGAAAAGCAGTGGTCTGAGGCGCTTCGTCCTCTGGTGGTGACGCGGGACGGCGTGGTTTCTTTTGCGCATACATCCATCCGTGATCATGTCATCGGCCAGGCCAGATCTGTCAGCATTAAATCACCACTCAATTTCAAGGAAGCCCATCAGGATCTTCTCATGAGGTGTCTGGGCTGGGTACAACTGAGCGTCCGTGAAGAGACTGAGATCTCGATGGATAAGCTCAGCATGGCAGAGCGTGATCGCCTCTTCGACAAATATGTCATCCTGGAATATACTGCTCGCTACTGGATTTCTCACCTGTTGTCATCGCCTCTCGTGACCGATGAGGGCGAGTTCCAGTTCACAACAACCTTCCAAAAGCTGCTACCGGCGACCGTTCTCTTTGCTCGACTCGAGCTGACCTGTAAGGAGTCTCAGTTCACTCGGTCAAGCGTTGTAGAGCTGTACCGTCTCGCGACAGACATTCGTCGTCTCGTTTTGGGCGAGAAGTCTATGGGACTTCTTGAGAGCTTGCTCCTGAGTTCCCGTGTTTCCAAGCTAGCGCACGCTAGTCATGCTGATGAGCATTGCTATGAGGCTTGGAGACTCAGCCAAGAGCTGCTCGGCCAGTCGGACCCCATAACCCTGACATGCGCCGAGATGATGACCCAGTCATTCAGTGAGCGAGGCACCATGACAGCCCAGCAGGAGGATATCATGAAGTACCTCATCCTGACAGACTCCGAAATCACCGGAGTCGAGTTCAACCAGCGCCTGAAGTACCTTGGTATGATAGTTGGCATGTACAAATCTCGTGGTGACAACAATTCCGCACTCCTCATTTCGAAGCAGTTCTACCAGCAGATCCTTCAAAAATACGGCACCAATTCGAGACAATCCTCCGAGGCTGCCGACTTCCTGACAAGTCAGTTCTCAGCCACTGATAGTGACGAGATGACTCGGGACATTGCAAAAACCAAGTACGACAATGTCATTCGCACCATGGAAGTCACAGACGAGCGTCGTATCAAATACTCATTGTACATGGCTCAGCTTTACGAGCAACACAACGACCACCCCCAAGCCTCGGCAGTTCTGTCGGGTCTCTGGGCTGGTCTCAATGCCCGCGATATCGATTCTGTTGATATGATGGATAAGAAGGCCAACGTCGCTCTCGTCTATTACCAATTCCTCCGTCGACAGGGCCGCGATGATGAGGCTGAAGTTATCATGCGTGAGCTTGTGGCAGACCTAGAGGTTTCCGGCATTCAATCTCCGGAGATGATGCAGCGAGTGCACCTCTTACGTGCTGAGACTCGTGAGATGAAAATGTACAGCCTGGACCGCTCTCTGTCTATCCTTATGTGGCGCTATTACAAACAGAATCATCTGGAGTACACACCCGAAGCCAGAGGTCTGGCAATGTCGCTGGCCGAAAGCATGGCCAATTCGGTCTCCATTGAGGACTCTACTTTGATGACCGGAAGCGACCGCAAGCTCATGGTCGAGCTCTTGGATTCCATTACGTCCTCGCCCGGTAACATTTCTGTCCCGACTTTGATTCTCTGTCACAATCTTTCGAGTATCTATGTGCGCGAGGAGGATTGGAACGAGGCAAGCGATTGCTCCAAGGCTGTTCTGCAGCATGTCTATCCGTCAGTCGAACGGCCTGGTTCTCACAAGAAGTTCACGACCGAATTGGCACCTCCCGTCGCTGACCTGGCTTTGATTCTCGCCTATTGTCACTTCCGAAAACTGCATCTTGAACAGGCCACCACTGTCTACGAAAATGCCTTCGGTTCAATGGTTGTCTCAGACAAGGTGCCCGTCGCTTCAGTCCTGGCTGTCGCCAAAGCTGTCGTTGAGTTCTACGAAACGACCTTCCAGTTCACCAAGGCCCTTACTCTTCTCCATACAGTCAGCAATTTCTTGACCTCTCGACTGGGTGAGGCTCATAAGCACACAATTGACAATATGTACTTGGAAGCTGCACTGGCAGACCGTTTGGAGATGACCAACGAGGCCAAGAGCACTTACCAGCGCATCTATAAGAACACTCTCCGTGAAAACGTCATTGCTCCGGAGGGTATCGAAGCTGCGCTTGCCCTGATCAATCTCTATGAGAAGGAGATGCAGTGGAGCTCGGCCTTGGACATCTACCGACACTTGTGGCCTACTGTCGTCGTGCAAGATACCACGCGTGCCTTTGATCGCTTACAGACTGAGCGTCTACTCGAAAAGACTTACATTGGCTACATGACTATCTTGACAACTCACATGAAGAGCTCCGACTTCTCTGAGAGGTACAAGGTTTCATCTGACTATGTGACTACCTGCCGCAATGTCTATGGTCCCACGCACCAGAAGACCCTAAGTGCAACTCTCCTTTTCGCTGAGTTATGTGAGACCCACGATTCGTACATTGATCAGGCTATCATGCTATACAAGCAGCCACTTCAGACAAGCGAGTGGGTGCCAACCTCGCAAGCCTCCAAGGGTCTGGACCAGATGACCCAGGCACTGCCGATCACTCTAAAGCACAAGCTGGCCCAGCTGTTTGTTCGAAAGCGTGATTCCACCAGTGAAGCTCGCTCACTGTACACTGAGGAGTTCCAGCTTGGCAAGAAGACTCAAGGCCTCTTCTCCACTACCACACTGTCCTGGCTTCGCGAGCTTGCTCTCGCCCATTCTCGACAGGGTACTCCAACCTCTGTTCAGCAGGGCAACGCTCTCCTCCACAACTATCTCACCGAATGCATGCATGCCGGTGGAGACAATGAAATGATGGCCAACTGGGCACGCAAGATCGCCGCCATTTATCTCGAGTGCGGTTTTATCGAAGGGGGAAACAACGTGCTCGACGAGCTCCGCCAACGCGTAGTCTACAGCTCCGAGACTTCCGTAGTGGCTATCCACGAACGCCGCGAGGCAATATTCGTGTCTTCCTTTGAAGAAGCCTTCGGCCGTCGCGCTACCTCGGATCAAATTATGGACGAGATGGCTCGCGAAATGCAGACCCAGCAGGCCTTTGCGAAGAATCTATCTGGTCACGACTTCATTCCAACATTGATCTCTGGCGATCGTCTCATTCGTTTGCAGACAGAGCAGAACCGCACTCGAGCTGCGATGGATACACGCAACAAACTGTACGAGTACTTCTGCACCACGCTGTCTGCTATTTCGATTGCGGATCGGGATGTCGTCAAGCAGTTCTTCAAGATCTGTTTGCGGGAAGTTCATAATGAGAAGTATAATCTGAATATTCTCAACACGACCACTAAAATGGTTCGCGACTTGTGCAATCAATCCCGTTTCCAGGATGCGAGCGACGTCACCAGCGTGCTGCACTCGTTCCTCCATCTCACCGATGGTCTCAACAGCTACGACAGTATCATCACCGCTACAAAGCTGTGCCTGTATCTTAGTGGTCACGAAGCCACCAAGTGCGAGAACAAGGCTCTGCAAACCGAGATGTCCTCCAAGGCGAAGATGCTCCTACAAGCACTCATGGCATCAGCCAAGACCATCGGTATCGAGATCGTCGACCTTCCATTCCACGAGTTGAACGACATCATAACCCTCCTCGGCGAACACGAAATGTTCGACGATCTAGAAGGTATCCTAACTCAACTCTGGACCTCCCGCATCGTCCAACGAACCTGGACACCCGACGTGGTCGTCTGGATCGGCCGTCGCCTCGTTGAAACACGCTTCTGCCGTGGCTCTGTCGACTCGGCTATCCAGCTATGTCGCGATATCTGCTACAACCTTCGCCAAGTATGGGGATCCTGTGACCCAGTCACCCTGGAAATGACCAAGCTCTTATCGGGACTCTACACCGCGTCCAACGATCACAAATCCACAGCCGCCCTTCACGAAGGGGCCCTGCACGACTTGATGGGTGACTTCAAGGCAAAGAATCACCCCCGTGCTGCGGACACTGCGTCCCAGCATATGGAGCTGCTCCGTCGGGCACAGTCTCGTTTGGGAGTGGACAAGAGCGACAGTTCTTCCAAGGCTTCTGCCCACGCGGGCCTTATGGCGCAAGTGGCGGACCGCTTTGGCTTGCAGTCGGAGCAGATTAAGGGGGTGGGGGATGCTAATGGTGGGGAGAATTTCGGTGTATGGTCAAGACCGAGACGGTTTAGTATTGATGTCGAGGATTTGGACGATCAGGGTCAGACTCATCAGAATCATTTGCGGCAGTCGAGTGGTGCTGGTCTGACTAATGGTAGTGGTGCGCCGAGAAGGATTTCGGTGCAGGCACTTTAACCGTCTGGGCTGGTGTTTTGGTGGAAAAGATGGATTAAATTGTTACTCATCACCCACTTTTGAATGTGTTGGCGTTTGAAATTGTTCGAAAAGGGGATATGTGTGGGATCAAATTGTAAAGTTAAATCTACAGTCTTAGGTTCAGTCAATATCAGTCATTCTTCATGAATCTCCTCTACCTAGGGCTTCTAGTCATACGGGATAAGACGGAGCGATTGAGATAAGAGAGCATGCAATGTTCAAAACAATTGCTAATTGAGCTCGATGGACTTCCTGCTAGGGACCCGAGTCAGACACCGAACGCCTGTTGTTTTGTGATATTCCACGAGTGAAAACGAATACTAGAAGTTCTCTATGCGAGAAAAAGCTGGAAGAATTTACTCTACTCTAACGATATGCTATTCGTCTAATGCCGTATCAACGTAAGATATGTATGAAGAAGAGCGTCGGTTGCGGTCTATGTACGCCATAGAAGACATACACTTCCAGCACCTAACAATAAGTAACGAATGACAATATACAATCATGGACGGCATGCCCTCACAGAGCACGACATTTAACAGAGGGAACATGGTAAAAACAAGCCCTATAAACAACGAAAACGCCAAACCCCGTCTTTTCTTGTTCTCTCATCTGCAGCTCGCGCCAGCACTCATGCAAGAATAAAAACGTTAACACTCGTAGAGTACTTCCACTCCATCATTCAGCCAAGTCGAGGGTCAGTGCAGGGCCAAGGCTTAAGCCGTCAGGGCAAAACTGAGTCCCATCAGACCCATACCCGCAACGGCGAATCCAATGCCCATGTTACGGTGGTGTGTCAGGCCCAAACCCTCGCTGAAAAGCTGTAGCGCAACAGATGTCATTACGCCGGCAGTCATGGCGAACATGCCACCGTATACACCCCAAGATGGACCCGTGGAGTCGTGGCCCGTGTGTCCAGAGCCCCAAATCCAGAGTGCTGCGATTGCCGCGCCGGCGGGTTGACTGATTCCGCCTAGAAGGCTAGACCAGAACATGGCCTTCCAGCGGGAGTTCAAGGCGAGGTATAACGGTAAGGCCATGGCGAAGCCCTCGACGATATTGTGGATGAAGAGGGCCAAGAAGACGGTCAGGCCGAGGGTCGGACTGGCATGGTTCGTGGCGTAAGTGATGAAACCTTCTGGGAGCTTGTGAAGAGCGATCGCGAGGGATGTTTGCAGGCCAATGGAGAGGAAGGCGTTTTGTGGTACATGGTGGTGGTGAGTGGGATCCGGAGCCGGTTTTGATGAAGCGGATTGGCCTCCATTTTGGTGATGGTCATGATGATGAGAGCCATGGTCGTGATGGTGGTGGCCGTGATGTATAATCCCAGAGTCATTCGTAAGTTCAGAAGAGTCCTTTTGCGTACGTGATGGTGAGGAAGAAGTCGAGATCGAGTGATTGACATCTTCCGACATCGTCCCAAAGTAACCCGTGTCTGTAGCGGTCTCGACAGAGTCTATACTCGGTTCCTGATCACGCCGACGATCCGAGTTCAGCTGCACCTCAATACTGTGAGGGTGTGGCGCTAGCTCCGGTCGAATGACTCCGTCCGTGCCCTCAGTCGGTGGCGGGGGTATACTTGGGCCAAGGATTTTGGTGCATTCACGCCCGCAAGTCTGTGAAAAGCCGTAGCAGGGTCCGTTCTCATCGCAGAGAGGCTTAACACCGCCCATGAGAGAGCTGATGCGCCGGGAAAAAGCCGATCGTAGAGATTCCCGCCGCCTTGGGCTTGATGAGTAGTCTGTCCGCTGGGGAATTTGCGATGTAGACTTAGAGGGCTGCTGACCCGAGGGTCGCAAGAGGGGGGTTCTCTCCGTGCTACCATTAGCATGTCGGGCCTCTGTGCGGTCATCGCAGTCCTGCATCTGCTCGCCACGCTCGGGATCTTGTTCCGGACCATCATGAGTGTGCGCGCAGTCCACTACGTGCGATGGGATGAAACGATGGAGAAACCCGGATGCAACCCGAATGACAACCACACCGGCGATGAACAAAGCTGTCAAGATATAGGCTGAGACGGAAGGAGAAAAGCCGGCGCGGGTCAGGTAGTCCTTAGAGTTTGGCAGCATGCTGTACAGAGAAGTAAAGAGCTAGTTGGAGGTTAGATCGGTCGTAAATTGGGCACCGAAGAGAATCTAGATCTTAGTACTGACCATTACACCTGCACTTAGACACAGTGAGGCCGACAGAAAGTTATTACTGTTGGCGATTTGGAACTTCTTGTCATGGGTGACCCGGCGCAAGACAATGTCCGCGCAAATAACGGCCGACCCGAGGACACAGGCTGAACAAACGATTCAAGTCAGTGAATTCAATAATACCGGTCCGGAGCATGCTAGTACTCACCCACGCCCGAGACGGCGCTCATCACCCATCCCCGCAAGTCGTTAGCAGCCATGGCGGGTGGAAGGTGGCAGAGAACGGGAACTCTCCCGGTGATGTCAGTGACGCTCAAATGGAACGGCAGTTGGCGGTCAGTGTCGAAAAGTTGCCTCTTACTTTTTGCCAACTACAATGCTGTTACTGAATCGTCACCGTTGAACACGGATGAAGAAGATGAGCCATGATGGGGAGAAGATGCTGCCATCCTAGCACTCGACCTGCAGGCGCCCGCGCTGGGCATTCCTGTTGCACCCAAGGTCCTCGTTTTGATCCTGTACTCCGCTCTCTCCGCAGCCCTAAAATGCGGGCAGCGGCATGACTCGGGGGATGGACCAGAACGCCCGGAATTTCACAGCCCAAGGATTGATTTTGGGAGAGATGAAGCTATCTTACTAAATATCAGAGATCCAAGGGCACACTGACTGATTGATAGCTGGGTCAGCTATGCTTAGCCCGTTCTGGCATTCGAGATCTCGAGGTCCCTAAGCAGCCAAATGGACCCTCTGATCTGCAGCTCAGACTGACCAGTCAGACGCATACCATTGACCTCCTTATCTTGTTAATTCCGATGACCAATAGGAACTTGATCATTATGCACTTGAAGCCAACTAACCATCTCACACGCACCCAACGAAGGGAATCCATTACTGACCATGTGACTCGTTGATTGGCTCGTGACCTTTCCAACTGGCAGCGACCATCGGACACCTGCTTATGTAACACATACGATATCACTACCGCCCTGGTCACCGCCAACGTGCCCCCCATACTAACTCCTTCTTTCGGCCGGTCCAAAACAAGGCTGACTGATCCTGGGGAAAGTGACTGCTGCCGTTTTTTTTCTCGTGATTCGCGCGCGCCAACTGAAAAAAAAAGTACACACTCGCGACGTTCGGTCGCTCTTTCTCAAACTTCCCCCTCCCACCCTTTCAAACTCCCCATTTCTCCCAAATCTCACCAGGGACTCTATACCGACCATGTCGAAAGCAACTTTGGCCGTCATCGCGGCCGCCAGTGCAGCCACCGGCGCTGGAGTAACTGCCCTACTCTACTCCTCGAAGCCATCCCAATCTCAATCCCAACAACAGCATCTACCCCAGCAACAAGTGCCCCCTCCTCCTTCAATCGCCGGCGATGTCAAAGTTCCCACAGCCATCCCAACACCACCTCTCGCCGCGAAAACCACCACCGGTCCCGTCAACCCGGCCGGCATTCTGAAGTATGGTTTCCCCGGCCCAATCGCCGACGAACTTTCCACGCTCCCTCTCCACGGCGCCTATGACCGTCGCACCCGTAACCCAGCCTGGGTCGCCGAGCATATTACCCCTCAGTCCCTGGCACAGAACAACGCAGACCGCAAGCACAGCACTTTCGCAGAGGATACCTCCATCCCGGCCATTTTCCGCGCCAAACTGGCTGATTACTTCCGCTCCGGCTATGACCGCGGCCACCAGGTGCCCGCCGCAGACGCGAAATGGTCGCAGGGCGCCATGGACGATACTTTTTACTTGAGCAACATGTGCCCGCAGGTCGGCGAGGGTTTCAATCGGGACTACTGGGCGCATTTCGAGGACTTTTGCCGAAAGCTTGCCTCGCGGTACCCCTCCGTTCGGGTCGTAACGGGCCCGTTGTATCTGCCCCATCGTGATCCGGATGGAAAGTGGCGTGTGAACTATGAGGTTATCGGTAACCCGCCTAACGTGGCGGTGCCGACGCACTTCTACAAGGTGATCTATGCCGAGGATGGGACCGATTCGCCGACTAGCAAGGTTGCGCTCGGTGCGTTTGTGTTGCCTAATGCGCGCATCCCGAATGAGAAGAGTCTCTCGGAGTTTGAGGTTCCCCTTGAGGCGGTTGAGCGGGCGTCCGGGTTGGAGTTTGCGGCCGCGCTGGATCCTAGTCGCCGTCGTCGGTTGTGTCAGGAGATCAAGTGTGACATTGTTGTGCGGGAGTTCAACAATGCCAAGAAACGGAGTTAGATGGGGGAGCTAGGTGGTGGGTTGGATGGAGTGTGAGATATCGACGAGATGGCTGTTTTAGGCTCTCGTGGCCTTTGTATATTTAAGACATTGTTCGTGCATTGTTTCGGGCGTTTACTGTCCCCCCATCGGGGGAGTGATATCATTCGGTATATACATTAACCTTGCAATTGAAGGCTCTTGTCTATAATGTCATGTTTTAACTCCCACTCTTTTCCTCGTTAGATGGGCCTGTCAGGGTACTCCTGCGATCCTCTCAGCACTGGAATGCCACACCACTCTTGGTAGCAACGTTCCCTCCACCTCCAGCAAATCCCGTACCTTCCGAGCTAATCTCCACCAGCCCAGGCTGAACGGCATCCTTCTCCTTCTTCTTAGACTTCTTCTTCGTCCCTGCATCCCCGTTCGGCCCATTAGGAGTGATATCCGTCTCGCAAACATAACACAGCACCAGTCCATGAAGTGCCGCAGTTTTCGCCTGCTCTTCCTTGGAAGCATGGGGATCTGGGACATCGTGTGGAGTCATAAACTTCGTAACGCATGGTGAGCAGATCACATGTCCACACGGTTTCGTCACTAGAGTTGATGGGTCAGAACATTTCAAAATCAAGTCAATACGCCAGTAGGCATTTAGCACATACGCATAGCTTTCAAGCCATTGCTAAGATTCTTCTTGCAACTGGGACACACGCGTGATACCGTCCCGTCCGAGGCCTTTTCTTCCGTAAAGTGTACATCGACCAGCGACTTGAGCGAGTAGCTATGCGTGTGCGTCTCATTCGACCCAGGACACATGGGCGTTAATTTAACAGCCTTGTTAGCCGTGATTTCATCGTGGTCCGTCGACGGCGTGAGAGATGGGACCCAGAACGACGGTAGAGCAGATTTACTCGAGCTCTGCGAAGACACACATATTAGCAACTTGGAACAATTCCTCTCGAGAGCAATTGGAAGGCCCCCCCCCCCAGCCGGTACGACAGCGAGTGCTATGTCCATACCTTCTCCTTTTCAATCTCCTTCTTCAATCTCTCCTGCTCATCCCTCGCAACTTTGGCCATAACCTTTTCATCCAACTCAAAAACCTTCCTCCTCTTCCCCTCACCATCAACCTCTACCAGCTTCCCCTTCTCTTGCTCATCCGCCCCTTCCTCTGCTGCCTTCCTCTTTCTCCCACCCTCAAGCCCCATAGAAACCATCTCAAACTCCCTCAGATCCCTAACCTTTGCCTCCTCCCTCCTCCTTTCCTCATCCTCCTTGATTCTCCTCCGGGCCTCCTCCCTCTCTTTCTCCAGCCTCTTGATCTCCTGTCGCTGCGCAAGCAAATCACTGATCGCACACTCGCGACAGAAGAGGTCTCCGTTCGTGGCGCAGGCGACGACCGGTGCGCGCGCGGGCTGGAGGCAGAGGCGACATGAGGCGAAGGGGAGGAACGAGTCTCGGCTGATGTGGCTGCGTTTTGTGCCCCATGTTGAGCGGAGGAGGTTGCGTTCGTAGGACGTAAAGTGGGGAAGGGAGGTGTTGCGTTTTGAGTGCGCCATTGTTGACAATGGTGGGTTGGTGTGTTGAGGAGAGAGAGAGAGAGAGAGAGAGATTGGGGTTGGAGTGGTTGGAGTATGAAGTAATTGTGGTGTTTTTGGGCGGCAGTAACTTTTTTCGGTTCACCGCCTGGATGTCCGCCTTTGTATACTAATAGGTGGGATTGATGATAGGTTAGAAGCATTGTCTACACTAGTTTCATGCACAAGAGGTTCAATAATTGATGCTTTTGTCTAATGTAGCTTAGCACCCCGGTATGTTAGGCACCCATAACAAGAACCCGAGGGAAACGAGCGTTACGCTACATCCAGTCCTTTGCGAGTAGACCAAACCAGATCCGAGTCTGCAGATTGAAAGATTCAAGAAAATTGCGCCGAATAAAAGGGAGAAGACGCAAGCATCACACCGATATGCAATCCATCCGATAACCAAGACCCAAACCGAAACCAAACCCCCGACGTACAGGACAAAAGGAAGAATATGGACCAGAACAGACCAACAAAGATGCAGTGAAATGCAGGTAGGAGCCAAGATGGACGAACGGGTTCAATGCTGTTGTCATGCAAGTGCCGTGCAGAATGGAAAAAATTCGAGGCTAAAAAGAAGGAACATGATGGAGTAGAAAAGAAAAAACCACTTGTGCGAGATAAGATTTGAAATTGAATCGGGGTATAATAGTCGTAATGTAAACAACGGGCGCAGATCCAGGGGAAAAGAAAATTGAGTCGAGCTATACAATGATGCAGAGGCGGTGGATCGAGAAAGGGAGGGAGAGAAAAGAGAATGAGGGAAAATGCGGATAGGTTGAAGAATTGTCAGGAGGTAGGCTCAGGCACCGACAGCTTGTTGTCGGAGATTTTCAGAGGACGGGGTATCAACGACTCGTTCACTGAGCGAAGTAGACGAGGGTGAGGTAGTTTCTCCGGGTGCAGCCAAGTGGCTGCCATGAATGACAGATCCAGTACCAGTACCAGTGCCGGAGGTTGACGACGGCTTGTTCTCAGACTCTGGTGCAGGTTGGCCGAGTGAAAGAGGTTGTTCTAGCTCGTGGCCGGCAGCCTGCGAGGCCGGTCGTTTAGGAGAGTCTGAGGGTAACGCCTCGTGGGCATCCTTGAAGAAATCAATAGTTTCATCATCGCTGCCCAGGCTGAGTCCCGTAGTCGTGCTGACACTCATGTGCGAGTGACGACGGTCAGCGGGCATATGATCCGAGGTCACCGATTCTCCACTGCCGGTAAGGACAACGGGATCCAAAGCGCGTGGCTCTTCATGAGGTGTAGATTTGCGCAGTTTAAGGCGCTCCTCCGGGGGCATGTTTTGCCACTCTGAGCCAAAGGTAATGATAGAAGCTTTCTTGCCATGCACGGTGAAGCTGGGCGTCTTGCGCGCAAGTCCACTGCTCTCGTTTGCGTCGTCATCGGGACCATTCAGGCTCGATACGGAATCCTTCTTCTTATGGCGTGAGTGATGTCGGTGAACATGGTGCGGCTCACGAAGGGTTCGGTGGAGGCTGCGGCGGACACGGCTGGGCCTGTTATCACTCTGCGAGATTTCAGAAGACTCTTCGGGTTTACTCTCCGACTCATCTTCCGGCACGGTAGCGGAAGGCTTGCGTGGCGGGGGCGAGCCACCGAGGTCAAGTAGACCCGTCTCTCGCAGTAGACGCTCTTCATTATCATCAAAGCTGACGGGAGAAGTAATTTTGGAGGCCCGCGATCCCAAACTGGCACCGTCGAACTTGCTTCCACGGCTGAGCACCGAGGCTTCCCGTTCGAGGTGCGAGGCACTGTCGGACCAGCCTTCGGACATGATGGCAATGGAGAGGGGCCGCCCAACTCGACCAAAGTCGGATGAGGTGGTGGAGGTTGGTATGCTGGGTCGTCGCATTTCCTCGTTCGGGGGCTCAACCAGAAGACCAGTATCAATGGGAGGCTTCTCGACGGGGACCGACACAGCAGGCTCTTCAGGGATATCGTGGCTCGATGCCGCGTGCACAATGCTGGGTGCCCCACGAACGCTGTTCTCGGAGGCGATAGATGGCCCAGAGACGGAAGCCACCCGGGCAGGGCCAGTCACGGTTGATACCGTTTGTCCACCCACGGACCCCGTCCGCTCATCCATCACAGTCTCCTCCTCTCCAAGATCTCGAAGAAGCACTGCACGGTAGCACTTGTTGCGCCAGATGTCCTGTCGAACCCACTTGAGCTTTGCGGCCATACGAGCTGCCGCCATGATGACATTCTCACGAGCGCGAGGAGTGACCGGGGTTAACACTTGCAGATGCCGAGCGTTTCGCAAGAGATCTTCCAGTTGTTTCTGAGTAACGGACAGCTTCTCATTGGTATCGCGGATCTTTTGGCTCATCAGCTGTCGACGAGCTGCGACAAACTCGGCCACAATGTCATTGTCAATGCTAGGCGATTCGGGTTCTTTATCCCCTGACCGGCGTGACCCGAGCGACGAGACGGATCCCATACGCTGGCTCTTGCGGTATCGCTGGCCCTCGTAATTTGTAGCAATCATACCTTTAGTACGAACACCCGTGGTACGGAAGGCGGCAGCGTAGTTAAGCTTAGCAATCCAGTCATTCATCTCAGGCTCCGAGGTTGCTAAGAAGACTTCTTCCAATGCATTGGGCCGAACGAACGAGAAGGCGTGTTTATGCTTCTTGTAGCTGTGGTCGAGCAGAGCTACGGCATCATTTGTAGACATGATACCATCCGGTTTGAATTCAGCCAGAGGAGGCCGGAAAACGAGGGTGCCTTTGCGGCCATTCTTCACGTACGCATCGTGCTGAGCCATCAACGTTCGCACCCAAGTTACGTTGCGGAAAAAGTAAAGTTGGGAGAATGTCAAAACCGCGCCCCATTCGGCCCAGGGTGATCGTGCCCGCTTCTTCTTGGGATCCTTTCGCCAGAGCAACCCAACCTTGGCCACCTTGATATCCACAAGACCCGGGTGTGAGTCAGCTGGGTTATCAAGGCTTGCCTGCATGAACGCATCGGGCCTAGAGCGGAGAGAAATGATTTGCAAGATGCCAGACTTGGTAAAAGCCTGGTGAAGATCGTCCATATCAGGCAGACCGCCGGTTCCAACATGGTCGTAAGTGTCCTCGAGATCCATCACATCCTTCAGACTGGGTTTCAGGGTTCCGAGCTTGTCATCCATGATGAGTGTGTAGGGATCTACAGGTTCCCTCGCCATCAGAGGCAAATGATCAGAGCTGGTGCTTTTGAACAATGCACGCCGGGGTTTCGCCAGGTGGCGATCGCGAAGGTTTGCATCCTCAACATGGATAAAGGGCGTGTATGAGATATTCTCGTAGAAGCATTCGAGGATGTCCTCTGCGATACCCTCTCCGCGGCAATTCTTGACATAGTCAGGTTTCTGCATCTTCCGCTTATTGTTCTTGTTGAACACGTCGGTGTGCAGGATAAGAATGGAGAATGCGATGAAGTAAGCTTGATCGGTCGAAGCAAAGATTCCGGGGTTGCATTCATGATAGCGATCTGCGAACGCTTGCAGGAATCGGTCAATTTGCTGGGTCTCCTTTGGCAATTCCACCTCCATCAAAAGCTTGCGAATGGCCATGTCAATTGGATCACCAAAGTACGAGAATGATCGCATGTACTTCCGTAGTCCGACCTTGAAGAATTCGTCGTCCGACTGGGCCAGGACACCTCCAATCATGCCGCGCGGTAGGTTCTCCTCCAGCTTGGTCAGGTATGCGGCTGGCGTCTCTCCTTCTTCATGGGCAGGGATTGGCGGAAGATCCGCCTTGACCGGGGTTGTCACTCCACCAATACCTGGGGAACCGTTGCGAGGAATCACCGGCTCGGAGTTTTGTCGCAGTCGCTGCGAGATGCTGAAGATGTCACCGAAACTCTTCCGTCCACTGGTGGAGGTGGACGTCCGTCCGGACGATGCCAGATACGGAACTGACGATGATTCATCCACGTTGTTCTCAGCGAGTGACCCCATGGTAGAAGACCTGCCGCGACCCTGATGGGAGGGATTTGATCGAATGGACCGAGCCGAATTTGTCGAATTATTCCGAAGAAGTGGCGGTGCGCTGGAACCAGCCAGGCCAACCGATGACCGTTGCGGAGAGGGGAGTGGTGAGACCTGATCATGATCTGAGCCATCGGATTTCGGGGTCTCGGCCGCAGGGAAATTGTTCGAGGTTGGTGGGAGCTTTGGGGGTAGTGGAAACAAGGGGCTACGATGTCGCTTCAATCGGGGCATGCGGAATCGCTTGCTAGTTGCGGCTTGGCCATCACGGGGGGAGTTTGTCCGGAAGGTCTGGTCTCCGTAGCTTTGATCTGATCGGGATGATTCTGAGAAGCGCGCATCCGTGACTGACACCGACGACCGCTGGGACTCGTTGAACGTCTGGTCTCGACCTCCACTTCGTATCGACGTGGTCGAGAGTCTCCCCGGTTCCTCCGGGGCTGATGTCGGATACGTCGAAAGACTGGACTCGGCGATTTGGGAGTCGGTCGATCCCTGATGCTTTCGTTCCGTCCTGCGGAAATAGTCTCCTGAGCTTCGGGATAGATCTTCCATGGAGTGCTTGCGAGAGGACGGGCGTAGTCTGAGCTTATGTCGCTGTTTGACGGGCTGGTCGAGTTCGTGGCTGGTCGGGGCCGTGGTGATGATCTTGGGAGCTTCAGAGTAGGTCAGCAACCAGTTCCTCAAACAAACATCACTTTCTCATGCATCATTCTACGGATCGCAAGTCCACTCGCTACCAGCGGCCCGGCATGTAGAAAGCCGTCGTGAATATGTCGAGCGAGAGAGATACGTGGTGGACTTACGCGGGAGCGAAGGTACTGGCGGAGCTTCCCCAGCGTTTGCATAAGACTTGGAAAGCTGTGGATCCGAGGCGTGACGCAGTCTCATAAAGCTGAATCGATTCCTCCTCAAGCTAGGGGTATCCCCCCTCGAGGGGCCTGCAGGGAAATCCGCCCGCGCGACGGGAGCCTCTGGCCCCCTCTCACGCGGGACTTGCAATCGTGACGCCGTCCCATCACCGTCAGTGTTAATGTCGTCTGATTCGACCAGGTCCGAGAAGCGAGAAGTGGATTCGGAGTATCTGGGCTCGTTGATGGGGGCCAAGGGACGTGGGAGGTGTTCGCTGCGACGGCCCTGGGGTTGGTGGGATTCAATGGTACTTTGGCGCTTGGAGCTCCCATCGGCGACGAGTCGCAGGCCTTTCCAATGCATGGCTGCGGAGGACCGAGGTGTTCCAACCCATGCGTGGCCGTTGAGAAGCCCAGCTGGTAAAGGGAAAGTAGAAGGTCGGTAACAAAGAGAGGGGGGGGGAATATCAGATGTCGAGGGATGATGAACTCAATGGCGGTGCATGGCGACGTGGAGTGTTCCAGAACGCGGGATTCGGAGGTGGAGTGAACCGGTCGTCAGCTCGAGGGAAAAAAAAAGGGGAACGCGGGAAAGTTGGAAGGGCGGTGCTGGGAAACTTCCGCAGGTTTGAAGAATTATGGATCGAAATTGTAAGGCACCTGCACGCGCCACACGACCGTACTGGACCAGATCGGAAGTGGACTTGGGTTCGGTTCTTGCAGTTGGTATGAACTCAGAAAATATCGAGTCCGATTTGAGGAGTGATTGAACGAGTTGGAGAGGAGGGGTAGTGGTTCAAGGCAGACGAGTTTCGGGGTAGGAGGTGCCCTGAGCGCGGCTACCAAGAGGGGGACCAGTCTACGAGACGAGAGATACTCGAGGAATTGGTATCTTGGAGAGAAATAATATGATCGAAGAAGAACGAGAACATGTCGATTCAATACTGTGGATCGGTGCTATTCATCGCGCCCGGAGTCGTCCACGTCTGCGACGCAGCTCTGCATTATTCCTCGGATATAATAATAGTACCAAATCACCGCACTAGCTGAATCAAACTGCAACGATAATTACGACAACTCCAGTTTGAGCCGATTCGAGACATCGAGGCCCGATGGAGAAAAGAGGCGACTCTCAACATTCTAGACTGCGGCGTGGCCGGATGAGTGGGGAGGCCCTGCGGATATTGTGCGGTCTAGACTGGAGAGAGCGATAATTATAGATGTTCGATGCACTCGACGGCTGAAGCAATGTCTATTGTACTCGTCCCTGGCTCCTCATAATGTGAATCGATCTCGCATCAATAATTCAATCTTATAATATAATATCCAATTGAAGTATCATTGACCGGCCTGTCGGGTCTACACTGAATTGGTTCTTCTGAGGATGCTTCTAGAACTTTTCCAAGTCGAACATGATCGTACGGAAGGTACACACGTATAGCACGGATGAGTAGTAGTCACGATTTACCACCTATACCCCATTGAATTTGACAGGCTAGCCATCGTTTCTAGATTTCTCGACAATAGAAATGCCGCGCTATAGAATCATGGATGTACCCTTACCCTATTGACCAAAATGGACTGTCATTCTGTGATCCTCATGGTTTATATATCGCTGGATAATCCGAGATGGGTTCACTCAGTTCACTCAGGGGGTCGTCTAGATCCGTTTTGCTTTTTTAAAGTTTATCTAATCTGGTCCTTGCCCAGACATATGCCTTACCATTTACTATTGTCGGATTCCAGCTCTGGATAGTTCCAGGTTCGCCCATGCTCGCCTCTGGCCACTGACGTATTGCGTACAAACCCTATTTCGTATCACGTACCTCTCTGGCAACTCTCCGCCAAACTAAACCCCTCCCGTTATTCGCCTGCCTAACAGCTCTTGAACTTCAATTCTCCCAAATTGAATGTCATGACTCCCTGACAGTTTGTATACTTTTGTACATTGTACGATGACCTATGCAACCGCCCTGACTGGTGTTAGTCGTTAATCATCTTGTGCCTTATCGTTCCCTATCGCCTTCTCCGCACCGTTCCCGGTTGACAGTCTGACACCTCTCCACTCCGTTCCATTCGTCCCTCTTCCAATTTCTCAACCTCCCCTTTCGCTCTTTCAATCTTTCTTTACACCGACCCCCCACACCACCACCCTCGACTGGCATTGCCCTCTACCTCTCTCACGCCGTGATGCGTGTCCTCCCCTCCGTCCTGCTGCTCTCGGCCCTCTGCCAACCCATCTTGGCAGTCCCCGCCGGTTCCAGCATTGCACCCGGTGCTCCGCCGCCACTCCAGCCGATCAAGCTTCTCGACCAGCCCTCCAACCCGCGCCGCCCATGGACTCGCCTGCGTGACTGGCTCATTGAGTCGGTCTGGGGTCTACCCCGGACGTGTCCCAAACATACCGGGATTCCGTCTAACGTGCGCGATCGCTACGGCAGCGATGTTGTGGTCCGCTTTCATCTGCGTCATCCCGACGATGCGGAGGCACTAGCCTCGGCTTCGAGGGTATTGGTGCTTGATATCTGGGCCATTACCGCGCAATATGTAGATATTCGACTCGCTGAAGATATGGTATGTACACCGGCCCTCGATCGCTTAAAGAATCCTTCCTTCGTATCCCGAGGTCTGATCTCATGACCTAGATTCCTTCTCTCCTCGACCTGCTACCCCCTTCCCTCCGCTCAAACCATACCCCTCTCATGGACGACCTTGTCGATATGATCTATAACACCTACCCAAGACAATTACACCATTCATCCGATACGGAACCAGATTTCAGATCCGGGAGCAGGCGGACTGCCACCGCGCCGGTCGGCGATGTCTTTTTCCTTGACTATCAGCCCCTCTCCGTTATCGTGCAGTGGATGCGACTGATGGCATCAATGTTCCCTACGCATACCCGACTCACCAGTGTCGGACTCTCCCACGAGGGACGAGATATTCATGCGCTGCGAGTTGGCATTACACCTTCTCCGTTGGGGCCGGACGGCCCGCGCAAGACGATCGTCGTGGTGGGCGGTTCCCACGCCCGAGAGTGGATCAGTACCTCCACGGTTACCTACATCGCATACAGCCTCATCACCCAGTATGGCCATTCTGCCGAGGTCACCCGTCTCCTTCACGAGTATGAATGGATTTTGATCCCAACCCTCAACCCGGATGGCTACGTCTACTCGTGGGAGTCGGATCGTCTCTGGCGCAAAAACCGGCAACCCACCGGCCTGACTTTGTGCCGGGGAGTCGATCTGGACCGAGCTTGGGACTTTGAATGGGACGGCGAGTCCACCCGGTCGAACCCGTGCTCTGAAAACTACGCAGGTTCGGAGCCCTTCGAGGCACTCGAGTCCCACCGGCTGGCCCAGTGGGCGCAGAACGAGACCGATAGCGGCCGCGCCGATATCGTGGGCTTTTTGGACCTCCACTCGTATTCCCAGCAGATCTTGTATCCCTACTCGTATAGCTGCTCCTCCGTCCCTCCGACCCTGGAAAGCCTCGAGGAACTGGGTCTTGGTTTGGCCAAGGCCATTCGCCAATCTACCCACGAATCCTACGATGTCACATCCGCTTGTGAGGGTATCCTGCCAAACGGCGAAGCCGCCCACATCAGCTCCGGCGGCAGTGCCCTCGACTGGTTCTACCACAAGCTGCACGCGACATACTCATTCCAGATCAAGCTGCGAGACCGCGGTAGCTACGGCTTCCTGCTTCCCCCCGAGCACATCGTCCCCACCGGCAAGGAAATCTTCCACGCAGTGTTGACATTTGGCCGATTCGTCTGGGGCGAGAAGACTGTCGAACATGACGAGACCGACATTCCAGCTTACAAGCCTCCGTTCAATTTTGAACAGAAGCCGTTGTCGAAGAAGTAGATGATTCATCTACCCTTGTGAAATTTGAGATGACTGATCTGCATGTACTTATGTCAGGCGTTTGTGGGTTCTTTTGATATGGATTTTTAGGTACAGGACTGTACATAGTGGGCTTTTTTCAGGGACGTAAGTTCTTTCGATGCGATTCAGGCATTGGACATGACGAGATATGAACCAAAATGTGATTTTTTGAATCATTTCAGATATCAGTAGTTTCAGTGGAATAGAAAATCGGATCGTAATTTATCTGAAGGTTTGCGTGCCAACGAACCTGAGGACTCGCGATAATTATGACAAGATAGAGTTCTTGCTCCCTGCTTGGTAGCGTTTGCTTACGATATTTCATAGCCCGTTGTCGTCAAAGTCCGGACGGTATATTTGGCCAGGTAGAGGCCTGTGAGGGTTTGGTCTACTTTCAAGAATTGGATTTGGCCTTGTGTGCTTTTATTTCCCCGTCTGTATGGTCCACCCCCCGTTGGATAGGTTAAACCGTATGATAATTTCCATCCTGTTTATCTAGGATGGCATTAACGACACGACCGAAAAGTTCATGGCACGACGAGGCTAGTCCTAATGAGGAGCGCTACCTCTTCAATACAGAATGCTACATTTGAGATTTACAAAATACCAGCAGTGTCCTTATGTGTATATAAGCTTATATCTTTTCTAAGATATAGAAAGACTATTAGAAAAGACCATAGAAAAGACCGTAAAAAAGGGTAATAGTAGGAGGGGAAGTAGAATAATAACTTAGTCTATTATAGGCATAAATAGATAGAGGTCGCGTATACAGTCGCTAAAGATATTAACGAGAAGTATCAATATGAATTATACATAATGACTCGATAGGTCTTTTTGTGAATTTCGAATGTAGCACTTTGTATTGAAAGGGGGGGGGGTTCCTCATTAGGACTACCCTCGTCGTGCCATGAACTTTTCTGTCGTATCGTTAATGTCACCCTTTATCTATCCAATGCCCTGTGAAAACATTTCAAAACATGGGGAATTGTCTACCCCAGAGCTTGCCGGTCCAAGCTGTGAAGAAAAGCAATACTTGGTCATTATGTTCGACGGTCAAAGCGAGTATGTAGCTGATAATTCTCTGCTTAACTCGTTTCGTCATATCCCAAATCGCGGCTTCCTTGCTTATCTTCAAGTTCTTATTATGAGACAGGCATATCTCACAGGGCTGAGTAATTGAGATGCGAATCTCAACCCCGAAGATATGCTTTTGCAGATTCGCCCCAAACGGCAGCGCGCTTATAAAAATGAAATCCGGGCGCGTTACCCCCTTTCAGACCATCGATAGCCTCTGCAAGAGCCTCGCCGAGACCTTCTTCCCTGATTTCAGAAAGTGGGTAGAGCAGTGTTTTGAACGAAAAAAGAAGGGCTCGGGTCCGAGGTAGACGGTGGAGGAATTGTCTTTCGACGCGGACTCGAGCCTAGGATCGTTAGAGTGAAATCGCCACTAAATGAGGGGGCGACCTTACAATGTCGAGATCTAGATCTTGTTTGGTAGTCTTTTCACCCTCATACCCATGATTCCCGGTTGCCCTGAACAATCGATCGGTATTCTGAATGGTCCACTGCCAAGTATTAATTAGCTAGGCTGAACCGCTCGTCCAGTCTCGCGAACGACATACATTGGCCCGCTTCACAACCCTGCCGACTTTGATTCTATCAAAGAACCGGTCCATGCTTTTCTCCAATCTCTCTTTGTATTGAGGGACTGGGGTATGGATATCTCGAAGTTTCAGATTTAGCTTTTCCGCCGTGTTGAACCCGTTCGGGCAACAGGTCACAAAGCCCTTGAGGGTGACACTATCGCCGTCGTCCGATGGTAGTAGGAAGAGCAGGTCATCGTCAATTAATCCACCCATGGAGCGGAGCGTATCTCGTGGATCAGAATGTGGGAGAACGGGGTATCGCTCGTCTGTGACCAAACTTCGCAGATATTCTGGCTTTTCATCCGTTGCTGGAAGCAAGTGGAACATGGTAGGGTATCGAGTTGGGAGGTATATCCCCACCAGCCAGACGTAGAATTCATCCACAGCATCCTTGACACCGTCTGCAGCGCCGAGGACGGTCTCTGATTGCTCTGCCATGATCTTCTTTCGTAGTGTGATGCGCTCCAGATAGTTCTTGTCCATCTCAATCAGCTCGCTGATGGCTGTTTCCTGAATGCCTGCACAAGTACAAGTCAGAAGCGTGGTTCCTGTTTTTCATCGCGGTCGTCCACGTACTCATGGTCAAGTTGTATTTTGGCTTGAAAGGGCGAATCTTTACTGGCTCCTTACTCTGCCAGTGAAAATCGGGGAGGGCTTCAACTGGTGGGTAACAATTGGGCTTGACTTCTTTGCTGTTAGCTGGAGATGGGGTAGTCGAGCGATGACGTCTCCGCATTGAAGTGAACAGCAAGATCAAACTTGAAAACAAGCTGAAGCAGAGTATCGTCGGCCATCCAGGCCATTGTACTAGAGATATCGGGGTCATCATTGTCATTGTCATGAGAGTTCACAGAGATATTTTAAGCCACGGTAAATCAATCCTTTCCCAGCAACGATAAGTATTTCGCATCGAAGAAATACGATATAGACTCTGAAATGGTGTGAGGTGGGCCCCGCTTAAGTATCACGGTCAAGGTCAAGATCTTTGGAGTGTCCAGCCCGAGCTATCATTATCAAATGACTCATGAGACATTTGAAAGTGCTCATTTGAGCATTAAAAGTAAAAGATTTCATTGGTGCTAACATGAAGGGTAAGAACAAAAGCAGGGCGCGGCCACCAATACTCGTTTACCCCGCACAACCTTTATCTCTCTGTACTCATTTAACCTGCCCGATAGGGAATAGGCTCGGTCGGTGGCACTGATAAACAGCGAAGGGTAGTCTGGATAATGCGGGTGATAGGTGCCTTAAGGATAACCGATAGAATCTAGTATTTCTTCCCGCGTGGGACTACTATTATTGGTTACTCTTAAAGTCACGGCAAGCCCTGCGGATGGGATGCCCTTGGTAGGGTCTAGGAACCGGGCACAGTAACACCAATAAGACTGTGATAGACATGCGGGATGTTTGGGTGGGGCATTCTTAACGTGTGTTGATACACTTGTAAGAAAGCCAGGCTTACTCACCCTACCTACAACTTAGTAGCATTCGCTAATGGATAGGATGGCATCCACGACACGACAGAAAAGTTCATGGCACGACAAGGCTAGTCCTAATGAGGAACGCCCCCCTTCAATACAGAATGCTATATTCGAGATTTACAAAATATCAGTAGAGTCCTTGTGTATGTATAAGCTTATATCTTAGAAAAGACCTTGGAAAAATCCTTGGAAAAGACCTTAGAGAAGATCTTGGGAAAGACCGTAAAAATAGTGCTAGTAGGAAGGGGAGTAGAAGAATAACCTAGTCTATCATAAGGATCAATAGATAGAGGTCGCCTGTACAGTCGCTTAAGATATCAGCGAGAAACATTAATGTAAATACGTAAGGACTCGGCAGGTATTTTGTGAATTTCGAAGGTAGCATTTTATAATGATAGGGAGGGGGGATTTCTTCGTTAAGACTAGCCTTGTCGTGCCATGAACCTTCCTGTCGTTTCGTTAATGCCACCCAATAGATATCTTGGTTGCTTCCAGCCTTGCAGTGGAAAATGAAGTCGAATACAGTATATTCCAAAGAAGAATGAACATTCGATGATAATGATTTGCTAAAGCTCATATCTCGTAAATTGATAGTCTACCGCCAAACCCATATAGCTAAAGAACTACCGAGTCATAAGAGTGACCATGAACGCAAAGCGCAGAAACCCAATATACGCGCCGCCCACATCCAAATGTGAGATGCGATCAGAACAGCCAAGACACAAACTTGCGGTAGAACCAGTGTGAGCCCGCATGCTTCTCCATCTCGGCCTCATGCTGCGCAATATACGCAGCCTCCTCACGGTCGATCTGGTCCTTGCCAGTCCACAGATCGGCCTCCTCGGGCTTGACACCCTTGCACTTGGTAACGATTTTGTATCCGAAGATCAAGATCAGATAGAGAGGGATACCGAGATACGCGGTGATGAAGTTCTTGTAGTCGAAGTTGCCCCATTTCTTGCTGTGTGTGAAGACGTCATAGTTCTTTGTGAAAACGATCAGGATGCAGAAGCCCAGGGCGACGTAGGAGCCGATAATGCCGAAGGGTGCGACGTAGGCCAGATCGGAGTCTGGCACGTTCTGGGCTCGGCGGGCGCGCACGAAGTAGATGTGGGTGACCAGGATGGAGACCCAGGTCAGGAGACCGAAGATAGTGACCAGGTTGACGAAGTACTTGAACACGGTCTTGGAGTCGTTGGAGACGTTCATATAGGCAATGAGGGCAATGGAAGAGCAGATGGCCAGCGCGTAGATGGGGACACCGCGACGGTCGGTACGGGCGAAGATCTTGGGCGCCTTGCCCTCGCGAGCAAGACCGTAGATAGTACGGGTTGCGATGTACAGATCCGAGTTGGCAGCGGAGAAGACGAAAAGCAGAATGCAAGCGTTGATGATGTGGGACAACACGGGGATTCCAGAGTTCTCGATGGCAACAACAAAGGGCGAGGCAGCAGCGGAGCTGGCCGACTTGGCGAACTTGGAGTTGTTGTAGGGAAGCTTCTCGTCATTGTATGGCACAAGGGTACCGACCAGGAGAACCGAAAGCACGTAGAAGATCAGGATACGCCAGAAAGTCAACTTGATCGCACGGGGGATCGCACGACGGGGGTTCTGCGCCTCACCGACCGTAACACCGACCAATTCGGTGCCCAGGAAGGCGAATGTGGCAGAGACCATGGTCGACCAGAACGCAAGGAAGCGGCCAGCATCACCCTCCATGATGTAGTGGTTGAACGCACCGGGACTCTTCCAGTAGCGGAAGCCCTTGCGGTCGTGGTCGGGACCACCGCCCAGCATGAGAATGAACGAGAGCAGAATGATACCCAGGATGACGATGACCTTGAACGAGGACAGCCAGAATTCGAATTCACCGAAGAAGCGGACACCAAAGTAGTTGATGCATACAATCGCGATCAACAAGACCGTGATCCAGACTCCTGCGTTGACTTTATCTTGTGGAAGCCAGTATGATATGACGAGTGCGCCTGCCGTTAACTGATTTGGTGATAGAATAATGTATTTAAACCAGTATCTGTGCACCTTCCTGGTTAGCATGCAACTATTATGGGGTCAAGATTAGGAATTGTACGCACGTCCAACCAAGCGTGAATCCGAGCGCGGGATCGCAGAATCGCACGGCGTAACCAGTAAAACCAGAGGGGAGAGGAAGCCACGCGGCCATCTCTCCAAGAGCACACATAACCAGATACACAATGAAACCCACAAAAGCGTAGGCGATCAGGAGAGAACCAGGCTATAAAGGTTAGATGCGAATAAGTTTCAAGAGGTCGTAGAACAACTCACGCCAGCCCTATAAAGTACCAAAAAGGGCCGAGGTTAGCTTCAAGTAGTCGAGAATCGGAAAACTGCGTCCATCACATACTTTGCAAGAGCATCACCCGTACCGATAATCAAACCGGTTCCAATTGCACCACCAATGGCTGCACCGCGTCAGTTACGATCCTCACTGAGTCGGCCGCTGCAACGCTCCACGTACCAATCATAGTAATGTGTCGCGCCTTGAGGGCGCGGTGCAGGTCAACATGGTTGGGATCGGAAAGACCACCCTCCTCGACTCTACCAACATCATCGCCACTGTACTCGCGTTTCACTTGGGACTCCGAGGTGTAGCCCTCGCTCTTGACCTCGTGCGACGCCATGTGTAGGGCGCAAACGTAGAGGAGGCAAGTGTTTGAATACCCCGATGGTTGCGTTAATCAGAGTTATAGTGTTTGGGGGGAAAGCCCGGGGGAGAAACAAGCTAAGGAGGAGAAAAAAAGAGTAAATAGAAAAGAGAAGAGAAATACGACGGATAACAGGTGATCAGCCCTTCTAAAAAGGGCCTTAGGGGAGGGGGTGTTATACCCAGTCCTCCTGCGCCTCTCCGCAAGCCAAGAAATCAGAATGGAAGAATGCCCCGAGGATAGAGATAAGGCCTCGCCCCGCTAGAGACCGCAGAAGACCAAAACTAGAAAACCTTGACCGGGATAAGCTGACTGGGGAAAGCCAAGCCTTGGGGGAGATTGAACGTGCGGTCCGAGTCTGGTATGGGGAAGGATTCAATTAGGTAACATCTATGGGGACCACGAGCTATAAATCCCTTCACGATCCACTTGTTTGTGGAGGCCGGAAGATAAGAATGTCACTGTAAGCGACCATATGGCTGGATTCTACGAAAAAAAAGGTGGCCGGGGATTTCCAGCTGCGGCTTGAGTGTCAGATCGCTTGGGGGGGGGACTGTGAGACTTTGTTCCGTTTTGCGGCTGTGTCTCGTACTACATGAACCTGCATGAACAAATTTACCATATCACTGCCCCCTCTGTCTAGACTGCTATCTCATAGAGTACCAAAATACTGCTCAAACCGAATCCAGGGCTTCCCAGGCGAGCAATTGCTAGGCCGCTTTTGGCTAATATCAAGCGAGATATGGTGTGTTGTGTTTGGACCTCTATTTGTTAAGAATAAGGGCCGCCCCAAGCCAAGCCAACCGCCGAGCCGCCAAGATCTCGAAAGCAAAGGCTAATCCACCACAAAGCTCGACGGCGACTGGCCGGCTTACACCGGAGATAGAGGGGGACGGGTCGGTTTGCGTCGGCATTTTATTCTTTGCAGTCTCTGATAATCGAAATCGACTGCGGAGTCGGTTCCAAGATATGTACTAGAAGCAACATTGACTAGAATACAAAGATGTCGATCTTGACCAAGTCTAGCCGCGTCAATTCTGGCGTGGAAAAGGCGTTCATACAATTCGCTGATCCGCCGCTATGCATAAGCGTACCAGCGATGCTCACAAGAGCACTAGAATGTTCAGATTAAGACTCTCTCGATCGCATGTCTGGTCAATTCGGCCTCGCCGATCTGTGAAGAAATCAAAGGGAAAAAACAAGAATCAGCCAATTTCGTGCAGACGGTGAGGCTGTCCCAAGGATCCGAAAGGGGCAGGCGAGGCTTGGCGATCAGCCAGCGTTGCGCCCGGGTGGCATTGCCAAGAACTCAGGACGGCCCCCGCTCCTGCCGTTCCAACCAATTGCCCGTCGCGTTGATAAGCAACTTGGACAATCCGGTTGCCTTGGCAGTCCTCAAGTCATCCCGGTGTAGGCTGGCACCTGCGCTACGAGTGGCACGGCAGGGGTCGAATCCAAACTTCTGGCGAGCTTTTCTTTGCAATCAGCATGACATCCGTGGAACGGGAAGCCCGGGGCTGATAACGAATTTTCTGGAACATGCGTGATCTCGGTTCACAGCCGCTCGGGAATGTTGATGAATATTGATGGATTCATTCCCGATCACTACCTGCTATCGGTGAAAACTTTCCTTGGCCGGCCCACGTGGGGTGAAAAGATCAAAGTGTGTTGTCGTATGCCTATCTACATACGCTTCTCGAAGCCCGTGCGCCCGGGGATGGTGCGTAGAATACTGTATGTAGATTCTCGTAGTCCGGTGCTGTATCATAACCAAGTGCAGGGAGTCTTCATTGGCCATCGGCAATACGGAAGCTATTCACTTGACAAGATGGAGCTTATTCCCAAGCAATAAACTCATTCTCTGTAAAGCCTCTACTTTTTTCGGTGGCCCAGGTCCTGGTCGTGAACTCTTTCCGCATCCCTCATCCTGAGGTTGAGTCCCCGAGAATAAGCTTTCCAAAGCTCCACAGGCCGAAAGTGCCTCTGCCACCACAACGCCTCATCCACATTTTCTTATTTTTATGTGTCACCATGCTCCAATTGGTGAAGGACCTCGGCTTGCTCTCAACATTATTGACGCCGTGTATTTACGTGAGCGCAATGGCTCAGTCCAACATTCGAGGTTGAATTGGGCGTTTCTACTCCGTCTCAACCCCGCCACGCTTTCCGAACGGTCCGGCGCCCCGGACGCGCTTTTTAGGGCTTGAAAACTTTCCACAGATTTAAATGCTTTACTAAGCAAATTTAACATGGCCCAAATAATTTCAAAATTGAACCTGAAGAGTCTCTGCAAACCCAATTGTAGATACGAGAGAAGCGTTGGTATTGTCGAACGCGCACCCTGTGCTCATGTATATATCTCCACCCCGCAATGCTATTGGGTAGTGTGGGACGCGTTGTGCTGCCTTTCGGCTGGTCTCACGTAAGTTGCTGTCAAATGAGTACCTACTCCCTGCTTGAAGGCGTCTCGGCAATTCTGTTATGGTGAAAGGCACTGGTGTGTACACAATTAGGGAAATTATCCAGAATCGGAAGTTGCAAGCCCGGAATGATACGGGGTAGGCTTGTGCCCATGATCATTCCCTCGGTCAATGGGCCGATGAGTTTGTCAATAGTCTAGTACCACACGGCCGAGCTTTGAGAGAAATGTCATTGTTGATTGATCAAAAATTGTCCGCCCAATGTTACACATGATTCACATCCTTTAGTGAAGATATTAGGGAAGTCGAGTAGATCGAGGCAAAGATGGTTAATTAACCTTGAATACTCCTCACTTTGCCGCCTGATTTTGGCCCCCACCAACCACACCAACAACTGGGCAACGAGCTATGTAGCTTTGATTGGAGCAGAACAGACCGATTGTAGGAGCATATTGCATTCATAGTATGCATTCTTTCAATAGTTTGGAAGTAGTTCAGCCCCATGCGGCTCTAGAAAAAGCGGCATTCGTCGATAGCTCGGGTTGGTGATAGTTTTGCACAAACGGGCTTCCTTCCCCGTTCTTCCATCGCTGTGACCTACACATTTGATGAGTTGTTCAGTGACTAGACTCTGCATCTTTCTGTGGATACGATACCGACATGGTGGGTCAAGGCGCCGAAAGATCGGGTCCTAGGGGAGGTATTGCTCGCGATCGGGTCTATCGAATATATGTCTTCGTCGACTTGAGAGCGACACTAAACGCCGGCAGGACTCTAGATATAACAGATGGGAGCGGTAAATTGCATGCCCTTTCATCTCCGATCTATTGAAACCACATGGTAGATGCTAGTAAATCGCCCTTCAATTCTCGGCTACGGATAGTCTCTAGTACTTCGAGGATGACGCAATCGTCGGCCGAAATAATACCAGTGGAATGGTATGGAAAGTATCTACTTTCAGGGTTGGGCATATTCAGCTGTGTGTCTGGCCACGATCATGATATGCACTATACGGACTCGCCATGGGAAGTCATATAGCCAGTGGTGGTCGCGTGCATGGGAAAGATAGAAGATCCTCAAAAAATGCCTCATGTAGGCGAGACCCTTAAAAGCCAGGTACCATTCAATGTTGGGTCATTGACACACGACAATGACTTATTGACTGGAGCTCATGGATCCGGCATCCTGGACGGTGGAAATTATGCGATGCGGTCAGTGTGCCCAGATCAAGTGAACGAGCTATGAGAATAAACAATAACGAACCAACACCCGCTGTGGATGTTGAGTGTGTTCTCGACCCCTGTGCTCAAGTGTGACGACCTGCATAAGGCTTTTGGAGTGCGGGCCTTGATTCCCGATGATTGGTAGGCGAACGCCTCGGCGGCTAAGGAAAGGTTGGTTTATTTTTGTCGTGCTCATTGCCGTCCGATATGATTGGATCTAGAGCTGCCCCACCAGTGAACAGGGGGAATCCAGGAACAGTGATTGGATGATGGGTTACAAGATTCTGCTATCATTAGCAACAATTCTGCAGCTAAGTCAGGATAATTTGGGAGTATTCTATCTTAAGATGTGTGGTTATCGAATATGTGCGGGGAAGTTGTTGTTGGTTGATTGTTGGTAGGACGAATAGTTATATCAGGCCGCTCCAGGTCGCGATTTGCTCTGTCTTCAGGCCAACCTGGATTTCTTCCAGCAAAGAGGAATCTCTTCAAGCCTTTCGAAGAGCCTTTTGATAACATTCTTCAGACTTCTCTCTGTTGAGAGTCTATACAACCATACAAAATGGGTGTTATGCGATTCCCAAGACCAACGGGCATCTATGTCCCCAGCTCGCCTACTCGTACGCTCACCAACGATATGATCTCCCCTCCCCTCTCCCCAGACTTCAACTTTGACTCTGAAGTTGTCTTGCCATCTATTCTTCCTGCCCTCGAATATATCTCCTCAAAGTTGCAACAAAAGACAATGCATGTCACACTCCTTGTCGGTCGCGGCAAGCCATATCCAACCGGCCAGGCCTCTGACCTGATGGTCATCCCTATCACACCCCTCGACACCCCTTCACGACGTGTACTGGAGCGCGCAATTGCAAAGGGTGCAAAGAAGTTCTCTCTTGGCCCAAGCTGGACTGAAGCACTCAGCCGGAGCCAGCATGAGCGCCACGCGAACGAGTATCTCGTCCAACAATCAATCCTTCAGAACGAAGTCATCTTCAGCCAAGAAGGTCTGACTCTTCTGAACATGGACCGAATCTATATTTTCAAGCGCCGCATGTGCATTCTCTCAAGTCGGCCCTTCTCTCGGACGGACGAACAGTCCATGACTTCCTGCGTGCAGCTACTACACCGCATCATCAAGGATTTCCAGGGCCGCCCATTCAGCAAGGCGTTTTTCCATCGTGTCTATGAGCAATTAGACGTGAAGGATGACTTCCTCGTCGCCGTTGCCACAGCCTATCAGAACAAGTTCAACAATGAGGCCATTATCCTACCATCCAAGGCCAAGCTTGAGTCTTGTCGAAAGTCACCAGTTCACACTGCCCCGATACGCACTGTTCGTGTTCGACGCCAACCAGTGGCAAAGCCCAAGTCATCCAAATCAGATACCAACAAGGCGCTACCCGCAAAACCAACACCAGTGAAAGCAGTCACACCAAAGACGAATCAAAGTCCCGCCAGAGCCAGTCCTCTTAAGTCAAGTACCATGAAGCCACCTTCCGTCAGACGAGGACCTAAGACTCCTCTCTCGGCGTCGGATGTTACCCCAATCACACGAAATGAGTGGAACATCCTCGTTGGTCAGGATATTCGGCTGCAGCCAACGGTCACCAAGTGGACTCCATCGCCCACTGTTTACGCTATGGCTTGAATGAAATGCTGAGTCGGCCATGACAAGCAGATTTATAATACATGAGCCCGCAGATCCAAGAGCATTGCCTTACCCGCGGAGACTCCCGTCGAGCGAGATTGTGTCACTCGAACAATTCAAGAAGATCCTATCACTCTGCTTGGAGCCATTAATCTAAAGACTCCAGATGGGATAACTGAGACCAGACACTCTCCATCGACATCTCAGACCGGCAGACCTGACTGGCAGAGTTCACCTTATCAATGGGATGAACCTTGACCAAGGCTACATGCCACAAAAGTCGGCTGCTTGGAAGTGTAGTAACTTGCACTCTGGAAGGTGGGAGCAGCGAGATCTCGGCGGGGTGAAAAGACGCCCTGTCGACGGCTATATATTGAATTTTGGCGGTAAAAGCCTTCTGATGTATAATAACGATATCCGATGGTGTTGAAGATTAGCCTACATGATTCTCATTCATGAGCGGAATTTTCTAGCCAATGACACTAGAGCTCTTCATCGTGAGACTATATTACCTTTTATGCGAGTGTTATTGTATCGCCAAGGTTTTTGCTTTGGTACTTGCCCCATGTTCGGTCTATCAAGTGGTTTCTCTCGGTCCAATCAATAATTCGGCTATATGCCGAGTCGAATCATAGATCACGGAAATATCACGGCAGTGACCTGCCTTCTTAGTTATATTATCATGGGAGTACATATAGTCAATGTTGTTGTTGAAAGGAGAGACTCAGTTGTTCCTTTTAAGCAGATTAATTCCGGGTATCAAGAGATCTTCAAGGGCGAGAGAAGCATACGGTGCAACCACGTTCGAGACGGATACCAAGTTAAACCAAAGTCTTCAAGTCTTAATGACTTCGCTTTTTGATTGCTTCTTTGTCCTTCGGCTCGGCAGCCCTATCTCCCGTTTAGCTTTTGGTCATCTGTTGAATGTTGAAAATGGTGATCGTCAAACTCAATCATTGGAGAAGGGTCAGCATTTCGGAAGACTCTCTTCGGGCTCGAGCTTTGAAGATACCATTCAATATCGTACTGGAATAGATACAGGAGGACACGAGGAACCTGTGAGCACTACTCAATTGTCAGACTGTCTTTATTCTCATCGGCCTGTCTCATCCGAGAGATAAATGTCCAAATTAGGCTAAGGGGCATGGTGAAGCACGTCCGGTTTTGTCATGCAGAGAGATGTTAGAATACTATTTGCTAAGCGATGGAAGAAATAAACCGCTGCCGTCATTCAAAAGTTCTCAGAGTAACAACAGGGAATCTCCGCTTACGCGGCTGCGTAGAGCTATACCGAAGGAAATGCTCAGGCTTTTACAATCCCCACAACTTCCTCTAGACCATCCACAATGAAATCTGGGCCAGAATTTTGACAAGCCTCTCGATCTCCATACCCATACCGACACCAGCAGGCTTTGCTAGAAATGTTCTTTGCAAACTGAAGATCCGCCACCGTGTCGCCAATTACCAGTACATTCTGTGGGTTAATGTCCCGTAATCCATGTCGCTCCCGCAGAATGGGCACCAGTACAGCGAAACTGGCAGGGTCTGGCTTGCGCTTCGCCCCGGGTGTCTTATCACCCACGATCAAATCCTCGGGGACATAGCCTTCCAGGCCATTGCGCTGGAGGGCAGTTTTCACAGCCGCTACACCTTTGTTACTCACAATGGCGATGGGGATCTTGTGGGCATTCAGCTCCGCTAACAGCTCCTTTGCACCCGGGAAGGCCTTGATGAGGAGTTGACCATGGGTTGCGTAAAGAGCGCGGTACTTTTCAATCCATTCGTTTTCAACGGCAGATGTGAATTCAGAGGGGGTGGGGTGCAAAGCTTGGAATGTATCTGCTAGACCGGCGCCGCTAGAGATGAGGCGGTGGATTTCAGATTGAGGAGGGGCATGAGTGGGGAGGAGGGAGTCGAAAGTCAATTTGATTGTCTGAGAGATGGATTCATGGGTGTCAAAGAGTGTGCCATCGAAATCGAAGATGGCAAGGGATATCATCTTGAAGTGGGCTATGTAATTGATGTTGGGATAGTTGAACAACTTCAAAAGAAGGATGAGTCTCTGAGAAGCAACACAACAATCAATTAAGAGTCATTGCACGTGATGGAAAAAGTGACTATGAAAAGGGTCGGGAATCTTGCATAAGAACTGAGACAATGTGGACACGCTGAATCACGTGGTTCATGCAGCTACTTGTGGAGATGTTACATCGTGATAGCGTATGGTGTAGATATCTCTAACTCAAATCTTTACTAATGCACAGGAGTTCTCAAAAGACTTTAGAACCGTTTCCAGGAAGCCAGAAAGACACCAAGTTTCCAATCAATCCAGCGAAGAAAATTCATCTGATAGATCTCGTGGTGTACAGGGCAGTTTCCGATCTCAAATGATTTAAAGAAGAGTTTGCTCTGAATCATGAGCCCTGTTAGTAAGTGCATGAAGCCCTGTGGCTGAATTAGAGATGAGGAAGACAAAGAGTGTGCAGAGTATATACCTGGTGGCGGAGGGAGGATTAATTCCTCCGGCAATTCAGCAAGGGCGATACCCTATAAAGTGATAAGGTTCAGGATCATTAATCCAAATCAGGAAATGAATTAATACTAGTGGTGCGCTTTGTACACAGTCAATTAGTCTCTCGGATGCATGTTGGACTTTCCCAAGGAAAGTCTCGAAATCACGCTTCTTCCTGTCACTGAATTTGAAACGGAATTTCCACCAGGGTCGGTTCGCTGGGCCACCTTGAGTATTTGTAAGCTTGATATGTTTGCTAGCAAGCCATTCTGCAAGGACAATGGATTTTCCGTAGAGGTCCATAGCGTGAGGCTGGCAGTGGCGAAGGTTTAGACCCTGCTTGATGGATGGCTCGTCTTCGTGCAGCCGGAGTTGGTACTCTTTCAGAAGAGCTACTAGAGCTGCTTTTCCAGTAACGTGAGCTCTGATAGCTCCATATATGTTACCAATCAAAGCAGTAAGTCCGGCAATTTCTCCAGCAGCAGCAGCAGCAGCAGCAGCAGCCGCCATATTTCTGTAACAATGAATTGAAGGTAAGGTGTGTAAGATCAAGCTCCAAAGCTAGTTTGGATAGGCATAAAGTTTCATTTAACCTGTATTTAAACTATAATAAAGTCTAACTTATGGTGTACAATGAAGTACAAATTATATGTTGATATGTTCTAGATTTAAATCATATGCTGCAAACAGCTGATCCTTTCTTATACTCTAAAGGATGCTCGAACGTGGTCTATAGACCGATCTAGATCGCCCCAGATTATCCACTCCTAGAATAAGTGAATAAATCGAATTGGGCCCAGATTTACTCGTTTTCTTGAATCCAGTCTCAAGTACGCTGGACCGCAATGGGCTTGAGATAGATCGCGTGGCATCTGAGCTGCCGAAGTACCCGGTTGTTGGAGCGTATTCCTGGTTCTGGATTTATAGATTGGGATGTGAAGTCGATGTGATCCTGGCTCTGGGTTATCTCTAACATAGCATTTGCAATCCTTGAATCACCCACATTTGCTTATTTGGAGAACCACGTTTCGACAGCCGGCGGGCAGCGAATGAAACTCGGGTTATGAATGAGACCTCGAATGCAAAGAATGCCTAGAAATTGCAAACCGTAAGTTCATCGCACCCTGTAAAACCACAATCGAAATATAGCACGGTAAAGCAGAGCTCGATGCTTTGTGGAAAAGCGGTACCCAATCGGCATCCACTTAGGCGAATCTCCGAAAACAGCCATTCTTCTTCCGATGCGCTCACTAAGACATCACACAGAATCTAGAACCTAACATAGACCAAAACTTCTATGTTCATCAAAGGCATAAAAGGGCAAGATCCACCCCAGGCCGAAAATGTCACAAAGTATCTATTACTATGATCACGAATCACAGAGTCTCATATTTTCTTCCTAAACAAGAGCAGATATGGCCCAGCTTAATGGATGGTTTGATGTCACAGACTACGGAGTCGATAGGACCAAAAGAATAACCCATTCTGATGGTATCAAGAGGGCAATTGATGCAGCCAAATCAGCCGGCGGTGGGAACGTTTGGTTCCCCGAGGGCGCTTACTTCCTCGGGAATGCAGGTGTCGAGCTCAACTGCGGAAATATCACGTTGGCAGGCGAGGGGAGGTCATCTACTATTCATGTCACCGATTGGACGTCTATCCCATTCCCTGTTGATTCTCCAAATATCACCATCCGGGAATTGAGTATCGTACATGACCGAGATGAGGTTTCAGCACCGTTTAACCCAAGGAATTACCCCGATACAATCAGGATTGTCGGTCCAAGGGCTAGTAATGTTCTCTTAAAAAATCTGCATCTTGAATGCCCAACTGTTGGAATAAGAGCACTGGAAGTTGGCGACTCCCTTACAATCAGCCAAATTAGTGGCCAGCAACTCAAGACGGGCATTGAGATCGAAAAAGCTCGAGGGAACGTCAACGTGAATGGGGTTGCATTTGCACCACTATGGAACAACACCGCACCAGTCACGAAATTCCAACATGATAGCTTGGTAGCTATCAAAAGCATTGGGAACATCGCCCAATCTCCAATCCAGTTCAGCAATATTGTTGCCACACACTGCAAGGCGGGTTTCCTGTTCACTGGAGAAGGGGACCCAGACCAAATCGATCCAAATCTGAAAATAAATGCCGCATCTAATACCTCGTGCGTGACAGGAATTGTGATTGAAGGATCTCCTAAGGCATTGGACGTGAAAAACTATGTGTTCTACGGTCTCGAAGGAGCTTTATCAGAGTGTGCTATCCACGCATATGATGATTTTGGTTTTCTGAAAGTAGGACAAATGACGTCTCTCAGGTGCGGGGCGAATGCCATCCGGATTGATCGCTCTCATCACGATGTCTTGCTCGATGGGCTTTGGCTTCAGAACTGGGATCAGAGCGGGAGGCGTTTCCCCGCAATCGAATCTACTAGCGGAACAAAAGTGAAGGTTTCTAAACCTCACTTTTATCACACACCAGACTCAACTGCACATCCAGATCGGCCCCAGATCAGTGCTACTGGTGTTGTCTTTGAGTAACCCAAGTTTGCCTTTCGCAGCTTCATTGCTTAGAAGTTATGTAAGCCACTGTACTTTTTTTGGATTTTCTGTGACCTCTTCAGTGCTGATTCCAGGTCTTATTTACAGTGTGTCAAAGCAATAAATGACCGTATAGATTGTGACCCATGGACCATTTTTGGTCTAGCGGTAATATGCCCGAAATTTGTTGCGACATAGTGACTGCCCGATGATCCTTCATGAAAGCATTGTTCTAGTTTTGCCAGGGTCACCATTGATCCAGTGGATAATAGTTGCTTTGGTTATCGTATCATTACTTGGAAACGTCGTTGAAAATCTAATAGTATGACTCTTCATGCGACCATTTGTTAGTGTTCCGAATCTTCCAGATCGCCTGATCAATCAAGCAATCCAAGGGGATTTGATGTATCATTGCAGTATTATTACAATATGTCCTTGGCTGTGTTATTGTCAATATCGTCGTAGTTCTGCCTAATTAATAGAGCGGTGATCCTAAAACAGGAAATGTGTATGTTAGATTTATTTCCGGGAATTAAGTCCAAAGAGTTCAAGGCCAAAGTGATTTCGAAAACTACTGTACTGTATATGACCTTTAAGCTTTGCTTGTAGATCTAAGTAATGGAATCCGTCCTCTTCGTACTCAAATAAGTGCTCAAGCGGTTTTTGTCTTGGTGTTCGCTTTCGCGGTCAAAATGGTCCTCAACTTCGCTTCCATTTTCATAGAGTTCGATGTCATCTTCGCTAGGCTCATAGGGGGGAACTGGGCTGATTTGCCTAATATTGAACATATGGAGAGAGGTGATCTTTGTCACCATCTTCGAGATGGGCCAATAGCACCAGTAGCCATGTATCATAGCCAAAGCTATTCAGTCAGGGCTCGTTGATTCTAAGGATGCTGCATCGATCAATGTTTGGGTTGTGCGGAACGTTCCTTTTTGCTGGGGGCTGCGGTGACCGGGACGTGCCATCTGCGCATCCAACCCCCCTCCTCATGTCCAATCACGGGAATCGATCTCCTATCACCCAGGTCTCGGACTAAAAATCAGTAACATCGACGCGTATGACAGGCTCACCGGGAATTTTAAGGCTAAGCTCTAGCTTAACTATGAAGCGTAACTATGAGGTGAACTGCCCGTCCATTTTTGTGTCAAAAATGCCTTCCATCTAATTCCGAAGCAGAACGCGCTGAAACTCCTGGAGACGCGAAGGCGGAAGGCTCGACCGACGACACCTGCGCCGACAACGGCCCAAGACTCTCCGACTCCAAGTGGTGCCCCAACAGTCAAAGGGATTCCCAGCTTGTTTGGAATGAAGGAATGGCTACAGACATTAGGTCACTCGGTGTGTCTACTAAAAACCCTATTTCCGCTGCTGCAACTCTGACTCGATCTAGGAAAATGATGTTGACCAGCTCAACATCATTCATGTTACTGGGACTAAAGGAAAAGGCAGTACGTGCGCTTTCACCAGGTCTTTTCTCCATGCACACGGTGTGAGAACCGGCTTTCCCAAACGAATCGGGTTATACACCTCTCCTGATTTGCAATGCATCCGGGAGCGAATCCAGATCGATAATCAGCCAATCACGGAAGACCTTTTCACTCAATACTTCTTCGAAGTGTGGGAGACCCTTGCCTCTTCCAATCAGGTAGAGTCTACAAGACAACCTCGCTATCTACAGCTCCTGCTATTACTGGCTTTCCACACGTTCATCAAAGAAGGTGTCGATGCAGCAATTATCGAAACGCACCATGGCGGAGAATATTGTGCCACAAATGTGGTCCGGAAGCCCATCGTGACCGGAATCACCTCCCTGGGTCTCGATCATGTCGCACAACTGGGCCCAACAGTTGAGGACATCGCCTGGCACAAATCAGGTATTTTCAAACCAGGCGCAGCTGCATTCTCTGCCTTGCAGGACCCCGGTCCCGCTGAAGTCCTACGGAAACGTGCTGCCGAAAGAAATACCACGCTTACTTTCGTCTCGCCTTCTAACACACTACCCCCCAACAACAGGGTTCTTAGTGTTCCAGTACAACGCTTAAACTGCTCCTTGGCCCTCGAGTTAGCTTCGAGCTTTTTGCATGCCAAGGACCCTGAAAATGGACTGACCTCGGACGATATAGCCAAGGGTATTGATAACTTCTCGTGGCTCGGGAGGTTTGAGACTATCAATAGTGGGGAATCACAATGGTATTTGGATGGCGCACACAATCCACTTAGTCTCGAGCAAGCAGCAGAGTGGTTCGCAAACAATGTCAACACCTCTGAGACACCAAAGTGAGATTCCGACCTATTCCTGCCTTATTTCGTCGCTAACATATGAACTGCACAGGTATCGTGTCCTCATCTTCAGCCACTTTTCTGAAGAGCGCGATGGAGTTGATCTTCTAACATCTCTGGCACATGCCCTATCCAAGAACAACGCTGTGCCCAATCATGTCATATTCACTACCTATCAAGAGAAGGAGGATGGATCCACGAGAATCGGTAAGAGAAACCCCGTTTTATCATAAGGTTGAATTAACAGTTTCCCTGTCAGACAAAACCCTCAAAGTTCCAGAGACTCCTTTCCCTGACCTCTGCTCGATCTATACCTCCCTTTGGAAGGAATTCCACCCTAATACCACCGTCTCAACTGAGCCGACAATCGAACAGGCTATACGACTTGCGGAGCGTATCGGTCTACAGGAGGGTGGCATGGAAGCCTTTGTCACGGGAAGCCTGCATTTAGTCGGAGGAGCACTGAGTTTGTTGCGACCCTAGCTTTCAGCCCCGCGTTTTTGGGCCAACCCAGGCCATAAGTTGGCTCTGTTACTTTCCCCCGCGAGTTGATACTTTTCTGTAGAGCAGTTTTGGTCGCATACCACTTTTGCTATGGATTAGCCGTTTTGCTGGATATTGCTAGTTTCTCTCGATCCGTGTAGGATTCAACCCGTGAGAAATACATCGGCTTCCACCATACGCAAATTGTCGATGTTCCTATTTTCTTGGAACTGAGCGCGTTTGCGAGGCCCCCATACGCTCTTCCTGGTCAAATCGTGGTGCCCATTACTTGAAACCATTGGAGCATGTACGCCTTACATGGATCTCAACAATGAATGATTATCTAAGCGGAGATAACTCATGCAGATCATGACTCGAAAAGGGCTTTGACGCCCGAAGTTTTAACGTTAAGTGGGGATAATGAGACCACCTTCTGTTGACCGGAAACCTCCCTGTAGACCTGCATGACTGGGCTTCGTTTCATACGAATGGCGCGAAACTTGCATAGAATCATGCTGTAGATTAATGAACCATACATGTCTTTCATACCTGCATAAAACATACCGGACTTCACGCTTCCGCCAATTCCGGCCAGACTCGCTCGATTAAGATACAGAAAGTATGGCTAGCTACGTGAGCGCTGTGTGTACATAAAGGGGGGCTTGTCTGTTGCCTTCGTTTCCTACCTGGTCTTGCGTAATGTGGCTTGATTTCCATGAAGATTTCCAGGAGCAAGACCCAGATTAGCATCGGGATTGAGAATAACATCGGGATTAGGAATCAAACTAGGATCCATAGCTAGTTGCAAAGGTGAATGCTCATTTGATAGTTCGAGGGCCGCTTGATATGCCGGGAGCTTGGCCAATTGTACCCAGTGGACCTGCGGTCCCCACAACCCGGTCTCCGGCCCACAACGCGGCAAGCGTCATGATTTGGTGGAGCTACGGGTAGGTTTGTGGGCTTACCACAAAGTTCTTTACCCCGTATTTGTCAACATTTTGGACTGTTTCTTCATGGCGGAATTGCAACTTTCACTTTTAAGAGCATAGAATGGAAACATGTCAAGCGGTATTCGTTGCCTTCAAATAAGCCCCAGTACTAAGCCTTCTATTTGCATAAAGCGAGGCTATCTGAGGGCTGCGACTGTAGGAAAAGGGATCTTCATAGACGTGGCACTTGCCGCTTAACGAGTTTTTAGCTTTTAATTGGCGGTTTCCATGATTGTCTAATGGTTGGCTCGTGCACACGACACCCCTCTCATTGATTCGTTGCCCGGCCCCTGAGATCCACATAATAGGTACTGTACTGTACGACAATCATCAAAGTGGGGGAGGATGGATTGGTTCGGAGGCATAGCGGAGGCTATGGAGATATTGTGAGGCCCGTTATTTGCTGATCGCCTACTCATGCCGGGCGTCGTCGAGATCGTCCGTTTGACAGTCGAATATGGATGTTTTGGCCCCCAGAAGCTCGGATATACTCCGCGGATTTCCCCCCTCGTCTCCCCCGCTGCTGGCAGCGCGACGGCGTTGAACACATCGTATTTCTTCTGTTTCTTTTAAGATTTCATATTATTGAACTCAAAACCACCGAATATTGTTTTGATTACCCTTCTTATTGTCTTCGCCTCCTGACAACCACATTTTCATCCTTACCGGGTCAATACGCAATATGTCCACCTTTGACTTTGTCATTGTCGGAAGTGAGTGACCTACCCGAGCTGAGACACCCCAGCACGCAACCTTTGCAGAGAAAGGAGGCAAAAATCATGCTCCACCACACAACCAGACCACCAATAGCCAAAAAAACAATCTGATCTGACTGGCCCGTCGCATAGGTGGCCCGTCAGGCAGCGCTCTTGCTGCTGGCCTCGCCAACTCCGCCGCAAAGCCCCGTGTCCTTCTTCTAGAAGCAGGTGATCATAATGAGGATCGCGACCTTCGCGTGGATGGCCAACGATGGATCACGTTCCAGAACCAGGCCATGAACTGGGGTTACAAAACAACCCCACAAAGCGATTGCAACGACCGCGAGATCGACTATAGCCGTGGCAGGTGTATTGGCGGGTCAAGTGCTATCAACTTCGGTGTATACAGCGTCGGCGCACGCGACGACTACCAGGAGTGGGCACGAATCACGGGCGACGATTCTTATGCGTGGAACAATATCCAGCGGAGGTTCAAAGAGCTTGAGACATTCCATGGGAAAATCCCCGATGGTGTTTCAAAGAAGTATGCGGATCCAAGGATGGAGGACCATGGAAGCAAAGGTCCATTACATGTGGGCTTTGCGGGGGAATGGGAGAAGGATTTGACAGAGCTTTTGGATGTCTTCGAGCAGGCTGGGTTTCCGTTGAATCCTGACCACAATTCGGGCAATCCAATTGGGATGTCGGTTTTGATTAATTCGGCCCACAATGGACTGCGGTCGACTGCGGGGGATCTGGTGAAGGATAAGCTTGATAACCTGACAATCATCACCGGAGAACCTGTGCAGCGTGTACTCCTGGAAGGGACCAAAGCAATTGGCGTGGAGTCCAAGGGGAGAAAATGTAAGCAAACTGCAACCTGTTCCTGTGATGAAATACTTACAATTTGAATAGACTTTGCTACGAAGGAAGTTATTCTAAGCGCTGGCTCGTTGAATGACCCTCGTATTCTCATGCACTCTGGCATTGGCCCCGCCGCTCAATTGGATCAGCACAATATTCCCGTTGTTCTTGATGTCCCCGCAGTTGGTCAAGGTCTTCGTGATCACTGCTTTGTACCCATAGTCAACACCCGCTCGGAAACGAGCACTGCTCGCAAGGCGTTCTACGGCGATAAAGCCGCCATGGACGCTGCACTTAAGCAGTGGCAAGAGGATGGGACGGGGCCCTGGGCGAAGTTTGCCTGTGAATTGGGTATTGGTTGGTTCAAGCTCGCAGATCAGCTTGTCTCTTCAGCTGAATTCAAGGCTCTTCCCCCCGATGAACAGAAATACTTGCTCCAAGAAACGGTACCGCACTATGAAATCATCACACATTTCCCTGTCCACTGGTTCATCCCAGATTTCCCCTCCGAGGCACTGAACTACTCCTGTCTTCTCATCTTCCTCTTCAATGCCCAGACTCGCGGCGAAGTCACTCTGCAATCATCCGACCCAGATGCTCCGCTCTCGTTCAACCCCAAGTTCCTTGCTCATCCATTCGATCGTCGCCTTGCAATCGAGGCCCTGCGGGACTCGTTCCGTATCATTAAACACGAGTCATACACCAAGGACAACGTGACAGATATGGCAATGCCAAAGAGCGAGTCGGACGAAGATCTGCTAGAGTACTGGCGGCAAAACATCTCTTCTAGCTGGCATATGACGGGTACCGTGAAGATGGGTAAGAGTGGAGATGTGGATGCAGTCGTTGATCCAGATTTCAAGGTTACGGGCATTGAGAATTTACGTGTGGCTGATATGGGTGTGGTGCCGGTGTTGGTGAATGCGCACGTCCAAGCCGTTGCGTATGTCACCGGTGCGACATGTGCAGAGAAATTGATCCGGGAGTATGACCTGGCATAGATTTGAGATTTAAGAGAGAAGACACCCGGTACCTGTTCGCAATAAAATGTTTAATCACGGGAACTGCCCCTCGAGGAAGGCGAGAGTTTTGTGGCAAGCGCTTTGTGTAGAAAAAAGGGCAGAGAAATTTCATACAACGTACTGTTAAATACCAGACCGTTTGACAAAAGTCGGAAGCTGACAGCTATCGCCACCAATGAATAGGGGGTGAAAGCCGCGACCCACGGTCCACAGTACGAACGTTAATATTCGGATTTTAGCTTTTAATACCCCTTTTGATGTTAGCGCGTGCCGATCGTAGCGCACTCCTTTATAAACGGGATATAAATTTTAAGTCTACGTAATTGAAATATAGGGTGCCTCACACAGGCATTGTTTGCGATTGGATTCTGCCAAGAGAAGTGGCACTCTTTGGGTCCGGTATTTTATGCGGAGTATAGACACGGGGATTGACCTAGTGGATCAAGTTCTAGACTTGAATTGATTAGTGGTAAAAGCGGCGACCCACGATCCACAGTCATATTAACGAACGTTAATATTCGGAATTTAGCTTTTAATGAACCTTTTTATGTTAGCGCGGGCCGATCGTAGCGAACTCCTTTCTAACCGAAATCGAAATTTTAAGTCTATAGAGTTGAAATATAGGGTGCCTCACAAAGGCATTGTTTGCGAAAGGATTTGGACGGCGTTCGACAGTATGAGCTCTATTGAAGATCTCCGGGTTATAATCCTTATACAACTACTGGATTGGATTCTGCCAAGAGAAGTGGCACTCTTTGGGTCCCGTATTTCATCCGGAGTACAGACACGAGGCTTGACCTAGTGGATCCAGTTCTAGACTTCATTTTGGGTCTTGTACCCAAAGAGGAAGATGCGGAACATTCCCACTGGCGGGCAGAGTCGCGCCGTCTCGAAAATCCCGGTGGTTTGGTTCGGTGCCCTTTGTTTTCATTATCTTCAGCTCTTATCCTCAATCTCAGATGCTCAATCTTTATTTCCCCTCCCCATTAGACGCATGACTCGCAGCAATGGCGCAAAATGTTGAGGCATGGACATTGTTGTCCTTGGCTCTAACCACAATTTTCGTGCGTGTCTTTGTGCGATGGAAACTTGTCGGTCCAGCCAATTTCCAGCTTGATGATTATCTTATGCCATTAGCGGGGGTAAGCTGTTTCTTGCACTATGCTGAAGCCATTCGATGAATCCTTGACTAAAGACCACTGCTTCTCACAGATTTTCTTCACTCTCGAAACAGTAGCGGCGTACCTTGTCGGTGCCAAATTCGACGGTCTGACCAACAGCTACATGACACCTGAACAACGGGCTTCACTTAGCCCAGATTCAAGAGAGTGGGCAAATCGCGTTGCTGGATCTAAAATCCAGGTAATCGGATGGTCATTATACGTGGCTATTCTATGGCTGGTAAAATTTGCCCTGACGGTCTTCTACTCTCGCTTAACGACTGGCCTTCAACACCTTCCCACCCGGGTTCGACTTGCATATATCATCCTTGGTGTGACATATGTCGCAACACAGCTGTCCCTTCTTTTGTCCTGCCAGCCATTCCATGCGTTTTGGCAGATATACCCTGATCCCGGAAGTGTGTAGTACTGCTATACTAGGCATACAACTATTGTATACTGACTCTATCTACAGATTTTTGCCAACCAGCCAACTCTCGTGTATATGTTCTCGTTGTTGTGATCCTTAATGTTGTCACGGACATTTACCTACTTTCTATTCCACTTCCCCTACTATGGCAGGTGAAGATCGGTCTGAAACGGAAAATCCCACTTATGGCCCTATTTTCTGGTGCTATGTTCGTTATCACGGCAGCAATCATTCGGGCTGTTATGATTATGACTGTGAGTCTTATTGGGCCCCGTCATAATACGGCCTAATTATTCGATTAGGTATAGATCGCTAATCTGATACGTCACAGTCGGGTGCTGAAGGCGCCGTAAGCGGTTCTCAGTGGGCTTGTCGCGAAACATTCGTTTCGGTCGTCGTATCCAACCTACCCATCATCCAGCCACTTATCCGCAAGGGTTTCAAGAAAATCGGTCTTTCTCGACTCTTCAGCTCCTCTGGAAAACCCTCAGGACAGTCATACCCACTCTCGAGCCGTGGTCTACAGACCTTGACTAGCCGAGCTGAGCGCAGTACCAAAAGGAGCAAGAATGCAGGGCCAACCCATACACAGGTTTCAGCATGGGGCAGTGATGAACACATTCTTGAGCTTGAATCTACCTCCAAAGATATTACTGTCGTCTCGGAAACTATCGTGCGCAGTGAGCCCTGGGCCACGAAGGAGGGAGAGGGCGCCGACCACGTGGCGACGTCGCCAAAAGAATGGGATGGTCGATTATCCGCACGCTAATGCTGGATTACCAAGATCAATTATTCTCATATTGACGGCATTCGTCGAGCTCTCGATGAACAGGAGGGCATCCTCCATGTGGCGTCGTGCCATTTACAGTGGAATTATAATAATGTCAAGGGTGATAAAAAACGTCGAAAGCTGTGGTGAATATATTGCATTGGGCGAGAGGTTTTTTTTCCGATACTATAATATTATAAGTATAATGAGTCAACTATACACTTTGAATTGATAATTAGTCACATAACATCCACATATCCGCCCCGAAGAGTGTTGAAAGCTGCAGACAACATGCATGTCAGGGTCAAGTCCTCCGTAACCTTAAGGCTCCTATAGTCCACAGTTTTCGATGATCCCCATCTTTCAACAAGCTAAAGGAAATAATTGAGACCAGCATACCCAGCAAACAAGGCAAAATCTAAGTGGCAAAACTAACAATCGTTTCTTCAAATCTCAACTGGCATCATCAGTTTTTGGTTTTATCGATTGGTCACCACGGCTGTTAATTCCGGCGATGCGGACTCCTGTCTCCGAAAAGTTCAAAGCAGCTAGCGCAACAGGGCGCGCACTGGCAGATCCACAAGCGAATGAGAGCATTTGATCGACGAAAGTGGCGGATCAAATCCACTTCAAAACCTTAGGCCGGGCGATCGTAATTTGACAGAAGCCCTACTCGTATACGGGAGCGGTTCAAAGCGTCGTACCCATAGCCTGCAACTCTTATGGCAACCTTCTGGAAAGAGATCATAGGCCAATAACAGTTCCTATCATTGATCTACGGGCGGGTTTGACTGAAATATCTCCCCCCTGAGCCTCAGAGCCGGTGAGCCGGTGCTAAGGTGCGTCAACTACCGACAATCTCTGAACATTGAACAGAATCCCAAAGGTTATTTCTTGCCACTGTAGAGGTGGATGTACAATGCCCAGGACATGGAATGAATTACGTGATTTTGTGCGTATTTTTCGCAAGAGAAGTGTTATCAAAAGACTCCAAAGCAACGAATGAGGATATCCAATAAGATTGGTATTCTCTTCTCTCCTATCGATAGTTTGGCAGCCCCTGAAGTATGCCCTTGTCGATCAGAGGAGGTAAGCTGCGCCTAGATACCGTACTGACAAGCCCATAGGTAGTTATCATGATACTCAAGAAGTGAAGGTCAAATCAAGAACTTCATCACTCCTTTGTCCGAGACAAGTACGCCACTTTCAAGACTCGAGATTTTACGGTCGGGATTTTCTTGAAGTCCAATTTGTCCGACACTGATGGAGAAGAGCATTACATGTTCTCACGGATCCAGGACTACGCGAAGATCCATCAGCAGTTTAGCATCTAGCACATCTCCTTTCACCGTTTTACCCCGAAAATGAAACTTGGGATTGATTGTTTAGGCGTGAGCACTAAGTAAGATCAATTGACAATTTTCTGAGCTTTAGAAGCCATCGGATATAATTCGGATTAGAAAATTTTGAGCTACTGCTCAACATATTTCCTGTCTGTCAGTGCATGATGCTGTCACTTGCATCTAACTAGACTCCACGCCGGTCACGCACAACATGAAAACAACTAATGCCGTCATTTGCTAATTGCGCAACAAGGCCATACTCCCAGTCAAGATACCCTTGCATATCCTTGCGATCATTGCTGGTGCCCTCGTACGGTCTTTTATAGACGTCAATTGGCTGGGAAAGCCACCGGGACTCGGTCTCGAGTGATTCACCAGCTGCCACCCACGCGGCTGTTCCTCCGACAAGATACAAAACTTGGCGTGAAACCACCGCTTGTGCATGCTCAAGGTTCATAGCGGCTAGTTGTCCATCAGGAGAGGTCAACACGATAGGGCTATCACCGCTGACAGTCCTCAGGTCTCGGGCAAGCTCTGGTCCAGAAGCGAACCATGCACCAGGAATATGACCTTTGCGATAGGACGGACTGCGGGCAAGGTCGACTATGCTCGCTCCCGTGAGAGTTCGAATGCGATCGACTGAAATCGCGCCAGTCTTGGGATAATGCCATGAGAGGGTTTTAAGCATCGGGGTATCATCAGGCAGCACAGATGACTCTCGGAGAACATGGGCCTCCCACCCGAGCTGTACGAGCCAGCTGGCAGTCATGCGCGCTCGCACACCGTCCGTATCGTATAAGACAATGCGAGCACCTCGAACGCCCACCCATTCGTCTGTGGCTTGTACCAATTGTCCACCAGGAGCATTCACGAACCCGACGGGGTGCTTGAGGGCATACTCTTGCGGGTCCCTCACATCCAGCAAGTATAGAGTCCGATCCTCCGACTCCTCGACGAATCGACGAAGTTGATCAGTTTCGATCACAGAAACGCCGACATGCTCAGCGCAGGACCTAGCATATTCTCGTGCCTTTTGTGACGCCTCCCGTGAAGGCTGTGGAGCCTGCTCCGTCTTCTTGGTGTCGAGTTCCAGGCCCTCTAATGTCCAGCCGATGGTTCCGTTTCGAAGCGCAACCACCTTGTTAGGAATTCGAGAATTTATTAATGACTGCGTTCCAATGATACTTCGTGTCCGACCCGCACAGTTCACGATAATTGTTGTTTCCGGGGAGGGCACTGCCTCGAGCACACGATACAGCAACTCTCCTCCGGGGCAGCTGCGACCACGCGGGATACTCATCGTGTTATACTCCTCAAACCGCCGAGCATCCAGGATGGCGACATCGCTGTTACTATCCAGGAAATTCTTGACTTCACGAGCAGACAGCGACGGCGTATGATTGATAGATTCCACCAGCTCACCGAATGCTTTAGAAGGCACATTGACGTCCCGGTACACCTCACCCACTAAAGCATACGCAGAAAGCCCGCCTTCAAGCATGGCAACATCTTGATAGCCAAGGGCTAATATTCGGTTTGCAGCCCGATCGACATAACCTTCCCCATTGTCGTAGACCACGATCGGGGCAGACAGTCGTGGAACCAGCGGGGGCAGCTTCTTCTCAATTTCCGATACCGGTACGCTCAAAGCGAAAAGAGGATGGGCTTCTGCATATGGGCCTTCTTCGCGAACGTCGAGGAGGGCAATTTCATCACGGTTCACCCAATGCTGGCGCAAATCCTTGGCAGATATAGTTTTGATCATCTCGCTGCTTGGCATCTGAAGTCGATGGTATGACGTTACGATTGTAGTCCTGTGGTTCCAGGTTTGGTTATTATACGTGAAACCCCGGCAAATGCACTTTTCACGAGAAGCTATAGAAAGTCTCCTCGGATGATTTTGGACCTGTTCGGACGATTTCGGTTGAAGTGGGGAAAATGGCCCACGTAGCATCATTCATGGCAGCCCCAAACAATCGGTGGTAACTCGAAGGTTCTCGCAGATATATCCAAGACGCGACTATGCAACGAACCTGAACATGAACTCCGACATTCTCTTTCAACTTTTCTCCATTTGAACAACTGATTCTCGCAACGATGATAGCTAGATTCCCAGCTTCTCAATGAGTAGCATAGTCGTCACGTGATCCGGTGAATTGAATAAAGGTCACAATGAACTAGCTGTTCCCTGAAATCCAGAGAATGGAAGATATTTTGCTGAATACTGAGGAGCTGTGCTTTCATTTTACCCAAGTGTTCAATAAAATGAAGGCATTCGACTATTTCTTGCCCAAGAGGCTGTCCCCGCTGGCTGTATGTGAACGACCCCGCTCGCCCAGTTGACGCCATCACGGGGAAGGATGACCAACTCCGCAGTCTCCCATCGGCTCCTCCTTTGTTTTCAAGATGCTTCGAACAAAACTATCCATATAGCATGGATACCACTCGACAGGAACGAAAGTCCTGCGAAGCATGCCGTGAGTCGAATGCCGTGTCCCCAAGCCCACCGAGTTAGGCTGGTTACTAAAGAGCGATAGGAGCGCGAAAGCTCAGATGTTCAGGCGAAAAGACCGGCTGCTCTCGTTGCCGGGGATTGTCGCTGCCTTGTAGATTCAAAGACAAAGGCGCACCTGGGAGGCCCAGAAAGCGAGTTCGACAGGAGAGCCAAATTCGAAATTCACCGAGCAGGGAGGAGCGAACATTATTCTCAAGCTCGTCCAATTTCTCTACTGCCATACCCCAGATGGACTTACTTTCACCAGATGGCGTCAGTTCCCTGATGGGAACCGCCGACTTTGACTCATTGTCGTGCACAATTCCTGGAATCTGTGGGCTCGATTCTCTCCGATGGGAAATGCTCGACAATGGCGATCTACCCATGCCTATTGAATCGTGGCAAACATTGCGACAAGACGGTTTACATGACCCTAGGATACCTCTCACGGCTACGGATGCATACGTGTCTCCTGTGTCATTCTCCCAGTCTTGTAAATGTGACGAGGAGGTTTCAACAATTGTTCGGACACTGAGCCGCGCTGAAATGTCGCACGAGGTCGTTCAAACACTTCGCGCGGGGATATCTTTAGCAGAGAGGCTATTGACTTGTTCCGCCTGCTACGACACGTCAAAGCCTCCTAGAGTAACGGTACAAAATGTACTGCTCATCGGTCATCTCATGTTTGAGGTGACGGCCAGTTACCAGAAATACGTTCGCTGGCTGAACAAACATTGTTCTGAGCTTGATGATAAGAACGAGAGCGAAACGGTCTACCTTGACTCTGGGTTGGGAATTCCTTCCGGTTTAGGTTTACAGATCAGCGGCGAGAAGTTCCTTGATGTCGTCATGCAAGGACTCCAATCTGATTCTCAATCACTTGTTGTGCTGGGGAAGTGCTTTGAGCAGCGGCAACGTAAACGCCACATGGCCGGCCACGAAGCTTGCCCCAACCCTGAGGGGCGATGTCGCAGAAAGGAATTTGGGGATAGTCATGACCCGCTTGATGTTTGTCCACACGATCCTATCGGGCGGAAGTTGGTGCCATGCTTCCGCATCGTTGATGAGGTACAAGCGATGATCAAGCAAGTTACGGATGTCGTTCGGTGAAACAATCTTACTGTAAAATCCCCTTTTCCCCCATGTACTTCCCTGGAGTATGAATATAAAAAGACTCAGCCTTAACCTGACTTTTACTACCGGTCGGAGTGGATCCAGATTGATAGAAATATAAATTCTTCCGTTTTATCATAAATTCCGACACTCAAGGAAGGATCTTGAATATATTTCATTCGTCCAAACTCTCTAGCTTGCACAATTCGATTTCACAATATGGCAACCATTGGCTTTGGAGTTTTGGCACGAAGGGGTCTCCCCAAGCCTACAAAAGCATGAAGATGTGATCTGAACATCTGCCTCCGCTAGAGCAAGTGAGAGCTGTTGCTTGATAATATTTGCCTCGGAATGTCGACCCAGGATTTCCAGACACTCGTGATACCCATGAAGAGCCCAAACATTTTTGGGATGGTGATGGGCTCGTCCTGGTGTCTGCAAGAGTCCCAAATCTTCCGCATAGGCTCGTGCAGCCTGCTCAGCCTTACCCTGTTCCAGAGATAGGGCCGCATAGGCATGTCTTGCTGGAAGCATCCAACCCCATGGCTCCGCAAAGGGTAGCTCGTCCTCCAAAGTAATTGCGTCCTTCAGTCTGCCAAAAGCAACGTCGTAGTTTCCCCGCCTATATTCAATTTCGCCGTCAAGCATAGCGGACGCCACTTTAAGAATGTCGACAATCTTGTTGGGAAAGTCGAGGCGTGTAGGAGGCACAAGTTTGGAGGCGGCTTTGAAGAGTTCACGTTCTTTGTCTGCCTCCTCAACTTCAGAGGTGGCCGCATATGCGATGGCCTTTCCATAGTGTCTCATAACATTGGTGACACAATAAAGCTCTTTATCATCTAGTGGGTCGAGCCTTTTGAGTTCCTCCCACATGCCGAAGCGAATGTATACATGAACTCTGACGGCTTTGAAGAATTCCATCCAGCTTGCAAGGAAAGGTGTTTCTACCCGGAGAATATCTTCTGTGATGGTGGCCTCCATTCGATCAGTCGCTGAAAATGCCGCCTTTGACATGCCACCAAGCATCGCGGCGTAGATTAGCGAGTGGTAGCCGTGTAGACGATAGTAACTGTAGAATGTGAGACCGCCATTTTGTTTGAAGAATTTGTCATCTGCGATGGTCGCTTTCAAGTTGTATTCGACTGCGCGTCGGTAATCGCCCACAAGGACATCGATGTGCGCTGGCATATGAAATGTATGGCCGGTATCGGGGAATATTTCGCGAATCATCTCAGCCGCAGGTAGAGCAGCCTCGGGAGTTGCCGACATCTCCATCAAATGAACATACATGTGCGCAGGACCTGGATGGTTCTCGACATTTGGCATTTTCAAAGCTCTTTCGAGCACGTCTTTCACTTCAAAGACTGGCGAGGATGCTATTGGCAGTCCCGTCGCGGCATCGTATAGCTTGCGAGGGGCGCAGTTCATCAAGGCGTCCGCGAATAGGGTGATGATGTCAAAGTCCTCGAGACCGAGACGAAAGTAAATCTCTCTCATATAGTCCGCGTATGCCTTGCTGCATGCGGCAAGATCCCTGTTAGGGTCATCGTTGGGGTACCGTTTCGCAAGGGCCTTGATCATGTCCTGCTCCCATTCCGACGCGTTCTCGGCACGTCTGAGAGCTTCTTGTGAAAAGACATAACATCTTCTAATTGCATTGACCCGATCTTTGTCGTCGAAAAATGCCCATGTCTTGTTGTAGTTTGACCCAGAGCAGAAGGATACCCCCCAATAGGCCATCGCGCAATTCTCATCATGTGCGATCGCCTGCTGGTAGCAGAGAATTGCTTCATCATGATTGAAGCAGTACGTCCATACCAGAGCTCGGTCGAACCATATCTGGGCTTCTTGGGAATTGGTGCTGACTTTCCGACCGAATGTTCCCAGGTCAAAATAAGGGTCGCTCGAGGCTCTTACAGGAACTGAGTGCTCCAAGGAGGTCATTGTTTGCGACGGATGAAGACGAGTGCCGACCCTATTGTGACGCAAGATTTCTTGTGATAGGAGAACAATGTTGAGTTGTATCGACAGTGTCACATGTTCAAATGAATAACCCCACAAATTTGGAGGGGACTCTATGGAGTCGGAGGGTTTTCTTTGCCGCGGGTCAAATCGCGCGATTTTGATTCGTCCCTCGGACATTTCTTAAATAGGTCAATGATTGGTCGAGGGCAAATTTGAAGTCAATTTCGGCAAATTATTACTAGCGATCGATAACTACTGTTACATTTTGAAGAGCGAGAGGATCTACGCTTGATAGTCATTGACCAGAGTCAATCCTGGAGGATTGAACTAAGTATCATTGATGCTAATATCGCACTTATGGCGTATTTAGCTGTGTATAATCAGGAGTTGAAATAGAAAGAAGTGAAATGACCGGGTCATCAAGGAAGAGAAATTTAGTTAATTATTCGAGACCTGTAGAGGAGAGAAACCCGGGGCATTTCTAGATCTAATGTTTCTCTCGTCTGCTATTGAGACTTTCGGGCCATACTTGATCGTCAGCGCTAGCGGCCTTGTAAGTCTTTGTCCACGACATCCTCCAAGATTGTCTCCCCCCTCTTCTCGGCTGCAATCTTGGCCAGCTTGAGCCGCCTCGTGTCACGCTCGGTATCCCAAGTCACCCACCAAGTCACCAATATCAAGACCGCGCAAACACCTACAAGACCCATAGCCACGGAGAAAGGTACCGTATAGTGTGGTGCATACTCGCTCCTGAACAACTGGGGACCAATGGCACCCCCAATCTGACCGTAGCTGTTAACAAACCCAATAGAGAAGGCGGAGCCTGTGGCCCTAGACGTGGTCTGAACTCGCCATGGCCTGTTGTCGATGTCAGCACTGTATCAAAATAATTGAATTCAGAGAAACAACGTACCACATAACAGGGTACCATCCTGCAGTTAAGGCATTTCCGATCAGAGTCACGGCGTATACTGCCCCATTGCTTGGGTAGGCGACGAATACGCCATAACAGGAGATGATAACAATAAGGAATGAGAGCGGATAGAGCGGCCGTGGTATCCGGCTACGATCTGCTGTGATACCAGTAGCGGCAATGAATAAGAGACCGCAGACCGTGATAGGAATATTTAGAAGTTGAGCTGCAGCGATGCTCCTGTATCACAATTAGTCATGCTAGTCGAAGCTAAATTACGGCACAGAAGTATAAGCTCACGTAAAGCCGAGATTGGCAATGACTGTGGATTGATAAAAAGTCACCCCGCTGGTGCCCACAGTAAAGGTTGCCCAGATGAACGTAAACAACCACAGCCGAATATCCTTCAACGACGCAATGATTTCCCGTATTTGGAAGTCTTTTTCATTGGCTCGAGGAGCATTAGATGGTAATCGGGCCTGGATAAACTTCTTCTCCCTCTCGGTCAACCATGTTGCAGTCTCGGGGACTACATCAGGTTTCTCGAGTCAGCAACCGGTGGAAATCAAGGATTTAATATGAGAAGTAAAGAATTGTTTCCTTACAATCCGGGAGTAGAAACCAGATAGCAACTCCAAAAATGACAGTAGCAATTCCCTCAGTAAGGAATAACCTAAGGCAAGTCAGTCCGAACTCAAAACAGGAAGCGGCGCTGGGGGCTGTTTACCATTGCCATCCGGAAAGGCCCCCGGCCCCAGATACAGTGTCGAATGCAAATGCAAGAAGGCCACCAATTATTCCGGAGACGTTTCCGCAAACATCTGTATAGGATGGGTGAGTAGCTTTCATATGTGGGGACTGAAGCGCATAACTCACAAAAATAGAGCAGTCGCAAAGACATCTCGTCCGGACGGTACCAATAGGTCATCTGGAGGATTACTCCGGGAAATTGGCCAGCCTCAGCCTGTTTCTCTGTTAGCTGGGTTTTCAAGTTGTTCTTCCAAACATAGGGTCTATCGAAATACTGTAGAACATACCACGCCCAACAAGAATCGAGTCGCATACAAGCCACCTTTGTTTTTGACAGCCGCATTGCACATCAGAACGATACCCCAAGTAATCATAATTCTTGACTGCCATTTTGAAGGCGAAAATCTTTTCAGCAAAAGATTCGAGGGCGCCTCTAGCACAATGTACGGAACCTGCCCAGTCCGCAATCAGTAACAATTCGTGGCACTCGCGTCCAAACACTGTCAATGCCTTACGTAGTAGAGAACCGTCACGAGATTGTACTCGTTGGATGTAATTCCGAGCTGAGTCATAATATTTTGATTCGTTCCCTTGTTCATGATTCGAGCATTTGATGCCTGCGCACCTTTTAGCAAAGTGTACCATCATTCACGATCGACAGTAACACGCACGTTATTGCTGTCCAAGTTTTTGAACATGAATATAAGGGAGCAAAGAGTCATAAGTCTCCAGTCAATCTTGCGTAGCAGCTTTTTCTCTTCCGCCGCTGTGAGGAGAGTCCTGCCGCTCATGAGACCTGGATCGTAGCCGTCGATACTTCCCTGGCTCGATGAGGCTTCTGCCAAAGCTTCGCCACGCCTAACAAAATGAAGGCCATGGTTCGGATCGCTCTCGGCGGTTGACGCAATATCAGTGGCCGACGCCCTACCCAGGTCCCGCGATGCGACGCGCCCGTTTTCTTTGTCGGCCATTGTCAAGATGTAATAAATGACAGCCGTGTGTCAATAGTTTAAAAATTTACAAGCGCGCACAATCTCAAGCAGGAATTTACTGATATACAAGTCTTCTCTCTGTGTCGAGAGGCTCGGAGGGTTTCCGAGGGCGTTCTAGAGCTCGAATCTACATAGCAAGCCCCAGCAGAGCAAATTCTATCATAGCCCACAAGTATTGCGAATACCAGGCCCAGGTGGTGATTCGATATCAAAGGTACACGCCAACCGCGTCTCTCGAAGATTCATGTAAACAGGCTATACACCACAAGCCCTCGCCAAACAGCAGAACTCAATTGAAATCGTTGGAGAGGCATAAAATCAAAAAGAAAACCACTCTGTCAATGAGTTTTAACTCAGGTACTATGTTTTCGTCAATTTCAATCTAGCCGGACGTCCAGAAATAAAAACAGGCAACGGGACCTTGCTGATTGATTTTTACTCGATTCATTCCTTCCTTTGCAAATAGACTCCAAATGATTCAGGTCGCTGCATAGCTCATCTGGTGACAAAACAAGGGGGCGGGATGTGATGCGGTTATACCGGTCACGCCAACGGAGGATATCATGATGAAATCTGAGATCCACGTGGCGTAAAGCGGGGAGCAACCACACACTCTCCATGGTATGGAGATTGCGAGCACTTTTATGAATGGCTCAAAAATCGCCCGATCGGAACAAAGCGACGAATGATAAAATTCACCAATTAAGAACCTGCCTTCATCTAGGGATGTTGAGATTCAAATAAACCTGATATCTCAGCTGTACTGCGGTTTATGCACCCAGTTATCTTCAGAATCAGATCCTTTGCTTTACTCAAATCTTGACCAAATAGAATCATAAAAATTGGTGTTCACAGCTCACCATGACAGCTTTGGCCCAACCTCCGGTCCCTTTATCCACGGGGAGTGACATCCCGACATACGACCAGGTCCCCGAGACTGCCTATGACCGTAAGTATTTAGTCTTCCCTCATCAGACATTTGTCTAATATGTCATCCAAATAGTGGACTGGGCAGACCTAGCCACCTTGGATCTGTCTCAATTTGATCAGCCAGGTGGCAAGGAACAGCTAGCTAAGCAGCTTTTCCAAGCTATCCAAGATATCGGTAAGCATCGCAGTATTCCATGACAAGTTATCTGTCTCCTCACACTAACTTAAAATTAGGGTTCTTCTATATCACCAAGTTTGGCCTCTCACAAGAGGATGTCGACCGCCAATTCTCGATTGGCAAGGAAGTCTTCAAATTACCACTAGAGGAGAAACTCAAGTATCGCGCCGAGCTAGAAAAAGGCGGCTACAATGGATACAAGCCCCTAGGTCTGCGAGTGAGTTCACATCAGACAATATGTGGTAAGAAACGGTCATTCCTAACCCGGTCTTATAGGAAATTAGCCCCGGTGTCTTGGACAACGTCGAAATCTACAATATTCCAAAGTTTATCCCTGCCTTTGAGCGCCCCCAGCCCGACATTGTGAATCACAATCGTCCGGTTATCGAGAGCTTCGCGCGCCACATCAATGATGAAGTCGTACGCAAGCTTCTCATACTTTTGGCTATTATCCTCGAGCTACCTGACAATTATTTCCTCAAGGTGCACCGTTACGAAAAGAAAAGTGACTGCCACCTGCGGTATATGAAGTATCACCGCCGAACCGATGAAGAGAACGAGAAAGCCGCTGGTGTTTGGTCCAAGGGCCATACCGACTTTGGCAGCCTGACTTTACTCTTCCGTCAGCCAGTCGCCGCTCTGCAGGTCCGCACTCCGGAGGGAGAGTGGAAATGGGTGAAGCCATACCCTGGAAGCATCACCGTGAACCTTGCAGACTCGCTTCATTTCCTCACCAATGGCTTCCTGAAGAGCAGTATACACCGTGTCGTCGCACCTCCGCCCGATCAGCGGAATGTTGACCGTCTGGGTGTTCTATACTTTGTCCGCCCTGAGGATGACCTTGAGCTGCGACCGGTGGTCAGCGAGGTGCTACATCGTTTGGGATATGACCAGATAACTGATAATAATGCCGTTGGCATCACTGCTGGTGAGTGGGTAAAAGCCCGAGTAGCCAAGGGAGTTGACAGAGGCACCGCACGAAGTGAAGTCGGAGATCAACCTATTATTGGAGGCGTGGTCGCTAAGTACTACGATTAAAGCCTCATGCACTGATGACGTATCATTTATTTAAATCACTGGAATATTTGGAAGAATGAGAAGGTGAGCAGCTGGATCAAAGAACGCTTAAGTTCAACTGTGGGAATAATCACAAACGTCGATTTTGAATAATATATTTTCAAAGCAATGTGGAATCGCAGCCTAATCTATCCATGCATGTGAAACCTTTTAAAACATATAAACTCACCTGCCCGGTGTTTGCGACAAGGTAATCGATAAAAATTGCATGGGAGCGAACTAGGGATCTTAATTTTCCTACTGCTCTAATCAACCTGGAAGAGTTTTCACTGAACCCCATCAGTCCTTGCTATATGATAGACTGGGGAACTTCCACTTGTAGATATCGGCCTGGTACATGTTACAGGCGCACATGATTGAAAATTTGCATCAAAACCCAATTTTCTTGGCTTCGTTTCTTTCTGCTTGACTGACGGCCGAGTCCGCCGGGCGGCCATCCGCATCCTATTTAGAACCCGACAGTCGGCAAACAATTCGAAACAGGTGCTTCTGACATCGCCGATGGTGGGGCTCAACCGAGTTCAGGTGGGTATTTCTCTGGGAAATTATCACATCGGAACAAGCCGTGTGAGTAATTTGATCTTCCCTTATCAATGGTCCTCCTCCGCAGACTCGGCACTCTCCGCTGCCCCGCCATGTCACGTGAATATCCCACCAGGTGAAGACGAACTCAGAAGTCGAACTCCTATAGTGAGTAAGACCCCAAATCCCCGAAGGATCGTGTTTAGTTCGAAGCGTCGCCGAAAACTCCGGGTCCGACTGTGCAGGTTATCCGTCTCCTGTATTTGCAGAGCCGCTTTTGCAACATCAAAGTCGTAGGACGCCGCCGATTCTCCCCGCCAAGAACCCCCAAGCAACGGAGAAGCTGACGGGGGACCTTGGCGACGCGACAGCGACGGCCGATAAGACTAGCAAGTTTTTTTTTCTTCTTCTTGCAACCCATCTGCAGATCGATGTCGCAGTCTATAATAATTGACTTCTCGCCCGTGGTTCTCAAGAAAATTACTTGTCTTTTCAATATCAGCCCCTCATCTGAAACCGGCCAGTAGTGGTAACTCAGATTTGGAGTGGACCCACAAGGCGAGGCAGAAGGAGAATTTCTAATTCAGTCAAACAAACCCAAGTCAACTCTTTGCACAACATGAACGCAGATCTGCAGAGCGTGAATAGCATCCTCATGGATGGCGAGCGCAAATGGAGCATGAGCCCGCTCATCCAAAAGGCCGAGCGCCAGCACAGGCGTCTGCCAGGGATTAGGAAGATTCCTATTCGTGCCATCGCCATTATACTGTTTATTGCATTCATTAATATTGTCGTTTGGATTGCTGCAGCTATCGTGCTGGTAAGAGCTTGAACCATTCGTAGATATATACATCATGCTAACATAGTCCAGCGTTATCACCCGTACGTCTGATGATTTATCGCTTTGGAATTGGCGCGACGTTCATGTTCTGAAACTGATGCTATTTCAGGAAATTGGTCTCTACGGCTGTACTTGCCTACACTCTTGGCCTCAGACACGCCTTTGATGCAGACCATATCTCTGTACGTCTTGACACTTCGTGAACCCTCGATGCCTAGCTGATACGTGAATAGGCCATCGATTTGATGACCCGAAGACTGCTCGCAACTGGACAAAAACCTGTTACAGTGGGCACATTCTTCTCACTCGGTCATTCGACGTAAGCTCCCTATCGATCTCCGTGATTATTCCTGTTGTCTAAGTCAAGTAGGATCGTCATCATCACCTCCATCGTTGTCGCTGCCACTGCCGCTGCAGTTTCCTCAAAATTCGACAGCTTCAGCAGGATAGGTGGTATTATTGGCAGCTCTGTGAGCGCAGCCTTTTTGATATTGCTTGGTGTCATGAACGCCTATATTCTGTACAAGTTGATCAAGCAGATGCAGAAAGTCTATAACTTGCCCGAGGGCCAGGAAGACGAAGCTTGGAAGATTGAAGGGGGAGGTATTCTGTTCTCCGTTTTGAAGAAGATGTTCAAGTTGATTGATCGGTATGTTGCTGTTAAGATGATGATGATAGCATCATACTAACATAATCCCAGGCCCTGGAAGATGTATCCACTTGGGATTCTTTTCGGGTTGGGCTTCGACACTTCATCCGAGATTGCGTTGCTCGGTATCTCATCAGTAGAGGCTGCCAAAGGCACATCTTTCTGGGTCATTCTGATCCTCCCTGCACTTTTTACCGCAGGCATGTGCCTCCTCGATACCATCGATGGCGCTCTGATGTTCTCTCTCTACATCCAGCCCTCGGCAAACTTCCTTCCAGCCAAGCGAACGAACTCAACTTCAGAAGAGTCCACTGAAAACGATGGCGACGAGATTCCTCAGTCTCATGATAATCACCGTGATCCTATCGCATTCCTCTACTATTCAATCGTGCTCACTACTCTGACGGTCATAGTTGCCATCGTGATCGGCGTGATCCAACTTCTCACCATGATTCTGAATGTTACCAATGCTACTGGCAAATTCTGGGATGGTGTGCAGATAGCAGGAGACTACTACGATGTCATTGGTGGATCGATCTGTGGCTGCTTCATCATTTTCGGCGGACTGAGCGTGCTCTTATATAAGCCATGGCGGCGATGGATGGCCCGTCGCCACGGGCGACCCTTAATCACGGATGAGGAGGTAAATCATGAAGAGGACCTTGGACACGGTGAAGACCCCAGAGTCATCACTTTCGAGAGAAGTGGAAGCGTTCAGGCGGCACGGACTGAGGGGGTAGGAAAGGGAGCGGCATCGAGTGTTGCGGTGAAGGAAACCAACGAACGCCGCATTGAGGATGAGATTGTCTAGAGTGATGTTTCGCTACCGGACTAGATAGCATTGCTCTTATAGACAGGCTTATTGCGTTGCTAACTATAAAGCATCGAATCAGGATATACTTCCATTGTGGCCTTAGGCAGAAACATGTGACGTCAGGCATGAATAGCTCGTATCTCCCAGCCAAACGCATTTCTCTCCCCAAACGACAAGGGATGCATGGATGTGCTGCTCCCTACTCACCTTTCGGTGATGTCTTTGATTGGCTTCTATTGAATATAATCTTTGATTCAAATCATCCATCGTGATTCCCCACAATATGCACGAGCTTCCACTGCTATACGCGACAGGGATAAGCACTCGGTGACTCGGCGGGGCCACACGAACGTCCATTATGCCATCACACATATAAGGCTCCACCATATATTGCATATATTATTGAACATATATTAAATCTATTGCCAAACATGTCGAATCCCTTCTTCGGCAGTTCATCTCCTCCTGAGCCAGCCGAAGAAACCACGGAAGAGACGATATTTTCAGGACAACCTGCAGTTTTCATCCTACCAACACATTTGCCCATTGGCAAGTTACATGAAACTGAGAGCAAACTAGTGCGATATGGTGGCATACTCACTTATGATATTTCAGAAGCCACCATCATTTTGGGAAAGATTGGCCAGAAGAAGCGAGCGGCGCTCGAGCTTCGTTCTCGGGGACTTTGGACTGAGGAGATTCCAATCACTTTCGAATCACCTTCAACGATATCTAAGCTAGATCAGCAGCCACTGTCAAAACGGAGGAAAACAAGTACTACGTCGGCTGCCAATGCGGGTATTGAGCTTGTCGATCTGAGCACAGAGTCAGAGTCCGAAGAAGATGGAGTTCGGAGTCGACATGATCCGGGCAAACATCTTGTACAATCAGCAAAAGAAGCCGAGAATACAGTAACTCTTCTAAAATTGGAATGGCTAGACCACTCAATTGCTGCACGAAGAGCACTTCCCTGGGATTCATTCGTGGTCTATAAAGGGCAAAAGACCGCACGCCCTACCCCTGCTGCCCCAGCAAAGTCGCCTTCACACAAACCCACCAGTGCAATTTTACAGCGCGCCAAAGAAGACGCGGCCTCGCAACCATCTCCAGATGCTTCCAAGTACTTCCATTCTCGCCGGTCCAAAGAGCCTCCTGACGGCGCGGGTAGTCAGCGCCAGCGACCGACTCTGTACCGGCAGACAACTTCAGAGCACGACGAGGCCTTTCCTTCACCACCTCAACCAGACTGGGTCCGTGATCAGGTCCTCTACGCATGTATGCGTTCAGCGCCCTTACATCCACCAAATGAAGACTTCATCTCCCAACTCGTCAAGATCCGTCGCATAAGGGAACTCACGCTTGACGAAATTGGAGTGAGAGCGTACAGTACCTCGATAGCCGCAATAGCAGCGTATCCGCACGTCATTAGAAGACCAAGTGAGATACTATCTTTGCCAGGCTGTGAAGCAAAAATCGCAAATCTTTTCGCCGAATTCCTGCAGCATGGCGGCTGTGAGCATACCGACGATGACGGAACTGTTGCTGCGGCCAACGCCTTGGAAACAGACCCCGTGCTCCGTGTTCTGGACACGTTCAATCGGATCTGGGGAGTCGGAGCGAAGACTGCGAGGGATTTCTATCACCACCGTGGATGGCGGGATCTGGATGATATCGTTGAACATGGATGGAATTCATTATCTCGTGTACAGCAAATTGGCGTGAAGTTCTTTGACGAGTTTCAAGAGGGGGTTTCTCGTCGTGAATCGGAGAAGATTGCTGAAACCGTACGGCGGCACGCGAACAAGGTACGGCCCGCAGCGGACGGTAGGATTGAGTGTATAATCGTTGGTGGCTATCGTCGAGGCAAAGAGCTTAGCGGTGACGTCGACGTCATCCTCACACACCGCGACGAGGATATTACTCACAGTCTTGTCATGGACGTCGTCGCTAGCCTCGAGGCAGAGCTTTATGTCACACACACACTCGCACTGCATCTTACGTCTTCGCACCGTGACCAACAAACCATTCCCTACAGAGGTGATGAAACGGGCAAACATTTTGACTCCCTCGACAAAGCCTTGGTCGTCTGGCAGGACCCGCATTTTAAGGATTCCAGTTCCACAGATCCACAGGGTTCAAGCAATCGTAAGAAGAATCCAAATCACCATAAACGTGTTGACATTATCATTTCGCCCTGGCACACAATTGGGTGTGCCGTGTTGGGATGGTCGGGGGACACTACATTCCAACGAGACCTAAGACGATATGTGAAAAAGGCACATATGTGGAAGTTCGACTCTAGTGGAGTGCGCGAACGGACCACTGGTGGCCAGGTGCTGGATCTGGAACATGGTGGAGAGACGTGGGAAGAGAGGGAGAGGTTGTTGATGGAGCGATTAGGAATCGGATGGAGGCCTCCACAAGAGAGATGTACTCGTTGAAGACACACTTGGGCTTGACATGGAGCCCAGTCTCATTTCGAAAGCAGATGGACGACAATATGAAGCTCAATGATACTACAAGTAGATGATCACGGTCAAGGACATATACAACGCAAAATAATTAAGAGTCGAAGGACTCGGGCATGTGCCAAAGCCATCTCCAATTGAAAAATCAAGCTAAAAACACATCACATCACAACAACAAGGTAGTATGTCACATCACTCTCCAGCTAGACAACATAGCACGGCTACATACCGAGGCTGGAAGAGGTAGAAAAAAATGATAAAAAGTACACAAAGTTATATCATCACCAATTTCTTGGTATTCATGCGGTAGAAAAAAGGGAGGCGCGCAGAGGCAAGGAATGCAGCCGGAGAAAAAAGCAACATAGATCATAATCCCGGATTCCTGGAACTCGCCATTTCTCCGTACCGTCCACGACCCTGGGTGGTATCGTAGGCATTCAGAACACGCATTTGACCGCCGTCGTCGGCTTGGGAGAAGGCGTAACCACGCTGCTTGCGCATGCGCTGCACTTGGCGAACCTTGCGGATGGCCTTCTGGAATTGCTCCATACGAGGACGGTAGTCCTGGACGTTGTATTTCTGGATCTCCTGGACATGGTGGTAATGCTGAGGGTAATACATGCGTTTGGCATACTTCCAGGCAAAATCACGCATCAAGCAGATGCATGGCAAGACGATCGCCATCAGGTAGAATATGGGAGATTTGAATAGAACGGGGATGGTGCCGTAGTATTCGTTCGAGAATCCGATGGCGGGGGCGGCGTAACCATAGGCTGGGAGGAAGGCCAGCCAAAGTAGCATGGATCCCGGAATGGCGATGAAGTGGTATTTGGTCCAGATGTTGGAGATCAGAGCAGCCTTGCCGAGGACAGTGGCCAGCACGGAAGTGTACAGCGCCTCTCCCCAAACCCAATGGCCGGCAACCTGGCCATTAGCCATAGGCAAATCCCAGTAGAAGATCAGCTCGGAGACAAGGTAAAGGAGCAAAGAGTGGAAAAATCCGTTCAGAACCCAGGCCCAGAAGCTGTGCTTCTTGAAGAAGACACCCTTCTGGCCCAGCTGGTATAGTTGGGGATAACGGTCGAGCAATCGAGCGGAGACATATTGGTCGAAGATTCCCATGGCGAATGGCGGCAGAACGGTGAAAAGCACGTTGTAGTAGGACAAAGTCCAGGATTCGTAGATAACCTGCCCAGAGAAGGCATTTTGGAAGGAATACTATAGATGAACGGTTAGACTCGGAACCTCAGACAATCTCGAGAACGAACCACATACCCAGAACTGCGTCATATACAGCGTGATGTTCTTGTAGAATGAGTACAGAATGACTCGACTGATGCGGGAATAACTCCAGGCGCCGTGAACTAGGAGCAGTTTTCGGAGGAAACGGAATTGAGCAATCGCAACATCAGCCGATCGAGCTGCCTGTAGACCTTCCATACCACTGATACCGACACCAACGTGTGCGGCCTGGATCATGGACACGTCGTTGGCACCGTCACCGATAGCCAGGAGCAAGGATTTCAGATGCCGCTTCACAAGCTTGACAACCAGTGCCTTCTGCAGGGGAGACACACGGCAACAGACCACAGCCTTGCACATAACAGCGAGATCCAGGAAAAGCTTCTCCATGTCCTTCTCCAGGGCGAAGGTGAGAGACTTGCCATCAATAACCAGAGCCAAGGCCTCGATGTCACCAGAACCAGCCTGGCTTTTGACGGCGTCCATTTTAGACTGAAGGTTAGCGCGAGTCGCTTGCGCATTTTCCTCGTTGATAATGAGAAGCGTCATATCCTCCGAGATAAGTTTGCAAGACATGCCGATGTTGATGGCAGTCTCTTGTCGGTCACCAGTCAAGACCCAGATCTTGATGCCGGCAGTCTGAAGCGTGTGAATGGTATCTGGAACACCGTCTTGCAGTCGATCCTCTATGGCAGTAGCCCCCAGTAGATAGAAATCCTTTTCAATCAACTCGGCCGCCTTATCTAACTCGTCGGCACGATTACCGCCCACGGTAGTGTTGGCCGTGTGGAAGATCTGGTGCCATTGCTGATATTCATCCTCTGGGACTTCGCGCATAGCAAGACACAGGGTTCGCAGACCTTCCGAGGCGTATTCTTCAAGGTGCTGAAGGGTGATTTCAACGGCCGGATTGTCCGTGTGCAGGCGCTCCAGAATGACAGTGTCGGCACCCTTGCAGTAAATTCGGACCTTGCCATCTGGGCAGCGGAAAATGGTCGACATGCGCTTTCGGGTAGAATTAAATTCACACACAGCCAGCAACTCATACTCCTGTTCAACTCCGTTGGCAGTGAAGATGACCGATCTGGGCTTGCGGTTGGTGAAGCGATAGCCCAGCATTGCAGCACCATCCACTAAAGCACCCTCATCGGGCGAAGCTGCCTGGTACTTGATCTGAGCGGGATCATTGCCGTTCCATTCGGGAATGACAGTATGACAAGTTGCCAAAAGAGTCAGAAACTGTTGAATAGCACCCTGAGACGGATGAGATTCCAAATTCTTGCGAAGAGTCTTGTAGTCGTAGATGCCGAATTCGCCATCATCTTCTGCGGTAGCTCTACGATCTTCCGGAACGTCATCTCCATATTGAATACCGGCAATTGAACATTGCTTGAACTCCATCATGTTACAAGTTAGCGTGCCCGTCTTGTCAGAGAAGATGTACTCGATCTGGCCGAGCTCTTCCACCAGGGATGAGGTGCGGCAGGTGGCGGGCGTATCGGTCTTGTCGTAGTAGATATCAAGGTCGGAGTTGATGAGGAATGCCTGGAAGTACTTCACAATCTCAAGGGTGACGAACAGCGAGATCGGGACCAGATTGGAGTAAAGCACCCAGTAAGTGAAGATGTCCATGAAAAATTGCTTCACAGGGTTAACAGATCCGTAATCCAGGTAGGCGAGCTTGCTGGAAGCTGTTTGACGAACAACGAGATCGCCAACAGAGCTGACGACACTAAGCGCAATGAGAATGCTCACTAGCATCAGGATCTGAACGTTGACCATCCGCTCCACCGCAGTACGCTTGATAGGAGTTGCCGTTGCGTTCCGCATCAATTTGGTCTCGTGGCCAGTAAAGACAACAATGCCATGAATCCAGGGAGTGTTTCGTAGGGTTGCACCTCGAAGCAACAATTGATCCGGGGCCAAAGAGAGCTCCTTCTCGCCACCTCCAGCGTTCATGGTCAATGTCGCCTCGTACGTGTACAGACTGCTGTTGGGTTGTTCCGATCGAACTCGTCCACTTAAGCGACTGAGGTCACTAGGGCTGACGAGATGCGCGGTCTCGGGAATGGCCTGTTTGATCTTCAAGTTGGTTTCTCCGTCCAGATTGGCCGTTTCGATGTAGCAAAGACCCTCGGGCTCGGACGAAGCCAAAAGTACCAAGTCTGCGGGGAATGGTTCCTCTGACTCGACTCGAACCACATCTCCCACTGCCACATCTACCCATTTCGACTCATGGAATGAAGAACCCTTCAGAACTTGCGTTTTCGAGTAGTTCAACCCTCTATCCGACATCCGACGCTTATAGTCCTCGACCAATTCCTTGGTGGCAGAAACCAACAACACGATAGCGAGCGGAGCGATGGTGGTATATTTGTTGGTCGGAGAAACGTTGGGGATTTGTTGGAGAACAGCCGTGAACAAGAAGAACAGGTTGGCGTATTTGGAGAATTGTTCGAAGAGGAATTTCGGAATGAAGGTGAAGACGTTGTACTTGGCAGTCGAGACGTGGTTGCTAACGAACTTGTGCGCGGTATTTGCAGGACCATTGTTGACCTGGATCATGCGAGGACCCAGGCTTGCCGGATCGACCTTACGGCGTCCGAAGATCGAGGTAATGTTGGATGCGCGGAACTTCTTTCGCTCCTTGGGGGCGGCAGCCGGTTCGCCGGTGCTATCCACGGTCGCTCTTCTCGCGCCGGCTTCCGTCAAAGGCAGATCCATTTCCGAATATTGCGGTCCCATGCCGAACATGTATTTTGCTTTTCCCATCAATCCGCCCCCTAACCCCAGAACACTGTTCCGCTCGTTCGCTTTCCGCACATGGCTCTCGCTCGGAATCTGCGGGTCAAACGGATCGTCGTAATAGCTACCGCCATCGTGGTAGCCATGCTGTTCGTATCGTGAATCGTAGCGATCAAGGTTGGAGTCGTATCTGTCGAGGGGGTCCTGTCCGTAGGCTAGGTCCGTATTTGACTCTGATTGATATCCGGCGCCATGCGATTCTTGAAGGAATCTACTGTGAGGCGCATTCCCTGCAACACCTTGGGCGTACACACCATGCGGTTGTACCTGGGCACCGATGAACTGGTCGTTGGATATGGAAGGGCGCGGTTGCGCATTGTGCTGTTCGATAAATTGCGAGAGGTGTTCGTCGCTGACGGGCGGGGGCTGACCAGTGTTATACATCGGGCCTGGACTAGGACTCGACCTCAACAACAAGTCATCATCGTGACCAGCGGGATAATTCGGCCCAGGAGGCCTACCGCTGGCCATGCTGCCGCGGGGGAAGCTGACAGCCTCACTAAGAGCAATAGAGGCGATGCCCCTGAGGCATTGATCGGATCAAGTGGAAGGTGGAGGAATTCTCACGCCACGGGAACTGCAGGGGGAAAGCAATAAAGTAAGGGAGTAGACAGTCGAAGAAGAAGGGGTGCTTAGAGTGAAAGGGGAAGAAAGTGGACAGGTTTGAGTAGGATGAGGTGGCTTAGCAGACGGATGCAGTAGAAAGTAACTTTGGGGGTGTTGACTTGATCGTCCCGCTTTTTTGGCTCGGGCGGTAAACGACTGCCAGCCACAGATCGGCACAGGGAGGATGGGATGGAGGACAAATCCTCGATCTACAATTTCCCCGATAGGAGAGAATCTGAACAAGGATTTAAGTCAAGCAATAGTTAGCATAGTGGATGTTGAGCATATAACTCCACGAGGGTTCAGTGCCTACATGAAACGAAGCACTCTAAGAATAGATGTTGGCTTGGCAATGATAATGTCTGCGAATATATTGTTTGCAAGCGCCACCTTGAAATCTTAGCTAGGCAGCACTAAATATCCCGCACTGACAGATCCAAAGCAGCATGACACGCCTACCTAGATAAATGTGGGATCGAAAGCTTATATACCAGAGGCTACAGCATAATTGTTCATAAGTGTGAAGGATTAATTTCGTTCGGTGGATCATATTAGGTACATTGCTGAGCTATTTCGCTTTGAATATCAACATCATATGAACCTCCGTTTAACGATTGCATCATTGGCATCTCGTGAAGAAGAAACAAAAGGCAATGCAGAACTCCAGTTCCCAGGTCATGAAGGCTCTAATCATACAAAAAATTTGGTCGTTCGCTTCTGGATTCAGCGGTCATTCTCCGCCCGAGATTCTTCTGCCATACCCTTCTTGGCCCGCTCGGCCAGATCGGCTTGCATGACCTTCTCGATCTGGGCATTGAGCTCCTTAACTTTGTCCAGAGCAACTCGAATGTGGATCACCACCTCCATTGCATCGATCGGGGCACCTGAGAACTTGGACGTGAAGCACACTTCGCCTCCATTGTTGATGCCAATCACAAGCTCTCCCTCGGAAGCTTGCTCTTCCTTGCGTGTGGCATCGAGGATGATGTGACGGCCCTCGTTGAATGTGTTAAAGGTAACGGAGAGAGGCTTGTGTGTGATGTTGAGCGCAACGGGGACTCGCTCCTCCACTCCATAGACGACAACTTGGCCATCGCGAACCACGGCATCCGGCCGGCGGAAATGCTGCAGACCAGTCATGACGGCAATACAGGCTGCATCGGTCAGGTTGCCATCGTAGTCGAGGACGTGCACATCGGCGCGGATACTCCAGCAGCTCACACCCTTGAGAATGCACAGGGATTCAGTGTCCAGAGCGTTCGAGCGACGGATGACGCTGTCAAGGACGTGGGTCACAGAGGCCTCGAGATCATTGGACCTGTGAGATGGAAAAAGATGAATTAGTGAAAGTTGAGCACAATGTTCTGATGGTAAGCATACCGGCCATTCTCCCAAGCTGGCGAGCCCATGGCAGACAGCTCGAGATTGATGTTGAAAAGGCCGTCGAATGGGCGGTCATCGCGGGGCTTGGTAACCTCGGAGGAGATGCGAACAACAATGCTAGAGGTTGCGATTAGTACACAAATATCTTACAGCATTGAATAAAAATATAACATTATCGGTGTACATACCTTGTCTTGCCCAGCTCAAGCTTCACATGTCCGTATTCATCGCCGAAGGAGATCTTCAAAGGACGGTACTGGTCAAATCCTCGACCATCTAGGCGAACATCCTGCTGCAGAGCTTCGAGGATGAACTCGCGCTCTGCGACCGAAAGCGAAGCTTCCTTTGACATTTTTCGAACGACGCTTATTGCGGGAGAGCGTCTGTGTAGAGGGGACTTTTTTATGATCCGTTTTGCCGGTGCGCGCTCCATAGCTGCTGTTTGTAGTAGGCGGTGAAGTGAATGAGGCGGTGAAGAAAGGTAGAAAGTCTGGGCGGTGAGAGAGACAGAAGAGTCTCTGGGCGACGAGCGCATCTGCACTCGCAGCCTCTGTTCAACAACGACTTATCTTCCCCCTCCAAACCCCAAGATGACCACAGGTATGTTTGTAGCTCTGCTTACTGAATCTTTTATCATTCGTTTACTGACATTTCATAGCTCACAGACCCACATTTGACCCGGTACGCCTACTTGCGCCTACACTCTTTCGCTTAACTACTTCGAACACAGATTAATATGACGTAAATAGGCACAAGGGAAGGAGGCCCTTCGAGGGCCAGCCTATCACCAGCGATTGTTACCTGCATATACACACCTGAAAGTTCGGTAAGCTACCTAAGACTTCTGAGATTCCCAACCTGATAGCTAATACTCCCGGAGGCAACCTGGACAAGGTGGTGATGCCGATAACGAGGTCCGTGACCTGCGCGCTGAGCTGTTGAAGGCCGAGGCTGCGCATTTTGCCAAGAAGAATGGTGTTTCCATTGAAGAACCCACCATCGCAGAGCCGACTGCTCCTAAGCGCCAACTCGAAGCTGCCCCTACAGACGCCCAGGGTGAAGCGGAGGAAGACCCGGAGGCCAAACGACGACGAATCCTAGAAGAGACACGTGACATAGATGCCGATTCGGACGGATCAGAAGAGGACAGTAGCGAAGAGGAAGATAGTGATGATGAAGATGAGGCAGCTGAATTAATGCGCGAGCTGGAGAAGATCAAGAAAGAGCGACAGGCACAAAAAGAGAAAGAGGTATGTTTCCCAAGAAAATTCAAGCTTGCGACATCTTGGAATTGGTATGCTGAATCTCTATAGGAACAAGAACGAGCTGCCGAGGAGCAAGAGCAGCGGGAGGTAGATATCGCTAGGGGCAATCCGCTCCTCAATGCACAAGACTTCAACATGAAGCGGCGCTGGGATGATGATGTGGTATTCAAGAACCAGGCTCGTGGTACAGAGAAGAAGGAAGGCAAGGAGTTCGTCAACGTGAGTCTACATCAATGCCCGCAATATGCCGACACCTAATCTAACTTGCTATCAGGACTTGCTGCGATCCGACTTCCACAAGAGATTCATGGTACGTTCCACGCCTTAGTCCGAACGTAGAAAAGAACTAACTTGAGTCATTGCAGTCAAAATATGTTCGGTAAATCGGCTCCTACGGCCTATTACATGCAGTTAGAGCGCCCAGCCGACCACGTCTACTGGGTACACGTTTACTACCATCCTGCTGACCTCCCTGCACCCACTGGGCATACACGCCACTCGTATCGAGAAGCTAAGACTGTAACCGCCGATTCTTGAAGAGAAAAATCGAACATGGGCGGGACAATTGGGAATCAGGGAGCTCTAGGTAGGAAATGGTGACATTGGCCGGCCAATTTCACAGTTCTCACCACCCGCTTCTCGAATGCAAGTAAGAGCGAGGCAGGCTCCGGCAATCATCAATAGAAAATTCTTCAGTGGAAACAAAACAGTTCCTAGTTATTTGCATCTATCCTCCGTTTGCCGTATTCTAGTCGTAGGCAGCCTGGGCAACTGCCTGGTGCCGTTGAGTTAAGACCCACTCCCCAGTTGCCAGCCCCGGAAATTTGCCTATTTCTATCGTTCTCACCGCCTTGAACCTCTTCCCTTCACCGCCACCCTTACCGCCCAAATACCACCCTTTTCTGCCAGAAACAATGGATAAAGCTCCCTCCACCCCTCCTCCAAATCAAGAACCCTCCCTCAACGACGACGACTGGGACATCCCCTCAAGATCCGAAAATTCTGAAGATCTTCCTCTCAAAAAAATGGACAAAGATCAACCCTTCAAGCAGATGCACCGTAAGTAATTCCTGCCATCATCAGCGCCATCCCTCATCGAGGACGTGTGTTGCTTTCCGAGCAGCCTAGCTAATCTGAGCTCTCCCCGCAGAACGCATCAACTACGATGTCTCTCAGCTGCTACAGCGCTTTGAGAATATCCTGGCCGTTGCCAGTGTAAGTTCTGAGCTCTACACACGTGTCTTTTCTTTCAAAATACGAACTAATCACTGTTATCTAGTCTGACAACAGCAGTCACACTGCCACGGCCGTGGAGGCCAATCAGCTGGAAGTCGAGACCGACGGGCTGGTAAGCATACCCCCCCAAACACCGATAGAATTCAGATCACGGAGAGTTCCGCTTTTACGCGGGGTCTCTGCTGTGGCGCGTGACAAGTACTCGAACTAACCTCTGGACAATGACTACATAGATCCGCGCTGCTGAGGACATCCTCAGCCTCACTCGCACCATGAAGGAAGCCTGGTACTACGGCAACCTTGACACCCTCGGCGAGAACGAGCAAGATGTCCAGCGCCGCAAGAAGCTGGAGGAGGACGTCCAGGCCGTCGAGAAGGCCGTCGAGAAGGGTGTTCTCTCGAAGCTCTGCCCCGAGGAGACGAAGCCGGCTCAGGACAAGGACAAGAAGCAGGTTTAATCTTGCTGCGGCCCCATTCTTTTGTTTTTGCATCATATCTACCGACTACCACGGCGTTTCGCGTTTCTTTCGTCTTTTGGTTTCTGGGAAGCATCAGGTACATAGCCAGCGGTTCTCGTTTTTTCGGGGACATATTCAAGTACAGGCCTGGCGTTTGGGAACTCTGGTGTTTGATACCCAATGAATAGTTGAATCATATGCTCACTGAACTACTCAGCGTGGCTTTCTTCATAAGTCTTTACACTTAACTCCATATCCCACTGCTCGTTGAAAAAAGTATCCGCATGGTCAATCTAGAATTGGGCCCGTTTCGCAGCCTGTTCCCATCGCCGAAACTGACACCGAGGTCTGCTGTTCTGTCAAATGTGACAACTCTCAATCAAATATTTGCTATAAAGGCAATTCATACGGTAAGGATGTGCTGCTAGAGCTGTGCTAGCAAGCACCTCGGCAGCCACAACCCGCAGACCAATGTTCAAATTTGTGACCATTATGATTCTCAAATATTGGGTTGAAGTCTATTCAAGCCTCAAGGGGGCTACATAAAGTATCAGTGTTCTTAAGGGCATCCTCGCCAGAGAACCCCAAATTGAGCCTCACTTACTCCATGCACCTACCATGTCTCACATTTTATGTACTGAATGTCAGTTTTCCTAAGCGAGGATTTCGCGGTATGAGATCAATTGGGTTGATAGATGTTAATAAAACTGCTTTTCATATCATACAGGGGAGATTGCGAGTGCTGGCACTAGTAGAAAAGACAAAATGATCTGGGTAGCGTTATGTATAGCCCGCGGTATCCTCCATACAAAACCCCTCTCGGGTTCCTGCGATAAGCCGATAAGCCCACGCGATCAACACGTCCCAACTTTTTCGCATCTCCACTCTCCGCATCCCGCAACCACGACCTCATCACGGCCATTCCTCGCTCTCCTCGAACATCTCTTTAATTCCAACATCAAAAATCAGTGTTATCATTTCACACAGAACCCAACTATCAACTCTAATCCCTCACAATGCCACCCCCAACAACCCACCAAATCCCCCACTCCCTCCCCCTCACCCTCATCGTCGCCACAACCCCAATTCGCGTCGCGTCCTCAACGCCCATTGAAAACCCAACCCGCCTCGGAATCGGTCTCAAGGGAACCCTACCCTGGCCACGCATCAAAACAGACATGTCCTTCTTCGCGCGCGCAACCTCTCGCGCCCCGGCACCGGGCACCACGAACGCAATCATCATGGGCCGCAAGACATATGACTCGGTTCCTAAGAACCTTCGTCCGCTGGGGAAGCGGATCAGCGTCATTGTGACGCGCGATACGACCGGTGCTGTGCGAGAGGGTGTGTTGAAGGAGCTTGAGGCGCGGAAGGCAAAGATGGCGGAGACTGCGAAGGCCAAGGCTGAGGGTGCCGCGGGGAAGGAGGCTGCGCCTGGTGGTTGTGCTACCGAGGAGCCTATTACCGATGCATTGGTGACGCATAGTCTGGATTCTGCGTTGTCGGAGTTGGACGCTGTGTATGGTTCTTCTGGTCGGTTGGGCAAGATTTATGTCATCGGGGGTGCGGAGATCTATGGTGCGGCGCTGCGGATGAAGATGCCTGTCGGTGAGCAGCAGTCCCGGAGGCCTGTTAGGATTGTCATGACGAAAGTTGTGCGGAAGGTTGGGGATGATGGTGTGGCGAAGGAGTTTGAGTGTGATACTTCCTTCCCTGTGGACGGACTAGGGGTTGAGCATGGTTGGCGGACTGCCAGTGCACAAGAAGTTTCTGAGTGGGTGGGGGAGACGGTTACTGGGGAGTGGATTCAGGATGGAGAGGTGGAGGTGCAGATGGTCGGGTATGAGAGATTGGACTGATGACTTATGACCTCGTGAAATTAGTAGGCGGTCTCTGGGTGAAATGTTTAAATAGAATATTGCATTACCTATGAATCGGCGTCTTACTGTCCCATGCAATGCTCATTCTCGTATCGCCGTTTTGTATAGATATCGCTACCAGTCGCCCACCCTTAATTGACCAAGCAAATAGGTTGTTCGAGTGATGGCTCGAGGATACGCCAGGAATATTAATATGATCCGATTCTGAATTTCTGCCTCGAATTCATATCTTTAGAAAAGGGGTTGACTGCTTCTAGAACTGAGTTGTATGCTTGTGTCACATCTGCAGATCTTCTTGGACTGAAGTCCAGCGAAATTTTTGCATGATCTGGCCCGAACCACACAGAGCAGCTCCAAAGTACCAAAGTACCCAAAAATTGAAGCGGTTATGGGGTTGCGATGTATAATTGTAGTACATAGTCCTTCTCCTGTTTTGCCTATTCCCTTATCTACTCCAGGCTTGAGACTTTTTCCCGCTTGTCCTAGGCGAGTCAGTCTCGTAAAAAAGAAAAGTTTCCTGAGGTCTAACTCTAACTATTGCTATTCCAAGCTTGGGTGCTTTTCGTCATGCAGACGTTGGTTTATTAGCGTCAGCACTGGCTCGACTACTTGATCCTGGAAATACCATGGAAGCCATTGACTGCATAGACTTTCGGGACTTTCGTTCTCCGTTGCTCTTCCTGCATTATTTGGCCCGAGCAATCAAAAAGTCTTCTTCGAATGTATCATGAGACGATTTACCGATTTCTGTCCAACACAATTTTAGCCCACATTTTAGTCCTCATTCTAGTTAGAACGATCTAGTAGTCACCGGAGTGGGAGATTGGCGTTTCCCTCGCGTGGGGGCGTGGGCCATCATGACTATCATGAGTCCCCATAAAAAGTGGAGGCAGTGGGGTAAATATAGAACTAAGATTGACATCTATCCATGGTACAGCCATCTATCTTCTATATCTAACTCTTGAAAAAAAAAACATCACAAAAAGTCCGCCGTGTGTATCGGTCCAAGAGAAAAAGACCTCTCAAACCCAACAAGACCGAACACCCGAAAGCATTCCTTTATTTTCTCGACCACCCAGTCGCCACTCTTCCTTCACCACCACCAGCGTCTCGCCGCCCCCGCTTAATAGCAGGTATAACCACCATCAATTATACAGTTCGCGCCAGTCATAAACTTAGACGCATCTGAAGCGAGGAAAACACAAAGCCCATTCAAATCATCCACATTACCCAACCGATTCTGCGGAGTCAACGACTTCCAAATCTTCTTCTGCGCCTCCAAAGCCGGCACCCTGTTCAGCGCCGTGTCCATGTATCCGGGCGAGATACAGTTCACCCGAATCTCATTCTTCGCCCACTCCGCCGCCAACGACTTGCCCAGCTGAATCACACCAGCCTTGGACGCATTGTAACAGCTCTGCTCCTGCGGGTAGTTCACGATCGAGCCGGACATGGAAGCAACCAGAATGATACTACCGGGTTTGCGGGCGGCGATCATTGCACGACCCACGGCTTGCGACATCAAGAACGAGCCCGTGAGATTGATATCGATTAGACGGCGGAACATGGCCACGTCGTAGGTCTCGGCTTTGATGTTCGAGTCCGCGATTCCGGCAGAGTTAATCAGGACGTCTGGCACGCCGTATTTCTCGGCGCAGGCTTCCACCGAAGCGGTGATGGCGGCGGCATCGCGCACGTCCACTCGGTAGAAAGAGATCGGCAGACCCGTCTTATCGTGTAGCTCGGCGGCGGCCTCGTCACCGAGTTCCTGGTTCGCGTCGAAGATGACGATGTTCTTTGCACCGGCTTCGGCGCAGGCGCGTGCCATGTGGTTTCCGAGACCCCGGGCACCGCCAGTGACGATGACCGTTTTGCCGAACATGGTCATGTTGCGCATTGTGTGGGGCAGTTGCTCGTAGACATCGCGGGTGAGCGGGTTGACGGATTCGTGTTCTTGCTCGGCTAGGGGGATATTGGTGTGGGGGGTTGCGCCGTCTTGGAAGACGTGGACGGTGTGCTTGTGCGCGGAGCTGTGGCCGGCATCATAGTCTGTGACTGGGACTTCTTTTTCGGGGATACGGTTCTTTTTGTCGGTTGTTTGGAGGCGATTGGGTCGGGTGGTGGAGAAGTGGTTAATTGGCAGGCGGGAGATTGTTGGTAGGGTGTTGGGAGCTGCCCGGTAGGAGCGGAGGACGTGGCGAGCTAGAGACATTGTGTTGTGGACTCTGTATAGACAAGAAGAGACGAGAAGGTTGGAATTGGGGACTGGGGGTATATAGGGTATGGAAGAATGGAATGCGAAAACAGTATACTTTGGTGTCAGCCGGGGTGGAACGCCTTGAATATAAGTATTGTAGAAATAAAGAACAGATATCTCAATGCCCCTTACACCGCAATGTCTTCACCGAAGATTGGGCAATCTTGATATATACATAAATATCCCCCGGCATGCACTGAGTATACGCCAAGGCTTCCTGAGAACATCCAGGGGAGAACCGCATGCGGAAACGGGGAGTGGATCTAGGGATCTGGATCGGTCTGGGATCAATACAACAACAATCGGTCATGTGCACATTTTTGCTTTGTGTGGAAGGGAATTAAAAATGAAAAAAAAGAACCACCCCCTAGAATTCGAGCCGAGATGAAAAAAAAGGAGAAAAGATTAGCAATCTAAGAATGTCATGCGAAAAAGATCGGTGAGAGCGCGGCGTTACGGACAGGGCGGAAAGGGGGGGAGAAGGGTCCAGACTCGGGGTTAATTCTGGCAATTTTTTTTGGCCAATTGTTGATAGTTCAAAAGATAGTGTAGACCGGTAGGTAGTTTTGCAATTCTTACGTTAGATAGGGCAATTTTTCGCGGCAAACCAGGAACCCAATAAATCAGAGTCAAGGGGACGAAACATGAGAAACTACCAAAAGATGCTGACCGGATTCACATTTCAGACGGTCAGATGACCTCCTGCAGAAGAGCTTCCCCTCGCCACAGGAAAATAAATAAACTACTCTACACATCAGACGAGTTTGATATTTGGCAGACGCGAGACATGCGACAGGATTTGAAAATAAAAAGAAAAAAAAAAAAAAGATAACACGCACAACGACTCTAGCTTCTAATTTAACTCTCCCCTCTCTCCCATAGCCACCGTTAGCGAATAAATTAGTCCAAGCCACCGATCGCAATATGTTGACCCCGTGACACTAACCCCCCGGACGGCGACGGTTTTACGGGGGAATAGTGTGGGTAAAGTGGATATAGTGAATCTTTGGTCCAATTCAATGTTTACTCGTTGGAAGTTCCATCGCACCATCTACCCCCTTGACCGGCTCACCAAAGATCAATGTTCCGACGCTTATTTAATTGGGTCCTGATCCAAGCCTGTGGGACCGGACCTGGGCGTCCCCCTTACAGCAATGCCGATACATGGGATACTGAGGAATGACTGCCGCTCGCAGGGTTGCTGTACGGACTATGGAGTGACTACATGATATGTAGTAGCTTATGGATCGACTATCAACTGTCTTACAGTGCCATCTTACTCATACTAGAGGTGTAAATTAGGGCTGTCTTCTCGTGGCGGAGCTGAATATCTATGTGTACTCGTTCTCCGTACCCCGTATCCATGTCAACGGATCCATAGCGGAGGACACATCATCTCCGTGTTGGAGCAGTGCAATAGTGTAGTTCTCACTATACGGGTAATCTAAGCCTCTGAGATTCGACACCCATCCCAACGATCCCGGTCAAATTCATCGATCTAATAATGAGATGCGCGAATCACGGCTCTACCCAGAACCCGGCACCCGGTTACAGCCCTACTTTAACTGTAACTAGGGGGTGATTGGATAGAGCCTCTTGACACGTGGGGGGTTTGGGTCGCTGAGCTGAGCGGGTTGACAAAAGTACAAAAGTACGAATGTACAGATTATTAAGGGAGCTATTTGGCGAAGATCCCCGTTGCATTCATGGCCAGACACGGACCAGGCAATTTCAAATTATAGGCCACATGACCTGGTCTTGCTTCTCCTGAGAGTGTTAGAGTCGCGTACCCCCTTCTTACATCGCACACGGTGATTCTGGAAGAAATGTCAAATGGGAATTGACTGAGAAATTTAGGGGAGAATACATAAAAAGCAATGAGGAAGGGAGAAATGTCCAAGCTAATCAGGTCAAGGTCATAAGACAGATAATGAGATGTATATGCAGTGCTAGATGCAAAATATTCCAAGGGAGAAGGGAACCACCACGGCTACATGCCGGAGAAACGCCCGCCAATGCGGCTCTGAGAAAGAACCCCAAAAAATTCAACAGCACAGGCATAAATCAACCAATATGGACAAGAATGAGATGACGATGCAAAATTGTTGAAATGAGAGCGTAATCTCAACACTCGGCAGTATCTACCGAAGCTATAATATATAATGTTTCTCATACCTAAAACCCCAGTCTACTTCCCTAAGTCTAGACGTAGGAATCGATATATTAGGCCCTGATTTCTTCACCCTAAATATCCACCCTTTTTAGTTATTTAGTATACTAAAGCCCGTATATTTGTACCCAACCCAGTCAACTTTACAGTATACATCGTAACCAGTATCTAGCTTAGAAAGTTCTACGCCATATAATGCAGAAATCCACCGCCTGCCACGTTTCGACGATGCGGGAAGCGCATCAGAGGGGACGGAGTACGAGTCTGTCAACGGTTGCGGCCACGGCACGCTGTCTTGCGCTGGAGCCGAACTGATGCGGTTAAGGTACTAATAGAAGGACGGGGGTGTCCAGGTAATCTGATTTTTCCTGGAGTGAGCGTTAATCTCTACGGCTTCGACACTGACGTGCTTTATCTGCCAGTGTCGGCGTATACGGTGAATATAGGTAGATGGAGATATGGGGGGTGATTGCAAGCGGGAGACCCGCGCTGGAAATCAATTTGTCGTCGCATCATGTCGTGTATGTAGTTGTCCCCACTGCCCTATAGAGGTCTGCCGGCAAATCGACCTTGCGGCTGACAGATCCTTGAATGAATAACCAATCGATCAATCAGTGCTTAAGTGCTGTCATTCCCCACTTCGTGTTTTGCCAAATGGTCACGGTATGGTTTCTAGTGAATCGATCCATTCCACAAAAGATATCTGAGATTCTCTCTCATTATATGTGATCCCAGTAAGTATCTGTGTGTGTGTGCC